TCTCAGGAACAGCAAAGCCCTGATTGATCATATTTATGTGGAAGTATCCTCAGGTAGTGTAGATTCAAGTTTGTTCAAATCATGACCCCCGGGGGTAGGGCGGGGCCACAGTGGAGGATCAAAGTTTTACATAGAAATATATAGGAAAAATCTTTAAAAATCTTCTTCTCAAGAACAGCAAAGCCATGATGAGTCATATTTATATGGAAGCATCCTCAGGTAGTGTAGATTCAAGTTTGTTCAAATCATGACCCCCGGGGGTAGGGCGGGGCCACAATGGAGGATCAAAGTTTTACATAGAAATATATAGGAAAAATCTTTAAAAATCTTCTTCTCTATAACAGCAAAGCCCTAATTGGTCATATTTATATTGCAACATCCTCAGGTTGTGTAGATTCAAATTTGTCCATATCATGACCCCTGGGGGTAGGGCAGGGCCACAATGGATGATCAAAGTTTTACATAGAAATATATAGGAAAAATCTTTAAATATCTTCTTCTCAGGAACAGCAAAGCCCTAATTGGTCATATTTATATGAAAGCATCCTCAGGTAGTGTAGATTCAAATTTGTTCAAATCATGACCCCCCGGGGGTAGGGCGGGGCCACAATGGAGGATCAAAGTTTTACATAGAAATTTATAGGAAAAATCTTTAAAAATCTTCTTCTCAGGAACAGCAAAGCCCTGATTGATCATATTTATGTGGAAGTATCCTCAGGTAGTGTAGATTCAAGTTTGTTCAAATCATGACCTCCGGGGTAGGGTGGGGCCACAATGGAGGATAAAAGTCTGAAATAGAAATATATAGGAAGATATGTTCTGATGAAGAACTGCAAAGCCATGATTAGTCATTTTGATATGGAAGCATCCTCAGGTAGTGTAGATTCAAGTTTGTTAAAATGATGACCCCAGGGGATAGGGATGGGCCATAATGGGGGATCGAAAATTTTACATAGGAACATATAGGAAAATATCTTCTTCTCAAGAACTGAAAATCATGTTTAGTCATTTTGATATGGAAGCATCCTCAGGTAGTGTAAATTCAATTTTGTTCAAATGATGACCCCTGAGGGTAGGGTGGGGCCCAATAAGGGGATCGAAAGTTTTACATAGGAACACATAGAAAAAAATTTCTTCTCAAGAACAGAAAAGCTATGTTTAGTCATACTGATATGGAAGCATCCTCAGGTAGTGTAGATTCAAGTTTGTTCAAATGATGACCCCTGGGATAGGGAGGAGCCACAATGGGGGATCAAATTTTTACAGAGGAATATATTGGAATTTTTTAAAATCTTCTCAAGTACAACAAAGCCATTTGTTAAAACAAATTATATATTGACATGGAAGCATCATCAGGTAGTTTAAAATTCAAGCCCCCCCCCCCCCCCCCCCCCCCCCCCGGGAATCTTTTCAATACTGAACTGATTTGTGCTTTTGCCTTGCCAATGTGCTCAGGTGAGCGATGTGGCCCATGGGCCTCTTGTTATCTTTTTTGTGATTTTTTTAATGAACGTTAAAAATAAACACACTAAAAAATTGTCATAAAATTCAAGTAATTCCTCCTGAACTTCAATGAAACAACAGAACAAGTTCTTATGTAATTTTCACTTCACAATTCTACTTTAAAAGCCCCAAGGCTTTTGGTCAGGAGTGCAACAAATATTTTAGAATTATAAATCATCCAATAAGAATAAAGAAAAAATGATCAGTAGAATTTTTCTGGTGGGTTACTGTGTTTGTCCTCAAAAGGAAAATATGCTATAAAATATATTTTATCTTCTAAATATACAATTAAGCTAGTTTTTTCATAAATAGGCATAAATAGGGAATAATTCCAGATAAAATGCGAATTTTAAATACTTTCATCTGTTTTAATACTGAAGTATTGGCTATAAATATTGCACAATTTCATTACCACTTGATGTTGCCAACACTTTATGAATTTTTGTGTTATATGGTTTTAATTTTAAATTTTACTGCAGTCAGGAGTGCAACAAAAGTGCTTTATAATTACCAATGCTTTTTAACTATCTTTACTAAAAAATAAGTTGAAAAAATTGTTTGATACTATTTGATACTATATGATGTTCATAACACTATGTCTATCAACAAAGTACAGAAATCTTACAGTCAATTCAGGGAATAGTTTTATCATTTCACATATATTTTTAAATACAATTTATATATATCACACTTTGCAAATAATCATGTTTTAAGGTCTTCAAAATATGAAAAACCTTTTGTAAACGATGAAAAATATCAAAACAACAAATTGATTTACAAAGTAAGAATGGGTTATTGTGGGTTAAAATTTTTAAAACAAAATGTTAAATAAAATACATATCAGATGTCAGGAGTGCAACACAATAATGTAACATAGGGTCACTTCAAAATCTAGTAATTTTTGTAAGAGAACTCATATATAAAAATTCTTTTTTCGCTTAGATTTAAAGAATTGACTTGATCTGACAAAAAAGTGAATTTTGGGGAATTTTATTGCTTCATATTTTTTTCATATTAAAACTTTTCAAACCAGAATTGAAAAAATAATGTAAAATAATCAAAAAGCCAATTTTTTGTCACATAAACAAGAGAGATACTCAATCAAGGTCTAGATTTAATCATTTATACCCCTTTTACCATTTTGAAGCATAAAAAAACTATAATCTCTTGTGATTATGTATTTTAGAAAGTCTTTTGAGGTGTAATGATATTTTCTTTTTTCAAAAGAAATTTTACTAATGAAAATTCTGAAACTTTTTTTTATCCAATTGTCTACTATATTGCCACTTCAGGATTTTAAACTACAATGCATGTGCAATATGACGATATAAGTGAAAAATATGTTGTAAGTAGTTGAATTTTTCCAAAAAATTTCAGTTTGGTGGTCATTTTTTTTTAATTCACCCAAATGTCAATGCATTATAAGCATGTTTGCTATAAGCATCTTTTACTGTAATAAAGGTCAAAGATCAAATAGGAATTTGCTAACGTATTGTTTCTCTGAAACACATTCTTGTGAAATGGTAAACATTTTTTTTCTGTATATTTTGTACTTGTAGCAGTTTTAAGTCTTAAATAGTATTTGATTGATAAGTTGGTATACTGTATAATAGTAATCTACCAAAAATACTTTCTTATCTTTTAAGAAGCAATGCAGCTTTTTTTTTGTTTATAGGTAGATACAAGGCACTGTTTTTGAATGAAGCAGGTCGAATGCATACCATGTCGGGAGAAACAACCAGTGCTGCCAAATTTTATCGATTAGCTTCAGAGGCTGCTTTATCTAAACCCAAAAATACACTGCATGTTCCTGAAATAGAAGGCCAGGCTATGATGCTGCTTGCAGGTCTGAATGACCAGGGGTGAGTGGATTACAGTTTAACATGGATATAATGAACTGCTAGGATTATCACTTTGTTTTATCTGTCATTTGAATATATAGTTAGTCTTTCATCAGTTTAAACATATTAATAGGATAAAATATGACTTCATCGATATTCAATTTATGCATGTTAGCCATAAATGGATTTTACAGTAGCTGAAAAACTATGAAAATAACATTCTTGCAGAGAATGAGTAATATTATTCTGTATATTTTCTTATTTTTAGAAATATGAAAGGGAAGGCACAGTCTTCTTGGAATTCATGGAGGGCAGTGTTTGCATGTGAATCTTATGTCTCTGATGGTGCAGCATTGACAGCAGTGGAACACTGGCTCTGTTTTCATGCAGGGTCATGGCAAGGCAAGGCAGTGTTTTTAGCTCACCTAAACAAGGTTTAGATGGTTTTTTTGGGTTAAAGTTTGTCTTTTAGTTGTTCATTATCTGTTTTATTCATTATTAAAGAATGGAGTAATTAGATTTTTTATTTCAAAATCTCTCAAAATATTCTTAAAAATACAGAATTTGGATGTATTTGCTTTTTTTTTTTTGAGGGGGGGGGGGGGGGGAGTGAATTTATGAAATGATTATTAAAATTGTTTGTATTAGGCCTAAAAAAAAATAATAACTTGGTTCTCAGGCCAGTTTTCTCAAAAATAAATGTGGGAAGGAGGCGTTATTTTTCCCTTTTTTTTCCTAATTGAAAACAGATGCGGGATTTTTTTTTATTTCAAAATTAGCAACTTTTAATCAACAGTGCTTTAACATTGAGTGTAGAAATGTAGAAATCAAGATCAATTATTTCCTGCTTCTTTCTCTTGCATTTTCTCCATTCCGATGATTTGTGTTAAGAAACGACGGCATCCTAACTACCAGACGTGTTAAACTTACAGACTCGGCACTTTTAGTGATGCATCTGGTCAATTGCTTATGTATCACAACTAATCTAAGAGTTTTTCAGCACTATAAATAGCACTTATGATTTTATTAAATATTGTCAAATTTATCAGTATTTGGTTTACCCACACTGAATGAAATCAGCAAATCTTGCTGAAGCTTCTCTGGAAATGTCCAAGTGCCAAGGTTTAGGGAGCTGTTTTTGATAGCGTTATTGAGTTCTAGCATGGAACAACCTTCAGAAACCCCCACTATGTGTGATGGAAATATTACAGTAATTTCCTTATGAATTTGCACTGAAATCAATGCCATCATGGTCAAACTTAATCTTGATGCCTTAACCTGTTAACTCGACGACCATATTTACAATTTTTAATTAGACCACTAGTCTGGATCTTGATGTTTGTCTAACGTTTTACTGTTGGGTAATCGGAACATCACTTAGCCTTATCGTCAAGTCAAGTTTTTTTCTTCACTTGACGGAAAAGGCCAAGTGATGTTCCTATTGACTGATGGGAGTATTGAAAATGCTGTCGGGTATTCTGGATTTTTTTTTTTTTGCACTGTACGAGCATATGAGAGAAATTTTATTTTATTTGAGGATAAAAATGGGTAATGTGCATTGTTAAATGAGATGCAAGTGGGCCTGAGAACCAAATTATTTATTTTTTAAGGCCGTAAGTTTCAAGACTGTTAGTTATGGCCACATCAATAAGGCAGACCTGTGGTCATTTACTTTAGAATTACTTTGAAATCTTATGATTACAATTACAGTTGAATTATATCTTTTTTTGAATAGTAATTGATTATAAATTACAATTACTTGATTACTTTAGATTACTTCAAATTATTTTCAATATCAGGAGAAGTGTATGACTATTTATTAGGAACATATAGTTTTAACTTAATGTATAAGGAGAATTTTCAGCGATGATTCAATTTTGGCATTATTAGCGAGGATGTTGAGATTGCTAAAATTGCATATTGCTAACAATTCATTCAGCACTAAGGAGGTAAGGCTATCTTGCAAGATATTGTCAAATCAAAAAAATTACTTCTTGCTAAAAATTTTTTTTACAGTTTTGCTAAATTTGTGTCTTGCTAAAGATTCAAATTAAACAGTATTGTAACATGGGTTCTACAAAGGACAAGGGTTCTTTATATACATGTACATATATATTTTTCCTCTTACTCTATCTGAGTTGTAATTGATTGGATCTATGTACAAATAATTTTAAATGGTAGGCCGTGATTCCAGAGCAAGGTAACCTGCAGTGTGTTCCTGGAACAGCCAGAGTTCCTATTGTTCTGTGAAGTACCAGGTTCTTTCACCCTTATTCAGAGTTTAACTTCACCCCGGTACCTCACCACAATTCCTCTAGACTGCTCCCTTTCCACTAGTGTCTAACTTCTAACCTTTGCTCTTTATTTCTTTATTTATTCTGTATTTCTTAAAGAGTGGCTTTATTACCTCTCGTCTTCAGCTTTCTTCTCTCAGTCGACACTTCCACTGATTCCATACTTGCCAACCTCCAACATGTAAAAATCTGGTCATGACCAGATTTGGAAAGTAAAAAATCTGGTCATAGTGTGTAACGACATTCACGACACATTTAGTACCATGATCAAATTGATATATATGTATATATAAGTATTTGTGTATTGAAATTATTTTATTAAAGGCTTTAATTACAATGATAAAATATTTAATATATATTGATTAAATTTACATGTTAAAAGAGCATTGAAGGTTTCATTATTCAGTATTGACCTGAATTAAGTGTGCAATTTTTTTTAAAGGAAAGTCTTTTCAGAATCTGCATTGCTGATTTGAAGTACGTGGAAAGTTTGTGCTAAATTTGAAAGTATTCTCACTTTGATTTTTGAAGTTATTTTTTCCTAACCCGAATTAATTTAATTAACAAGTGCTATTAAATGTACAGTTATGCCTACACTATCTTCGAACACTTAATTTCAACTAAATGAAAGTTGTTTTCCAAGATTCCTCGATTTGTACATAAATATCGTTTCTCATTTTCTTGGTTCAGTTTGTTCCTGCTGGCCCTGATAACGATCTCTTTCTATCAGAAGACATTTTAAATTGACTTCAAACTTTGTTTTGTCAAAACAACTCTCAGGTAATTGTTTACGCCTGCACTGATAATTTACTGGTACACGGCCTACTGAACATAGCCATCGGCATTGTTTACGTATACCAGCTTGGGTTGTAACTGGAAGTTAAAAGTGCAACCTAATTTACGAACCAAATCTGGAAATCGGGAGATTTTCGGGTTGTTTGGCAAAAATCGGGTGAAAAGCATGACCCGCCGGGTCATAAAAAGTAATCGGGTTAAGGGTAGAAAAATTGGGTGTAACCCGACGAAATCGGGTGAGTTGGCAACTATGACTGATTCTGTTATAAAGGGCCTGGCATCTGCTAGCATCTCCTTTTATACACTTGGCTTATTCTACCTACCAAAGGGGTGATCAGTCTATTGGAAGAGTCCGTTTTGAATTCCAATATCCCCCTCAGATTCACTGATGATAGGCATAGCCAAATACGCTACCCATTACAGTATTTTTGAGAGTTTTTCAGTTCTTGTTTAAATACTTTTACAAATGGAACCGACCTAAAGTTCTAAAAACTTTGTACTTTTTTTTTCCTTACATGATAAATATGGCAAACATTTTAAAAATAAAATACAGTATAACAGGTATTTTATGGGGTAGAAATTTTTTGCAATTTGTTTCCTTAAAAGGTAGCAAGTTAATTTCTGCGTTTTTAATTTCTGCAGTTGCAGTAATCAACAACTATGACTACTGAACATTAAAGATTTGGTAGAAACTCTGCAATATTTTATTTAATAGAATATTTTTCTGAAAAAATAACAAAACATGTTTTTGGATGATAAAAGGCCGCAGCTTTAATAATTGTTTCAATGACAAATGTCAGACAAGCATTTAACAATCATTGGGAGCGACACACCTATTGTTAACGGGCGTTATGGCACCTCGCCTTCTAGGGTAATCCATAGCAAGGCGTAACAATATGTGTTAATCGACTCCTAGGGTACCCCTTAGCGAGTCAGCTGGGAGATCAATGTAATTGCCTCCTAGGGGATTCCTTAGCGAGGCTACTACCTGTTATACTGAACAGGTAAGCCCACTATACCGAGTAGGGCAAAATAAAATTATACCAATTATACCAAACGGGGTACGACGTTACTGTTATACCAAACAGATCCCTCACACAAGCTCCTAGTGCACTCCATAGCAAGCTTGTATTGGCTCCTAGGGTAGCCTTAGCGGGCCACCACATGCTCTACCAAGCATGTAAAATAGATAATCAAATATAAACAATAATATAATGATGACTAATGTCTCTGCTTGTCTGACATATCCGCCACTCAGAGATGTTTATACATCTCTGCCACCCAACAAATAAACTTTAAGAGGAGGTAAAAGCTTCTATGGCTGATTGCAAAGTGTTTGTTATAATTGCATTTCCCACATCCGACATATGCACTCCATCAGCACGGTAAAGCCCATCCTCTGAAAATTCTATATCAGGGTGATTTATAACTCTGCCGTTAACTGATGCGACCGCCCTACGACCAGCTCTATTAACTCTTTTCAGTTTCTGTTCGACGGAGCATATGTCACGACCCCCTATCCAATTTCGGCGTGGGAGTATATCAGATAATATTATTTTGCAACTTGGTAATCTGTTTGTCATTAAACATATGTCGTGCTCTATCCTGGTACACAATTCCTCGCTCTTAATTGATGTGATATCATTCCCGCCCTAGGTGGACTATTAAATATGCAGGAGGAGGACATTTTGCTAATTTTTTCTCGATACAATCAATAAGCTCCCCCCATTTCATGCCCCTTTCGCCAATGCAGGTTACCTGAATGCCTAAATTATCCAAACGTAAGTTAGTAGTCAGATTTGTAGCTGCCCATCTACACGCCCAGTAAACAATCGAAGATCCCACAATCCAAACAAGGTGCTCTAAAGAATTAATAAATAATATGGTAAATACAATTCATCAACAACGCTTATATCATATCTATTCTGATATACTTAAGGAATGCGCTTGATTTCCAGCGCCCTAGTAGTTGGATTTTGTCATGCGATACCCCTTTTAAAGCAAGGCACGTTACACCTCCAATTCTAAAAGAATGTGATTTGTAAGCGGAAATTGGGTGATTAATTGTTGAAAGGGTTTTTCTCAGGACTGCGTTAAACTGAAATCTAGTTAGCGGAGATTTATTACTATGCATGAATAATGAACCCTCAACACGTGGTCGCACTGCAAGAAATTTTTTCAAGTTATAAACTGGGCAAATGTTTCTTTGATGAATAGATGGTAATAAAATACAGATTCCCTTTCCTGTTTGATCAGTTTTAGAGAATCTTACAGAGATAGAGACACAAGGAACGCTTTTGGATGTGCAAAATTTTATATCTTTAATAGTTAATGGTACATGGACGCAATGTTCCAAGGTATATACTAATTCCCCCACACTAAATAGGCCGTAAAAAGCCAAGGTAAAAACTGATCTAAACAAAAATGTTTCACATTCCGAATAAAACACCTGCTGTAGAGCGCCACAGATTTTAGCGAGAAGCTCTTCCGAAATAGGTGCTCTGTGGTCTTTTGTTCTATTTAATCTTCGCAACCCTTCTAACGACTTTCTAACTATAAATAAATCAGGAGGATCGGTCCATTGTCTCAGTTTGTGCACATAGCTAATACCCGAAATATTAGATGAAACTGTTGAAGCTGCTGAGCCCTTGCTCGAATGATATGCTATATATAAAAGAATATGGTTTGATGGGACTGGCCATTTATCACTTAGTTTTGTCAGTATTCTGAAATCTTTAAAATTCTTTAAAGCTTGTAAGTATACGGCCCTGGTGTTTGCTGAAATGCTTGCATCTAATAATCGAGTGATTTCGTCTCGAAAATAGTCCATAGTGCCGTTGGAAATGGTGTCGGCTGACTGTCTGCGTCCGGAGCCAACTTGTGAAATCGCTGAAATTGTAAACGTGACAAACTGTCCGTCATTGAGTTCTGAACACCCAAGATGTGCTGTGCTTTAAATGAAATGTTCAACTGCAAGCATTTTAGAATGAATTTGCTTAACAAAATCATTACTAAATCTGATTTTGATGTCATCGAATTTACAATATGTACAACTGATTGATTATCAGATCTAAATAAAACTTTTTTGTTGCGCAGCTTTTTCCCCCATAAAAATACTGAAACAAGCAAGGGAAAAAATTCTAGCACAGTGATATCATTTGTATAGCCCTTATTGAACCAAAACTCTGGCCATACGCTGTAAGTCCATGCACCGCTAAAATAAATTCCCAGGCCGTTTCCTTGACGCACCGAGCTATCTGTAAAAAGTTCTAAATCTATATTAGTCACCCAAAACTTTTCTTGAAATACCACAAAACCATTAAATTTGTCAAAAAATTCCAGCTATACAAGCAAATCCGCTTTTATCTCTTTTGTTATTCTTAAATGATGATAGGGTTGAGATAACCCACGTGTTGCATTTGATAGCCGCCTGCAGAAAGTGCGACCAGGAGGAATTGCTTTGCAGGCAAAATTTAAATATCCTATCAAAGATTGAATGGATTTCAAGTTGGTTTTCGATTTCTTCAATATGCCTTCAATAATCATGCTGATTTCGTAAACTTTTTCTTCCGGTAACCTGACCTGCATTTTTTGGGTATCAATTTCTAGCCCAAGAAAAGTAATAACTTTTTTCCCATGCTATTGGAACCCCTAATTCTGTGCACACATGTATGAAGGTATCCACGTTCATTTGACACTCGTCTGCCGTATGACCACCGAACAAGAAATCGTCTATATAACGTAAGACTTTTCTAGAGGTGGCGTGCTCGCGCACTAGCCACTTCAAAAATGAAGAAAATTTCTCAAATGAAGAACAGGATATCGAACACCCAAAGGGTAAGCATTTGTCAAAATAATAACAGCCATCAAATTTGAAACCCAGAAGCTCAAAATCACCAGGCCAAATGGGCATTAATCTAAAAGCACTTTTGATATCCGATTTGGCTAGGAACAATCCGCGCCCTAGACGTTGAACCATGCTAATGGCCTCATCAAATTTTGTGTAATTGACAGAACAAAGCGCTTCGTCAATAAAGTCATTGACAGAGATACGGGTAGGGTAGGAGAGGTGGTGAATTACCCTGAATTCCCCTTCTGCTTTCTTGGGCACTACTACCAGTGGCAAAACCCGCAAATTTGACATAGACTGCGATTTAAATGGACCGGCCATCCCTCCTTTAGCAATTTCTTTTTTGATATTTAATCTCTAGCAACATCTGCATGTTTATAAAATGAGGGCAAATTAGGTGCCTCTGTTTTTTCCAGAGGACCATTATAATGCAATCGAAAACCAAATTGAAAACCATTCATGAGTTCTTTCGCTATTTCCAAATTCGGATAATTTGTAAGGGATTTTTTTAAAGCTGAACTGTTTATAGGGGAGTTTGCTAATTTAAAGTTTCTGAGTTTTATTGGTTGCAGCAGTGCTGTTTGAAGCCTTTGAGATACGAAAAGTGTCAGTTTTAGAACAACTAGATTTCGGATGCTTTCCCTTACAAATAGAACATAAATGCGCATATCTGCAATTGGCTGTGTTGCACGACCCCTATTGTAACTAAAGCAGACACCAGTTTGGGTTGGCGCGTGCGCTGCAGCGAGGCTAGATTCTGGTCTGGGCGGGACAGTGATCAAGCGTAACCATAAATCCGAATTCAATTGTGACTAATTTCGGTAAGAAATTGCTTGACGCACTCTAAATTGCTCATCATAATTTCTCCAGCCCATACCAGGAAATTTCCTCGCCGCATCGCAAATAACAAACATATACTGCACCAATTCGGCTGCCCTCCCTGTATGTCTTTGAATGTAAATGTGCAAAATTATAAGAAATGCATCTGTCCATCTATCGATGGTTGTAATTTTTTCATTTAAGACTTTGGGCTTAGCCTCAAGCTCACCCTTTTCATTTAATACAAAATTACTCCCAGCAGCAAACTGCTGTAGTTCTGCACTGCCCTTTGTCAACAGGGCTAAATTGATATATAATTCCCAGCCCAAATTTTTTGTTTTAAGGAAAGTGGCACATGGGCACCTATATCGTCCCCAGCGCAAACCTCCATGTTTGGCATCGCCCCAAAATTATCTGCTGATGTCACGGCAGCTTCCTCCGGGGCAGGCCAAGAACTAGTGAAATCTAACTGCCTACCCTTATTAAAGAGCAGCTCATGTTCAGGCTCCTCGGCCATTCCCATGGAGGCTGAAATAACTTCCTCCCTGGCCTGGGAATCTGTGATGGTGTCAGTCTGGGCTTGGCGGACAACAGCTAAATTTCTTCTCCCCCCTCTGCCCTTCTGCTGTCTGGCTCCACTGTTCTTATTACTTGCCCTGGTAGAATTGGCACTGGACTGGGATTTCTTGGATCTTATGGGTGGCATGGTTAAGGTTGTTTGATGTAACCATTCGAGGAGGCTTTAAGTAAATCAACAATTATTACAAGTGCAGAATGCTGGAGTAGCTATTGAGTAAGAGGAGGAATTCGCCACGTGCACCCCTCTTTTATACTCACGGCAATCGGGGAAAAGTGTCAAAAAGACCTACCCCCTGTGTTTTTCGGAAATCAATTAAATGCGTTTAATTTGCGATTGCATTAAACGACCTTATTTTAATATACCGGTACATGTAAGAATGACTTGTTGGCTGTGTTCAGAGAGAATCACAACTAAACAGGGATCGACATTAACGGTTGTCTGATTGCCTGGGGCAAGTAAATTCTCTATTTGGGCAAATGAAACTGTCAATGTACTTGTTTGATTGGGCAAGTGAATTTTTCTGATAGAAATATATGTTGTTATTTATTTCAACACAAATTGAATATGGGTATGATAGCACCACAAAAGGGGTACAAATGTTACATAGGTATATAAGGCTCATTAACACAATGGTAAGGGAGATAACTTTCAAAGGGATAAATGATAATTACTCTTTTATAAAATAGTTGATATCAAAAGTCATGTCTGTCAAAGAAAATGGGCATACTTGGCGTGCGATCTGCAGGAATCATGTATGAAACATTTATGGTTTAAATGTCCATGATTTGTTCAGCTGACCATTAATGGACAGACCTTACAAAGTTACGCACATAGGAAAATGTTTAGATTTACACTGAAATAGCTTGCAAATTTAAAATATTTCAGTTCCACTTATCTTAATAATGTAGTTATGATAACACAGTAACACTTCCTATAAATAATAAACTCCTAACAAGATAACAGGGTATGATATATGAAATGAAGTTTCAATAGGTTTGAAAAATTGCTTTCACTCCCTGTGCAACTGAACCAAAATTTACCTCTTTTAAAACTTTTATATATAAAATAAAATTCAACTGATAGACAACTTGATTGTTTGTATAAAAAAAGAAAAAGAAATAATAAAATGCTCCGTGCGAGGATCGAACCAAAAACTTCTCGACTCCTACATGCACTGGACTGGTAACGCATACGACTGAGCTATCATCACTACACAAACAATTTGGAATTTAAAATGACAAAGATTAGCAACGCATTTATACATTGGTATTTTTTTTGGAAAAAGTTCATTTTTCATAGCCTCTAGGTCTTCTCTCCATTTTTTACAAATGTTTGTTGGTTTCTTTGAATATAAATGCACAGAAATGTCTTTTTAAAATCGTGGAGGGATAACCCAGAGAAAGCAAATTTTTAGAAAAACATGTTTAAAAATGTAACATTTTGTACTAAATGACTCATCTAGTTATGTTTAAAGTTATTTTTAAGGAAATCAAAACACACCATAGGGAAAATATTTTTCTTTCCTATTTCATAGGAACATAATACATAAAAAGAATGTAAAAAATTAATTTGACAGTTCAATAAAGTTTCACTTTTCAAGTGCGCCCTGATTCCTACCGAATGTCAATCAAAAGCGCCCTCGTTCTTTTGCTCCACAAAGTCAGCTGAAATTGTGTGCATTTTAATTATAAATCAGATTCTATTGGAATATCACTTTATTTAATTATAAATATAATTAATATAATTCTGGTTTGAAGTAAAATCTAATATTGAGTGAGCAGAGGAATAATGAACCTAAAAACACATTTTGACTGTTTAAATGTCATAAATAAGATTTTTTTTCCTATTATAGGTGACTACTTAGGTGAATCCATCAGAAGACTTATTCCTTTGTGTACACAACACCCCAAGCTTCTGTACCATCTCTCCTTAGTCCATGCTCTCAGAGGAGATGCTCAAAACTCACTGCAATGTTACTGTGAATTCAGAGAGTAAGTCCATTTTAGTTGCATTTACAGGGGCATTCAGTTTAAAGCTTACTGTAAAATAACTTAGAATTTGAAGAAAAAAAAAGATATTACTGTAAATAAATATGCATTTTTTGTCATTGAAGTTTTTGAATATTAGATATTTATCACAGAGATTCATTCAATATTTACCATTTATAGGAATTACAAAGTGCTCCCAATGTACATTTAAAATTGTTAATTAATCTAGCCACTTCACCTTCTAGATGAGTTTTATGGGAAACAGAATTGACATTTATATTAAAATTTATTTGATTAATGCTTACACTTCATTGATATGGACAATTTCTAGGGAATACAAACATTCAGATAAATGAGGGCTGACTGTACACCCTTAGAAACCAATAAAAAGCTAGACGGTTAATTTTTGATTCACCATGTCTGCCTGTCTGTCTATCTTGCTCTCTGTCCTTCATACAATTTTTATTGTGACCACTTTGATATCTTTATTGTGAAAAAAATTTCATTCTGAACACAAAGGTCGTTTATGACCAGTGGAAAAGTATGGACTCTTTGTATTAGGTCAAGGTCACAAGGATAAATGGCTTATTAAAATCAAGGCATTTAATTTGTAACTGTAACTTCGTAGATTCTGATACAATGGATATATTTATAGCCAGAGAGTTGTCATAGTTGAAAGCAAATTTTAAAACATTGTAGTCGAAAGGAACCTTGGGGATGAAATAATTACAATTTGCAGATTGCATATACATGTATACATGTGTCATGTTTGGGGAAGGGGGAGGGAAGTTTATTGGTGTAATCACAAAATTTTAGTTACAGTGTATAATTTCTCAAGTCATATTATGTAAGTAAAATTATTTTGCATTTTATTGATAATTGTTTTATTTCTATTTCCAGTAAAGTTTTTGGTTCTAATCTTCCTGGGGTGGAGATGGTTCACAAACGATCAGATAATCCATGGCTGCCCCTGGTGGATGTAGCCAGAAAACAAGGGCAGATAACCTGTATACCTGTTCTCTGGAGAACTCAGCTCAGACCTTTGTGTGTTCAAACAAAACCTAGGTAACTTTATTCATTATTTATGAATGATATTCTTATTTGTACACTAAAATATTATGACTGTTTCCTTTAATACAGTTTCAGAACATTTGTCATCAGAACAATGATATAAATTATTTGGATAAAATTTTCCATTTTAGAGTAACCCAAGAAGCAGATATAGTTTCAGAACAACTTAATTTAAGGATGACCCCACAAGGATTTCTAACAGGAGATATGCAGTTACTGGCGCCCCCTTGTGGTGGAATCTATCTAGATCCATATACAGGGTTGGTTTACAATGACAGGAATATGTGACATCTTGTTTTGTAAATAACAGATTATTGAAGGATGGGATTTTTCAGTTATTTTTCAGATTTCATGGAGATTGTTACATGTAAAAACTAGGTATGGCAATCAATTACAGAATTGCTAATCAGTGATGTTTTGACCGATTAACGGTTAATTGTATCAAAATATTTGTTTTGACAATTTTTTTCTTTAATTTGTTTCAAGTAGCTCTATTCATATACACAAGAAGATTAAAAATGATGTTAAAAGCTAGAAACATTCTGTTTATTATCTTGATAAGGAAACCATTAGTACTTATATATTCTTAGGTCACCTGAGTCACTCAGGTGACGTATTGCTATCCGTTTTGTCTGTCATCGTACTTTATTTGTCGTCCATCAGTCGTAAACTTTTGAATATTTTCAGCTCTTTCTCATAAACCCTTAAACCAATTTCAACCAATTTTGGCATATAGCATCTATGTGTGAAGGGGAACAAAAATTGTGAAATTCATGGCCCCAGGGTCGGGGGATCTGATGCTAGGGCGGGCTTATTAGATCATATGGTGAAAGTGCATTATTTCTTTGAAAATCTTCTTTTCTTCTCCTGGGTATTAAACAAACTAACTAAGTACATAGTTATGATAGGCAAGGGTTCCTCTTCTAAATTGTGAATTTCATGGACGGTGGGTTAGGGGTTCTGGTGTTAGGGCGGGCTTTATTGATTATATAGTGAAAATGCATTAATTCTTTGAAAATCTTCTTCTATGCTCCTGGGTATTAAACAAACTACCTAAATACATAGTTATGATAAGCAAGGCTGCCTCTTTCAAAATTGTGAATTTCATGGCCCCTGGGTCAGGGGTTCTGGTGTTAAGTTGGGCTCTATTCATTATATAGTGAAAATGCATTAATTCTTTAAAATTCTTCTTCTCTGCTCCTGGGTATTATTCAATCAAACTAAGTGCATGATTATGATAAGCAAGGATTCCTCTTCGAAAATTGTGAAATTCATGACCCCATGGTCAGGGGTTCTGGTAAAAGGAGGGGGGCTTTATTGATTATATAGTGAGAAAGCATAGTTTCTTTGAAAATATTATTTTCTGCTACTAGTTTTAAAGTAAAGAAACTAAGTGTGTAGTTATGATGAGTAAGAGTGCTATTTCCAGAGTTGTGAATTTCATGGCCCCTGGGTCAGATGCTCTGAACTATGGGTGGGGCTCTTGATAATATAGTGAAAATGCATTAATTCTATTAAATAATCCTGTCTACTCCTTGGTGTTGAGCAGATACACAAAGTGCATAGTTATGATGAGCAAGGGTGCTTCTTGCAAAATGTTTAAAACTTGTGGTCACATGGTGGTTCTGGTGTTTCTAGGTGGAAGGGGGGGGGGGGGGGGGGCTCTATTGATAATATAGTGAAAATGTGTTAATTCTTTGAAAATCTTGAACTAAGTGCATAGTTTTGATGAGGGTACCTCATAATTTAATAGATAACTGCAAAATAAGTAAGAAAATAGACATACTAATTAACAGTGCTCAACAGTGATTTATTTAATATCATTAAAGAATTACAGGACAGTCGGGGTATCTATATGATGTTTTTAATAACAGTAATTAACACTTAACAAACTGACCAATTTCCCCGCGATCTCAATTTAGAGAGCCATAATAATCTCCAAATCAGCTTAATAATAAGATATGTAAAACGCTAACTTATCAACTTTTATGCAGAGGTTTCCTCTCTAAAAATGAATTTTGTGAGAATTACTTTCAGATATACATATACTTTATTTTTTCTGACTAACAGATTACAGATTTTCTAACCAATTACCATCATCTGACCAATTAATCGATTACAAATTGCCATCCCTAGTAAAAACCTATTATTAAATGTTACAACAGATGATTTTTTTTCTGTATTGATTGTCATATATAGGCAAATGGGGTTACAGTCTTATCATAGACCTCTGATTAGATGACAGAGTCCTTAAATTCACATAGCATTTAGTACATAATGTTGAAAGTTCCTGTTAAAGAAAAGTATCTGATATTGGCCCTCAGTTTCTGCAAAGGTCATTTCATTGTCACCATCTTTTTTTCTGAAGAGCTATGAAATTCCTTCGAATTCAAATTTGAAAAAAATCAAATTCCTTCAATTGTTTTCTTTCATTCAGGATGATTACTTACAACAACAATGGGACAGAACCATGGAGGGGAGTCATGAAGACCGTGGATCCATCAGATTCTGATCTTTGGATGCTCATTATACCCACGCCTCTCGAGGTCTATCATGATGAGGATGGAGTCAGTGTTCATTTATTGATGACGTCCCAGACAAATTTTAATCTCTATAAATTCAATGAGTTCAGCCATAATGTCTGTCATCTGATCTGGCGTGGACCTAATGGTAGAAAAGTCAAGGTCAATCTTATCACCAAATTCGCAGACTTAATCTATCAGGTAAAATATTGTTACTGGATAACAGAAAAATTCTAAGGCATGAAATGTTTGCTGAATTTTGCAGATTTTTCTTTTAAATCCCTTTCTTGAGTATTGCAGTTCAAATTGAATGCAGAAAGAACCACGCACGCTAATTCTCGATTTCCGCCTACATTTTACACCCATTTAATTCAATACAAATGGGAATTTGGCCATTAAAACTTGACTGAATTTAAAGAAGAGTTCATTATTAATTGATAAATAATTTTAAAACCAGTGTCAAAAACTTGATTGCTCCTATTTACGACTCTTTTCAAAAGGGGGGTTGAACATTTTATCCATTGAAATCAGGCTTTAAAAATTGCTAGATGTTCAAAAACGTATGGAAATAGAAAAATGACCCTTTAAACTTTCCGTATGTTTAACTTGTGTAAAATTCAGCATAAAAGAGTGATAATAGACCTTATTTTATTTTCGCATTTTTTGCCTGTAAACATATATCCCCCCCCCCTCCCCTCGTGAAACAACAAAAGCTTTGGCATGAATTTGTCAAGTAACAGTTTATAAAACCCATAAAAAGTAATTTTTGTTTCACGGGGGGGGGGGGGGGGGGGGGGGGATATAAAGATATTTTAAAAATATTTTCCGTTTTCCATTGATTTCTATAATGAAAATGCAATTTTTACCAAAATTAAAGAGTTATCTCTCTTAGTTTCCCCAAATAAGTTATGTTTTGTGAAAATTTACATAAATATCTATATAAATATGAAAAATCATTCAAATATGTTTAACTTTTGAAATTTGACTTGGAGGTAGGCGGCAGAACAATACTATCGTTCGCAGTTCTTAGAATGATGACATTGCAAAAAATGTTCTGCTGCAATTATCTAAACAATAAATGCTGTATTATTGAGATATACATTACATTGATGGAGGGCCATGAAACAGTATTGACCTTTTGCCATTTTTCAAAAAATATTTCATACTAATAAAGAAAGGATCTAAGGAGTTGATGCTATAGATAAACAGCAGTTAGTTTTTATAAGAAATAAGAAAAAATTCCGTGAATGTAAATTTAGTTTAATAACTACACAATATTTCTTTATATGTCAACTTCACTGTGTAAAAATCATTATTATCACTGAGGTTTTTTTTCGATAGAGAGTGGAAGAGAAGTTGAAAAACAAAATACATTTTCCAGAAGAATCTCAACGTCAGATGGCTCTAGATGCACTGCTTGCATTACACAATAAAGGATGTGGATTGGATGCAATTGTAAGCAATGTTGTGATTGTGATCTGCATGTGTACTTTAAAAATCAGGCTTCATATTTTAGTAGCTTTGGTGCAGACAAGGATGCGCTAATTCATGATTTCTGTTAATAAATGAATGCAACAGTGCTCCTGTGTCCGACTATCCAGTCTGCCATTATTAAACGTTCAAAATTGCAAGCCAAATTCAATTGTGGCCTACATTCCTACACCATGATATATGTGTGAGATTCTATATAATGTTTAATTTGTTTTAAATCCAATTTTAATAAATGAAGTCTATATCATTCAGAAAGCGAATCAGCCTATCATTTACCTAGTAGTGACAAAACCACTAGTAAAGCATATCATGATTTACCTTCCTTAAAATGTAGTATTAGGCCACCTTTTCTTTAAAAAAAAAGATTTTTATGTCACCTGAGTAACTCAGGTGACCTATTGCTATCTGTTTTCGTCCTTCGTCGTCCGTCGTGCATTAACTTTTGAACATTTTCAACTTCTTCTTCAAAACTTCTTAACCAATTTTGGCATATAGCATCTATGGGTGAAAGGGAACAAAAATTGTGAATTTCATGGTCCCTGCCCCCCTGGGGCTTGAGGGTTGGGGCTAAAGCCACCAAAATTGATGCAATCTTTAAAAATCTTCTTCTTTGCTCCTGGACACCAAGCAGTCCAACTGTTGACATTATTGTAATAAGCATTGGGCCCTCTACCAAAATTGTGAAATTCATGGCCCCAGGGTCAGGGGTTCTGGTGCTAGGGTGGGGCTATATAGATCATATAGTGAAAATGCATTATTTCTCTGAAAATCTTCTTCTCTTCTCCAGGGTATTATTTGAACAAACTAAGTGGGTGGTTTTGATAAGCAATGATGCCTTTTCCTAAATTGTGAATTTCATGGCCCCTTGGTCAGGGGTCCTTGTGTTAGGGTGGGGTTATATTGATTATATAGTGAAAATGCATTAATTCTTTGAAAATCTTCTTCTCTGATCCTGGGTATTATTAAAACAAACTAAATGCATGATTATGATAAGCAATGATGCCTTTTCAAAAATTGTGAAATTCATGGCCCCAGGGTTGGGGGGTTGGGGGGGTCTATTGATAATATAGTGAAAAAGCATAATTTCAAAATATTGAAAACGCATTATTTCTGTTAAATAATCCTGTCTGTCCCTTATTGTTGAGCAGATAAACAAAGTGCATAGTTATGATGAACAATTGTGCTTCTTAAAATTTTTTTAAAACTTGTGGTCCCAGGTTTTGGTGTTACGTGGGAGGGGGGGGGGGGGAGCGGGGTTTTTTTTTGATAATATAGTGAAAATGTGTTAATTCTTTGAAAATCTTCAACTAAGTGCATAGTTATAATGATGAAGGTACCTCTACCAAATTTGTGAATATCATGACCCTGGGACATGGGTTTTAGTGTTAGGATAGGGCTGTGTTGAATTTGTAGTGAAAATGCATTATTTCTTTGAAAATCTCTGCTCTTTGGGAAATCGAAGGCAAACAGAGTAAAAGTTTTAATAAGCAAGGATATTTTTACCAGATTTTTGAACATCAGCACCATTTGGTCAAGTGATCTTATCCTGGCCAGCACTCTATTAATTTGTATTCTATTGAGAGAAGTTATTCCCCTTTGCCATTCACTTTCGATAATTAATCACTGTAAATAACATACATGTATTTGAAAGTCAATAGACTAAAAGAATTATGCAAAAAATGTTATTGTATAATACAAAAAGTACTTTCATAGATTTAATGATCAGGTAGACTTGTAAATAATAAATAAATCAAAACGAGACAAAAATAACTTATTAAATGTTCTTCAAAAACCAAGAGAGGCCAATGTGAGAGGTCACAATATGGGGTTAAAAGTAGTATGGAAGAACTAATACTAGTTTGTTATTGTATTGCGATAGTGATAAATGGGGGATAGATAAGAATTTAGTTTTTGAGTTGTTACTGAATACTAGACTAATTATTTCATTGATCCTGATCATCCTATTTCTCTTGCTTTGGGGCAACAAAGCTTCATAGATCAGTTTATTTTATACTTTATGGATCCTCTAAATTGTTGTATTATACTCAGGTGACCTTTTAGGCCCTTGGGCCTCTTGTTTAAGAAATCTATTATTAGGGCCCCGCTCTGCGGGTGCCCTATAGTGATCAGTCTGTCCGTCCGTCCGTCCGTCTGTCCGTCCGAGATCTCTTGTCCGGAGCATATCTTCTCTCTCCTTGGCCCAATCTGGCTCATACTTCACCCACAGAGTGTCTTTGGGTAAAGGGTGTGCAGTGACCTTGAACCATGTTTCTAGGTCTAAGGTCAAGATCATAGCAGAATTATATGAAAAATCCTTGTCCGGAGCGTATCTTCTCTCCTCATCCAGTGTGGCTCATACTTCACTCACAGAGTGCCACTGGTCAATGGATGTGCAGTGACCTTGAACAAAGCTTTTAGGTCAAGGGTCAAGGTCAAAAAAGCCTCTCTGTTTAAATTTTTGTCCAGAGCATATTTTCTCTCTCCTTGGCCCAATCTGGCTCATACTTCACCCATAGAGTGCCTTTGGGTAAAGGGTGTGCAGTGACCTTGAACCATGTTTCTAGGTCTAAGGTTAAGGTCATAGCAGAATTATATGAAAAGTCCTTGTCCAGAGCATAACTTTTCTCCCCTTGGTCCAATGTGGCTCATACTTCACTCACAGAGTGCCACTTGTCAGTGGATGTGCAGTGACCTTGAACAAAGTTTCTAGGTCAAGGGTCAATTTCAAAAATAGCCTCTCTGTTTAAAACCTTTGTTTGTTGCATAATTTCTTTCCCTGAAGTCCAGTCAGCCTCAAACCTTACCAATTGACTTAGGGTACGGATCATTTGTGATTTTCCTTCCATATTTCTGATAGAGGATATGCAACAATTTTCATAGAGGATATGCAGCATTTGTGATTTTTTATGCCATTTTTTGATGGAAGGTGTTGAGCACTCGTGATTTTCGTGCCATTTTTTATTATAATGAGGATAACATAGAAGCCCTTTAGACTCAAACAACACATCCCTTAATAGTACACAAATGTTTCTCTTCAAAATAAACCCTTTTCAGCTACCTTACATTTCCATGTTCATTGCTGAAAGTGGAGCCCTTTGAGATGGCCACCATCTCAATGATATCTAGTTACTGCGTGTATTCACAATGTGGCTTCATTATCATGTCAGTTTCACCAATAAAAGACAATCGTTAGAATAAGTTAGGCGGCTCATAACACCTGTGAACTATGTACATGACATATAAACTTACTTAGCTGAATGACACTTTGATGGGTAATAAGTTTTTCTCACCTGAGCTGAAAGCTCAAATGAGCTTTTCTGATCACATTTTGTCTGACTCTAGCTGTCCGTCCGTCCATCTGTGAACGTTTCTCATTTTTCGACTTTCGACAGAATCACTGGGCCAATTTCAATCAAACTTGCCACAATGCATCCTTGGTTGAAGGGGATTCAAATTTGTTCAAATGAACGGTCACTCCTGTTTTCAAGGGGAGATAATTCAAAAAATGTGAAAATTTGGTGGCACATTTTAAAAATCTTCTTCTCAAGAACCACAAGGCCAAAATAGTTGAAACTTATAGGAAACCCTCTTAACATAGTGTAAATTCAAATTTGTTCAAATGATGACCCTCAGGGGTAGGGTGGGGCAACAATGGGGGATCAAAGTTTTACAATAATATAGAACAGACAAAAATGTTTTAAAATCTTCTTCTCAAGAACAGCAAAGCCATGATTAGTCATATTGATATGATTATTCATATTGATTTGGAAGCATCCTCAGGTAGTTCAGATTCAAGTATGTTCAAATAATGACCCTCGGGGTAGGGTGGGGCCACAATGGGGGATCAAAGTTTTACATAGGAATAAATAGGAAAAATGTTTTGAAATCTTCTTAACAACAGCAAAGCCATGATCAGTCATATTGATATGATAAGTCATATTAATATGGAAGCATCCTCAGGTAGTGTAGATTAAAATTTGTTCAAATGGTGAACCCCAAGGGTAGGGTGGGCCACAATGGGGGGGGGGGGGTCAAAGTTTTCCAAAGGAATATACCGGAAATTATCTTTAGAACTTTTCTTCTCAAAAACAGCAAAGCCATGATTAGTCATATTGATATTGAAGCATCCTCAGGTAGTGTGCATTCAAGTTTGTTCAAATGATGATCCCTTGGGGTAGGATGAGGCCACAATGGGGGATCAAAGTTTTACAGTTAGGAATGTATAAGAATAAACTTTATAAATCTTCTTCTCAAGAACAACAAAGGCTTGCTTAGTCATATTGATATGGAAGCATCCTCAGGTAGTTCAGATTCAAGTTTGTTCAAATGATGACCCCTGGGGATGGGGTGGGACCACAGTGGGGTATCAAAGTTTTACATAGGAATAAATAGCAAAAAATATTTTAAAATCTTCTGCTCAAGAGCAGCAGAGCCATGATTAGTCATATATTAATATGGAAGCATCCTCAGGTAGTGTAGATTCAAGTTTGTTTCAATCATGACCCCAGGGGTTAGGGAGGGGCCATAATGGGGGATCAAATTTTTACAAAGGAATATATAGGAAAAAAATCTTTAAAAAATCCTTTAAAATTTTCTGCTCAAGAATAGCAAAGCCATTAGTTATATATTGATATGGAAGCATCCTCAGATAGTGTAAAATTCATTAAAGTCCCCCCCCCCCCTCCCCCTGGTAAACTTTTCAATACCGAACTAATTTGTGCTTTTCCCTAGCCAATGTGCTCAGGTGAGCGATGTGGCCCATGTGCCTCTAGTTTGTTGGTGTAATTGCTTTAATTAAGGTTGTAAAAATTGACACTTAAAGGACTTATCGCATGTTTCTAAATAATTTGAGATTAAAAGCGTAAAACGTTCCTTATGACCACAGTTTATAAATTTCGTGTTTTTACTGCGGATAAATCGCGGTAATTAACCAATTATTGACTCAAATGAAAACCCCTGAATTAAAAATCTAAGTTAATTAGATAGCGATCACGTGACCCTGTGACGTCAAAGGCGACAATGGCTGATCGGCTCTTCACTAAATCTTACTAAAATATACGTGATACAACCTGAATTTTCTGCGTTATGGACGACCAAATCACTGATTTTATCGATATGATTTTTAATATCCAACCTTATATTTTAGAATTGTAAGCAAGAAATAATCTGAAAAATTCGTTAACATTGTAAAAATAGCAGCGACGATAGCGAGGGAGACGCGGCGAAGACGAAGAAACCCGCCATAACAATACAATTTGATTTGTCATTTTATCACATGTATGAACTTATTTGATTCACAAATTTAAATTACATAACTTTGTTATTCTTCGTTTTTAACATAATATTAATTTATGCAAGTATGCCTTCATATGTTTTCTTAAGGATGGCGGTCTTGAAAAATAATTTTATGATCACGAAACATTGCCGTAATCAGACCTACAGATTCTAAATGTTTCGAATAAAAAACGAAAATATCTCAAAATTCTTGCACCTTAGAACTAGTTAATGTTTATATAGTAATTGAAAATCACGTTAAGAATTAATTTTTTCAGCATTTTTTCATAATAGTCTGCATTTGTCGTTGATAACTCCGAAAAAAGTGTGCAACTTCTCATCTCTCTATCACTGAATTGTCGCCTATGATGTCAGAGCAGTATTTCGCCGAAATCCGACTGAAATATGCATATTGCCGTATTTGATTTTCAACTCTCAATATCTCTTAAAATACGCTTTCAACAACGTTTATTGTATTCAGAATTTTAATAAACAAGGTTGTAGATAATATTTTTCATAAAATTAAGATTTTTGAAAAATCATGCGATAAGTCCTAAAACATTACTCTAAGGCAAAATTCAGCCAGGTGGACAAGTTTATTTAACACTGATAATTATACCTGAGTGCGTAAAATATTCATGTAAGCTATTTTTTTGAAACTAAAATAAGTTTCTATAATTTTTTTTTATTTTAGCATTATTAGCATTAATTCATGATTGCACCAACCAATCCATACCCGATGATTGCGCTAAATTTTGAATGCATTAATTTAAGTACATGTACAGTATTCATCATCAGTGCAATATTTCAGATTCTATGTTCATACAGGGTTCTCCATCGGCTATTTAACATGGCGGCCTCGCCATAGTTGAATTCCTTAGAGCCACACTTAAAAATCAGCGCCATAGTTCCGCCACAGTTAAAATATTAGCACCACAGGAAGATCGTCATCAGTAAGATAAATACTGGTATATAAATTTATAAACTAAATGAACCTCCAAATTTTGTACCGTTTTCAGTTTCTAATGGAAAAAGCATTAATTTACTCAAATTAGGGCCCATTGTTTGGCCTGTACAAGAAATTATCTTCCAGACGTCCCTGGAGACTTGAATGAAAAGAGACAAGCCATTTTTTCCACACTTCACGAAAATTGCAAATGAAATTTTTGATATTAATTAATTCATGCTTTAATAGTTCTACAGATAATTGTATTGACACTGTGAGTCAAACATCGTATGTGTATCAAAATCATGTATTTTAGTAATTTTGAAAAATTGACGATAGATCCACCAAAATATATTTTACGGCTCTTAGCTTCTTAGGTAACTTTTAAATTCACAAGAATTTCATCTGTCCTTTAATCTGTCCTTCACCTGACACTCTATAATTGACCTTTTGTTTACAAAATCTTTTCTTTTTTTTTAAATAAGTTAATATTTTCTGGGGGGGGGAGGGGGGGTGGTCTTTTGAACAGTATGCATATATTTTGGAAACATCCAAATTTTTGTTTTACAATATGCTTAATCAATATCGATTAATTGCTTTTATTATTATATTTATAAATCAAATGACATTTGTGTATTAAACTATTGATTTATTAGGATTGTGTGTTTTTCAATTTATTTTGTGGTTCCTTCACAAATTCGGTCGGGAAATGACCATGAATATAAGCAATTCGTGAAAGTCTTGTGCCACAATTAAATTTGAAATGAACCCTGTTCATACATGAAAATATTGTTGCGAAGGGCAACTTCATTTGTGTTACTGTAGTTGAAATTGCATCATGAGAGAAAATAAAGAAAAATAGCCGTGCTGGGTTGAAGTAGGAAGCTCTCTTCTGCGAGTATTATTCAGAAGAATCATTAAATTTTTCATGAATTCTTGTTTCAAGTATGGAAGGTAAAGAAAATGTGGAATACATTGGGAGTAGGTTTGCTGAACATAATGAGTTGAGATTTATTTCAATAACATTTCACATACATGTACAACTTGTAAATAAAAAAAATGTATAAGCCATTGTTATGCTTGATATTTACTCAGATAATATATTTTGGATGTAGAAGTTCAGTGATACAGACTTAGTATTCATAAAAAAGACTAATAATAAATATAGGCCTAATACCTTTTTGGTTTTTTCAATTTAGGAATAAATACTATGGAGACTTTGTAATTTAGATGCTTCACCTTTGGACTGAAATTGTGGGGAACAAAATTTAGATTTATATGTATATCTACGAATTATAAAAGTTATATTTCAGTAACCCAGAGAATTTATTGATCAGAATTTGCTTGGGAACACAAGCAGATTAATTAGGCTTGGTTAGGCCACATAAATTTAGAATTTAGATTCTCATCCTAATCTGCTAAAAAATTGGGGCGGGTGGGTGGATTTTATTTTTTATTTTTTATTATTGAAAGTATTTACATAACGCTCTTCTTACACAAAATTTTCACATTATGTTAATGCCAATATGAATATATTTTATTATTATTCTTTTAAATATCTACAGAAGATTCTTGTTATAGAATATTAAATATTTATAGTTTTTATTAATGAATTTTCAAGTACATGTAGATACGGCACACGTCACACAAAATGGGGTGTGGATCCCAATAAATTGCATATGCTGTATGTAGTAGTCACGACTTCTCATCAGCCTTTGTCCAAATACCTTTTAGTTTTACCAACAACTCCTTTTGTTCTGTGTGAAATATCACAGATTTCCACTGTCCTCATACTTTCGTTCTTGAGACTTAACACGTTCAACATTAAAATATGTCATTTTTGCAAAACAGGATGTCTAAAACTGTAAAATATTCTACTGAGAAGCGTATGCTCAACATTTTTAAGATTTACCATTTCCTTAGCATTATTATCCTCTAAAGTCTGCGACGATCTTTTTTTTTTTAAAAAAAAAAAAAAAAGCAAAATCACATACAACTGCAATTATTAAGTTATAACTTGACCAGATGTCATTTTCTTCCTCTGTTTTTACTTGGTTAAAATCTCTTTAAAAACTTGCTCAATTGCCAGTGATGGTTTCTAGATGTATTTATGTTATTTTTGCTTCTCTGCCTTCTCTTTCCTGGCAAATTATCTTTTCCCTACATATTTAAACTGCTTTTATTGCCGCTTTTGTGCTATAAATAGCGCCACGCGACTTTTAATACAGACGGGAGATAACTCTTAGATTTTGACTGTGATTCTTGTGGAGTAAAAAATACATGTAAATACTTTTGAAAACCAAAATAAAAAACAACGGGGCGGGGCACTTTGAGAGGGGCGGGCGGGGATGAGAATCTAAAGTTTAATTTTACCTGGCCTTATTGTAAATTTACTTATTTTAGAGATAATAATTAGCATCTTCTGCACCCTTTCTTGTCTGCTAGTTTATATATCGCTAGTATATGATTGAAATTAATGAATGTCGTTGTTAGAACTCTAATGGGCTAATTTAAAATTGTGCAGAACAGTTGCAGAGGACAATTGTGCTAAATTTTGAGTTCACTAGTATGTTTACAGCATAATTTTTAAAAAATTTCTTTTAGACTATTGCAACTTGTGTGAAAAGGAATACTTCTGAATATTCCCAAAAATCATCAAAAAAGGACAAAGACAGGAAAAAGGAGAGGAAAAAGCCGAGGATGGGTAAAGGAAGAAAGCATGCATTTAAACTGGTGGCAGAACCTGTCATGTTTGGGAAGGCAGTAGCAATGATATTTGACCATTGTGATCCATATGCAATGTCAAATTTTCTTGTGGTGAGTTTGTTACTGCTGAATCTGCAAAGTGTAAAATGGCACTCAGAGATTTTTGTTTGTCATCTTTTCTGTGGTGGCTTTCTGTCTTTAAATAAAAATTGGGGATTTTATATTTATTAGATTAAACCAACTATTATTTTCAACAACTTTATTCGCCAGTTTGAAATCCATCTGCAACAATTAATTTTCATGACTTATGAAGAAATGTTTTCCATAAATACATAGCTGAGTAGTTGGCTCCTGACAAGAATTATTCATGGCTAAATGAGTAGAATTCCCGGATAATTCTAGAATTAATAAAAGATGGCTTTCATTTTGTGTATTGCATGAACCATTAGACATTTCAAAATTTAACCCACTCTCAAAGTGTGTCATATTTCTTTCAAATACACTGTATCTTTTTTAAGCTTGACAGACAAGAAGACTTTGATAATAAGCATATTTTGTTTTTCATGAAATATTTTTGTTCTAGTGAAACACAAAATTTTGGTACAAACCAGAGTTCCCTTTCTTTAGTTTTCATTTGATCAGAAACATTCTTGCCAGTAAAAGTTTTTTAAAAAAAACAAAAAATCCTGGGTATTGCTCATTAGATCTTGGCATCTAGAATATCAATGTAATATTGTAATTGTCTTCTAATCACCTAGCATGTGTCTTCTTTATATACTATATATATATATATATATATATATATATATATATATATATATATATATGATGTCAACAAATTATCGGAGTTTTACGATCTACTAAACCAAATGAACTTGGATATCAATTCACGATGGAAACAGATGATACGCAAATGCCATTTCTCGATGTTCTTATATCAAAAGATAATACCAGCTTAAATACGGATATATACTATGAGCTGACAGATACACACCAATATCTGCATTTTGGATCGTGCCATCCCCACCATACTAAAATGGCTATACCATATATTCTTGCATGAAGGATCTGTACCATTGTGAGCAATATTAATACGAGGGATATCTGTTTGGAGGAATTAAAATTGTATTTATTGAGCCAAAAATACCCAGAGCAACTGGTAAATGATAGTATTATGAAAGCCAAGGAGTGTGAAAGAACACAATTACTTTCAAACACACGACGTGCGAAGGACGGAGAAATAATACCCTTTGTTCACACGTACAATCCGAGAAATAAAAACATCAATTCAATTGTTTATGAATTAAATAGCTTACTTAGAGAGGATGAACAAACGAAAACTACATACAAAAACTGTCGTTTTATCAGCAGTAAACGTCAGCCGAAAAACCTTAAGAGAATACTTTGTTCCTCCCAATTCACTGACCATAATTATACAGTGTCAAAGTGTACGGACCCTCGATGCGGCACATGTGACTACATTACAGAAGGGACGAGTTATAATTTTAACGGGCGTGAATTTAAAGTTAATGCCAACATGTCATGTGATATGAAAGATGTCATATACGCCATCACATGTCCTGGATGCAAAGAATATTATATTGGTGAAACTGGCAACAGTCTCCGTGCCCGTGTACGTGTACATAAGCAACACATCAGTACACCTGAATATAGACAAATCCAGTTAAGTGCAGATCTGGAAACTTGTGGAAAAAAACGATTTAACATTTTCCCTTTTTATAAACTCAGATGTGCCAGTGATATCCAGAGACGGGAAAAAGAAAAACATTTTATTTGTATTCTAAAGCCAAAACTTAATAGTCCCTTATAAACTACCTATGATTTTCCCGAACTTTTCCATCATCATTGCAGTATTTTATCTATGACGTCACAATATAGACATTAAACGTTCCGCTTAGTTTAACGTCATAATCATTGTTATTATACCTCTACTCTTATTACTCTTTATAAAATTAATACCATAAAACTGTCTATTTCCCCGAGAAGATACTATTTCTCCCATCTGAGGACTACTCCCTGAAAAATCAGAGCTACTCCCTGGGACTACTCCCTCATGAATATTTATTATTAATTTTAACCAATTAAAATGAACAGTGGACGGAGCGTTCAAGGAATCTCGAGTCCGTGACGTAATGTTATTAGCAATGTAACTATGACGTCAAAACATTTCGACATGCAATGTCAAATTCATACTTGAATTTCTAAGCAAAAAAAGGACAACGCTAATCCTTCGAAATATTAGTAAAATTGATTATTATTTTTAGGTCATCTGAGTAAACTTTTGAACATTTTTAGCTTCTTCTCTGGAACCACTGAACTAATTTCAACCAATTTTGGCAAATAGCATCTATGGGTGAAGGGGAGTAAAAATTGTGAAATTCATGACCCCTGCCCCCCTGGGGCCTGAGGGGTGGGGCTAAAACCATCAAAATTAATGCAATCTTTAAAAATCTTCTTCTTTACTCCTGGACATCAAGCAGTCAAACTGTTGGCATGATTGTAATAAGCATTGAGCCCTCTACCAAAATTGTGAAATTCATGGCCCCAGGGTCAGGGGTTCTGGTGCTAGGGCGGGGCTCTAATGATTATATAGTGAAAATGCATTAATTCTTTAAAAATCTTCTCCTCTGCTCCTGGGTATTAAGCCGATGAATTAAGTACATAGTTATGATGAGCAAGAGTGCCTCTTCCAAAATTGTGAATTTCATGGCCCCTGGGTCAGAGGTTCTGGTGTTAGGGCGAGGCTCTAATGAATATATAGTGAAAATGCATTAATTCTTTGAAAATCTTCTCCTCTGCTTCTTGGTATTAAGCCGATGAATTAAGTACATAGTTATGATGAGCAAGAGTGCCTCTTCCAAAATTGTGAAATTCATGGCCCCTGGGTCAGGGGTTCTGGTGTTAGGGCGGGGCCCTAATGAATATATAGTGAAAATGCATTAATTCTTTGAAAATCTTCTCCTCTGCTCCCGGGTATTAAGCCGATGAATTAAGTACATAGTTATGATGAGCAAGAGTGCCTCTTCCAAAATTGTGAAATTCATGGCCCCTGGGTTAGGGGTTCTGGTGTTAGGGCGGGGCCCTAATGAATATATAGTGAAAATGCATTAATTCTTTGAAAATCTTCTCCTCTGCTCCCGGGTATTAAGCCGATGAATTAAGTACATAGTTATGATGAGCAAGAGTGCCTCTTTCAAAATTGTGAATTTCATGGCCCCTCTTGGTGAGGGGTTCCATGATGGGGGGGGGGGCTTTTTTCTAAATACTGAAAATAAATTAATGCTTTGAAAATCTTCTCTGCTCCTGGGTATTGAGCTGATGAACTAAGTACATAGTTATGATGAGCAAGAGTGTCTCTTCCAAAATTGTGAATTTCATGGCCCCTTGGTGAGGGGTTCCATGTTGGGGGGGGGGGGGCTTATTTATTATATACTGAAAATAAATTAATGCTTTGAAAATCTTCTCCTCTGCCCCTTGGTATTAATTAAACAAACTAAATACATAATTATGATGAGAAAGGATGCCTCTTCCAAAATTTTGAATTTCATGGCCCTTGGGTCAGGTGTTCTTGAGCTTGGGTGGGGTTCTATTGATTAATTAGCAAAATGCATTAATGCTTTGAAAAACTTCTCCTCTGCCCCTGAGTACTAAGCAAACAAGCTAAATGCAATAATATCAATGTAAATACATGTATTAAATTTAATTATAAGTAAATGTGCCTTTTCTTTGCTTGTGGTTATCTAGGAGGCAGAGTACACAATTGTGATGTGAAGGAAATGAGAGTTACTCCCCTTTGCTAAATATTGTTAATCAAGAAATCCTTGTATATAATTTAATTAACAGGTTATTTGATTGAATGACAATACAAGAAAGAATGTTATATATATATATATAGAAACAAAATAAAAATGAATGTTTGGTTTAAATGAGCAAAGTATGCTCAAAGTCAGATTCTTGCCTGGAAAGCAGTATAAAAGATTGACATAAAGATTATTTATATATTTAGCAAAAGTTGTAATTGTACATAGTATGTATACTATGTGGTGATCTAAGTTAGTGTCACTTGTAGAGGAGTTGTGGTTGACAGGAGACTGGATATTGTTTTATACTTTATCAAAGTGAACAAAGAATCACAGAGGGCCAGAGTGACTTATTGTAATTAGTGACAAGTGGCAAATAACCACGTTGTATATACCCAAGTCTGTGTGTACTGAATTGTAGCACTAGGCAAGTGACAAAAAAATATCTGTGTATATTGAATACCTTACACAATAGGCAAGTGTTCTTTGTATTTGTATATTTTGCATTCATTATCATCCCTGTAAGACTTGGGAAAACCAAGTATGATCCAAAGGAGATCAATCGGGTCTAGCACATTACAATAAGCAAGGGTATTTTTACCAGATTTTTAGCTCACTTCGACGAAGTCGAGATGAGCTCATGCTATACCCCCGACGTTGGCGTCCCGGTTAAAAGTTTTAGGAGCAAGTCCACTCCCAAGTAACTATAAGCCCTACGTGAACCAAACTTGCACGGATGATGCATCTAGGGATGGACACTACCACACTTGCTTTGGATGCTGGATCTGACCTAGATTTTCCAGATGAGTGACCAGGTTAAAGTTTTTGGAGCAGGTCTTTTTTCAAAGTAACTGTAAGTCTTACTTAAACCAAACTAGCATGGATATTGATCTTGGGATGTACACTAACTAGAAAAAGATATGATGTGAGATTTGCCTTACTTATAGATAACATTTGTCGAGGTGAGCTTCTGTAAATCTTTGATTACCTATGTTTGAAATTCTTGGGCAACATTGCTTCGTCTATCAGTTAATTTTGTCTTATACTTCCATGGATCCTTTAGTGTTGTATTATACGCAGGTGACCGTTAAGGCCCTTGGGCCTCTTGTTTTTTTAAAATAATTTTAATTTTTCCGTATTGATGCATTACATATTTAACAAAATTGGAATCACATGCATTTATTATTATTTTTATAAATGCCCTTATATTGTTTTAAAAATGTCTAAGTCTCTAAAGTTAATTAATCTCCTTTGTTTGTTTCGGTATAATAAAACATTTATGGAATGGGTACTCGGGAAATATCAAATTTATGGTTCCCCTCAGCAGGAAACTATTTCCCTCGGCGGCTTCGCCGCCTTGGGAAATAGTTTCCTCCCTCGGGGAACCATAAAATTGCTATTTCCCTCATACCCACGCATTCCATAACTGTATATTACTATGTTACTGTTGTATACATTTTTGTAATGTAAAGCTTCTGAAGATTTTTAATGAAAGCGCTAAAGCTTTACGGAGGATTCTTGTGTTTTCTCTTTATATTTGTTTAATATTGTAATCCGATTACTGAGACTTTATTTCAATTTTGGATATATATATATATATATATATATATATATATATATATATAAAGTGGTACTGTAGAAGGTAATAAAGATAAATGTTGAAACTGTGAAAAAAAATTACTTTCATGTACTCCCTTTTTCAGATAGCAAACTGTTCTACAGCAGAGAAGTTTTTGAAAATGAAAATCTACTACAAAGGGAAATGGTCCAGAGACTTCATACATTACAATGAAAGTCAGGAGAATCCATACAATATACGGCCATGCCAGTTGTATCAGGGCTACAGAATAAACAATGCTGAAGTTATTCACTTTTATTGTTCACATAGGTAAGGAAACATATTTTTCGTTTAGGAAGTTTAAAGTACCGTTGAACTTAGATATCTCAAACAGTGATATCTCAAATACAGTGGATATGGCATAAGGAATTGGAAGTCCAAACCACATTCTCCTTATGTCTTTTAACCTTAAGCTTATTATCTCAAATCTTTGGATATCTCAGAAGTATTTTTTTTTTGCCCCCCCCCCCCCCCCCATACATTCAAAATAATGAGGTTTGAGTGTGCTATTATATTTGTATAATACAGTGTATTTGGTATAAACTATATAGATGATCTTACGATTTTACTGCTTTAAAATTTACAATTGATCTAGAGGTATTGAATTTTGGAGACCAAATAAGCCAGTCTATGCATTGAAAATAAAAGTTCCCTATATAAATATATAAATTTCTAATTCCAGTAGACATTAGTATTTTAATGCTATTTACTATAGAATAATAACTTAACTAATTTCTATCAATTAACTGCTCCTTCCATTTGTGGAAAATGCAGTTTAAAACTTTTCAAGGGAAAAAAAAAACAGTGATTTTAAGTCAAAACTAGATGCTGTCATGAGACAGTAATACCCGCACTAAGGTGTTTGCCTCTAAATGCACACTCCTTCATATTGGGTTTACCAAGGAAAAAGTCCAAATAATTCTATAATTTACACAGTACATGTATTCGTCAAATCGAGCATAAAATGCTCAGGTGACCATGTGACCCATGAACCTCTTATACGCATTTCATATACTTAATTCATTACCAGTCTGAAATAACAGAATTTAATTAATGATGTAAATTAGGTTTTGATAAAAGGGGGGGGGATATAAATTTTTGGCCCATAATTGGAACTTTTTAAATTTACTTTCTCAACAACAAATAATATTATTTTAGTACAAAGCGTTTTTGATGAATTTATCAAAATGTGCAAACTTTTTTTAGTATTTGATTAGGCAAAAACCTCCTTGAAAAGCCATACCCAATCAATTTTGTCACCCCCCCCCCCCCCCAACACACACACACAATTTGCCTGTTTTTGAAAATAGGCCTAGATGGCAAAGTTATGTTAAAACATCGTTAGTTATGATAATTTAAAATTTGTTCTTGTACTGTACATGTATGTGAACACCTTGAAAATTTCTACATCACATTGGGCTTGCGTCACCCTACCAGTACTAGTACTAGTTTTACCATTATCATTTTTAGATTGCACATGCCATGTGACATGGTGCAGTGTTACATGTATATCAGTGGAAATTAATTCATTTTGTGTTATAATTGGATTATATTTCATGAAGTTGACAGGACCTATGACAGTCGGTAAGTACAAGTTTAACTATAGATTGGGGTAAAATAAACTGAAATGCAAATAGTTAGGTTAAAGTTTAAAAAGGATCAAAGATCATTGGCAATCTTCTATGCAGAGTTGTCGTTCGTTTCTCTCTCAGACACTGAATGTATGAGCCAATGCAGAGACATATGTCTCTGGCCAATGGTAGAGAGTGGATCATCAGATGCCACAATAGACGAATTTCACATTCTGAAGAGTTATCTCCCGTTGTCGACATTACATTCAGTTATAGGCACAGATCCTGGAATTTTTCCCCAGAATTTCCTGAGGAGCAAAAAAAAAAAAAAAAAAAAAAAAAACAAACGAACAAACAAACAAAATAAAAACAATGATGGTGGGGTCCATGTTTTTAAAGGGGGAGGGCATCCAAAGTCATTTTTTATTTGCTTCTGTAAATCAGTATATAGTCCTATTTAAATAACTCTGCAAATTCCAGGGGGGGGGGTGTTTCCAATCTCCCTAGCCGCTCCCTGTCCCTGAAATGACAAATGATCATGTGACTCCTAAATAGTAGAAAACTTTTCCATTTGACTATACATAATTTTGTTTCTTGTGTTATTATGTTATGTATATCTAATGGTTTAAGGTTATGAACCCCTGGAGGTCATCCCCACTCTCTTAATGAACTGGAAATGTTCATAATATGACTACATCAAATTAAATAAAAGTGCATCAATGATAAGATTACTTGACATTTCATTCATGAATTTGGGTCAACCCATGTATCCTCCTAGAATTAGGAATGAAAATCATTCATAGAGATGGACCATTAAACTATCTGTATATATTCAGATTTTTTTTTATGTCAAACCAAAGTATTAGACTAGTTTGCATACATGAACAAACAGGGGTCTGGGAAGGGGCAAGGGGAAGGAGTTATCTCTTTACGTCTTAATTGTTGAAAACTCCTAAAATGAATGTTAACCTCAAATCCGACTTGTACGACTTCATTATTTTTAAGTGGTGGTGTCTCCGTATGAGTGAAAAATTCCCAAGAGGGACATTTAACAACAAACAAACATTAATGACTTAAAAAACACAATATACATGTACATGTTTATTAGTCAACGGATATACTTCTGATCATATCTCTAGTTCTCCCTTGAATCAGAAATGATGATATAAATATTTTAAGAATGATTAAGAGTTGAAAAGGTTGTGCATTTTAAAATTCACTAAGCTCTGTGGTTGAATTAGCTATACCAGTTTAGCTTATTTTGCTACTCAAAGCACCTTGATTAACTATTTTTAATCATACTGTTTTCTGAAATGTGAAGTTTTTTCAACATGGATACAAGTCATACCTTTTCAGCTTCTGAAAACAATGCATGAAAAAAAAAAACTGCTTTTCAAATACTGTAACTCTTTCCAAGTACTTGTGATCATCAGTTTTTAGCTCACTTGAGTTTTTCTGGTTTTCTGATCACGTTTTGTTTGTCATCCATCTGTCCGCCTGTAAACTTTTCCCATTTTTGTTTCTTCACTAGAACCGCTGGGCCAATTTCAAGAACCACTGACACAATAAATTTAACCTTGGTCATAGCTTCTGAATAATAAGAGATAGGGCTTTCATATTTCACATGTACATTACCTACAAGAACTTTCTAAACATACCATGATTTTTGAACCCATGACCTTGACCTTGAAGTTTGACCTACTTTTCAAAAAATTTAACATTATTTTAAATGATCATTTTGAAAGAGAAAAGATAGGGCGTTCATATTATACATGTATATTACCTGTGACAAGACCTTTCTAAATATATCATGACTTTTGACTCTGTGACATTGACCTTGAAGTTTAACCTACTTTTCAAAAATGTTATATTTCCTTATAACTTTTGATTGAGAAGAGATAGGACTTTTATATTTGACATGTACATTACCTGTAACAAGATGTTTTCAAGCATGCTATGATTTTTTTAACCCTTGACCTTGATGTTTTACCTAATTTTCAAAAATTTTAACTTTGGTGATTACTTTTGAATGACATATGATAAGGCCTGCATATTTGAAACAATATGTCATAAATATGGCATCCCATCCACTAGGACACGGAAAGCAGGGGACCACAATTCTTTGAAATTGCTTGTTAGTCATTTTGATATGGAAACATCCTCATATAGTGTAGATTCAAGTTTTTTATGCCCTGCCATGAATATGGCCGAGGCATATAGTGTTTGTCATGTCCGACTTCAATAAAACGTCATATGCTGATACATACTGATGTAAGCTTTTCAACTGCATCAAAATTTTTGACCTTGACTTTTCCTTTGACCTTGACCTTACTTTTCTTAAATTAGTGTCTAGATCAGTTTTGAATAAACAATTCAAGATGTATTTATCGAACTTCATATGCTGATATATACTGCTGAGAGATATCAATTGCATCAACTTTTTTGACCTTGACTTTTCCTTTGACCTTGACCTCACTTTTTTAAATTAGTGTTTATCTATGTTTTAAATAAACCATTTCTGATATTTTTATTGAACTTCTATGCTAATAGTAAATACATACTGATATAAGCTTTTCAACTGCATCAGCATTTTGACCTCAACCTTTCCTTTGACCTTGACCTCTCTTTTCTAAAATAAGTGTTAAGCTCAGTTTTAAATAAATCATTCAAGATATTTTTATCAAACCTAATATGCTGATATGTATTAGTGAGAGCTATTCAACTGCATCAAAAACTTTTCACCTTGCAATTTCCTGTGACCTTGACCTCCCTTCTCTTTAATTTGTATTTTGCTTAGTTTTAAAGAAACAATCTAAGATATTTTTATGTAAGCATTGCACTTATACATAATTTTGTGAGAATTTATCATCTATATCCATTTTTTTTTAGATTTTAGTTTCAATTTTAAAGAAACTGTTCAAGATATTCTCATCAAACTTCATACACTCTTACAAATTTTCATGTTGCATTTTAGTAATATACATTCGGCGGGGCATTTAAGTCCTATGGACATATTTCTAGTTTTCAAATCATGACCGACGAGGATAGGGTCAGGCCACAATAAGGGATCAAAGTTTTATAGAGATTTAAAAGGAAAAAAATCTCCAAAATTCTTCTTTTTAAGAACAACAAAAGCATGATTAATATGGAAACATTCCCAAGAAGTGTAGATTCAAGTTTGTACAAATCATGACCCCATGGGTTAGGGAGGGGCCATTTTTTTCCTGCCCCTATTTGCTATCCACATGGAAATGCAAATTTTAAAACCATTTTACACATCCACAGGACAAAATCAATCATCTTCCAAATGATCATGATTTAAGGCTAGTGCATAACATATAAGGGAAGTTCTGGGAACCAGGATGTTTAAACATGTTAAATATTTTTTTTAAAAAATTTGACCCCCATTTGACCCCCAGGGGGAAAATAAGAATTCCGAAACCTTACTGCACATCTATAGGACACCACCAACTATCTCCCAAAAGATGATTAGGCTACTGTGTAAAATGTAAGAGGAGTTCTGGGAACCAGGGGCTTTTTGCATAAAAAACGTCATTTTTCGACCCCTATTTGACCCCCAGGGTGAAAATGAGAATTCAGAAACCTTACTGCACATCTATAGGACACCACCAACTATCTCCCAAAAGATGATTAGGCTACTGTGTAAAATGTAAGAGGAGTTCTGGGAACCAGGGGCTTTTTGCATAAAAAACGTCATTTTTTGACCCCCATTTGACCCCCAGGGTGAAAATGAAAATTCCGAAACCTTACTGCACATATACAGGACACCACCAACCATCTCCCAAAAGATGATTAGGCTACTGTGTAAAATGTAAGAGGAGTTCAAGGAACCAGGGGCTTTTTGCATAAAAAACGTCATTTTTCGACCCCCATTTGACCCCCAGGGTGATAATGAAAATTCCGAAACTTTACTGCACATCTACATGACACCACAAAACATCTCCCAAAAGATGATTAGGCTACTGTGAAAAATGTAAGAGGAGTTCAGGGAACCAGGGGCTTTTTGCATAAAAAACGTCATTTTTCGACCCCCATTTGACCCCCAGGGTGAAAATGAAAATTCCGAAACCTTACTGCACATCTGCAGGACACCACTAATCATCCCCCAAAAGAAGATTAGGCTACTGTGTAAAATGTAAGAGGAGTTCAGGGAACCAGGGGCTTTTTGCATAAAAAACGTCATTTTTCGACCCCCATTTGACCCCCAGGGTGAAAATGAAAATTCCGAAACTTTACTGCACATCTACATGACACCATGAAACATCTCCCAAAAGATGATTAGGCTACTGTGTAAAATGTAAGAGGAGTTTGAGAAATAAGAGTGTGACAGACGGACGGACGGACGGACAGACATGAGTAACAACAATATACCCGAACTTTCTTTAGAAAGTGCGGGTATAATAACACATTTTCTAGATTTGTTTATATTAAAGCTCAAATCTGTACAGGTGCAGTCATGACTATATTTTTTCTTCAAAGAAATATGTTTAAAAAGTAAAATGTGTCTTAATTCTTATTTTCTGTGATGATTTTACATTATAATTGTAGGTTAATTGAAATTTATGATCAAGAGGGTTCAATGGTTGAAACTGTACCTCAAGCTGATACTGCTGGACATGGAGTTCTGCTACAAAGGAGTATTTACAAGAAGCAAGTTTACCCACTGATAATCAAAGACCAACTTATAGCTATCAACCAGGAGAAAAGGTAAAAATCAGAATTCTTAATTAACTCCTCTACTAGTAATCATTTCCGTCAGCATTTTCTATGGCCTGTTTGAAAAGCAGGGTATTCAAATACTGTATGTGTACATAAATTGGAGTATTCAAAATCTAGCGCAATCATACATGTGATATGTACAGGCTGTACGCAAAATGTACAGTTTTTTGAGCCCATTCATCGTGTACCGGCGGGACACCAAAATTCACGGAATATGAAAATTTGTACAATATTTTGAATTTCTCGCTAAATGCCGCCATTTTCCTCTCATTCTCGCTCGCGAGACACTGGAAAATGTCACCTGTGTTTGACACTTGACCTTCTGATAATTGTGTAGTGTACACAAACCATCGCGTGCGAAGGTGTGAACTGCCAATTGGGATAATTATCTTGCTATAAATCCGTATCAAATACCCCTTTAGGTAGCTTTATTTTTTAAGGGGTACTTAATTACTGTTAATGTTTCATATACATAACTTGATTGAAAAAAATTAAGCCAACTTCTAAAGTTGATATACATGACTTTAGTCTTAATATACGTGAATCTGACCCAGATCTTCGTAGGTATAAAATATACGATGTTTATTACAATGATTACGCTGGAATTTCAGAAGAATTTAAGCGATATTTTATACCATTTTTTTGTACCGTTTTTTGATCGGCAGTGTACAGTTTTTTCACCCAAATTCCAGTTTTTTTATGGCTCCTGTACAGTTTTGTGGTCTTTGACTTATCACATGTATGCGCAATCAATGTGTATGGAGTTGTGGTGTAATCATAAATTAGTGCTACACATGTCCGTGCCTTGTATTATTTATATATGAGATCTCTTAGCAGTATTCATAAATTAGTGCATTGTTGTCTGCGCCAAAGCCGCTAAAATATGAAGCCCACTTGTTTAAGAACACATGCAGTATTTTGCCCCATAATTTGGGAGGGTGGGGGGTATATAGGAATATCACCTTGTCTTGTCTGTGTGGTATGTCTGGGCTACATGTATAACTTTGTAAAGGAAAATCATTAAAAGCTCATACCTGGTACAAAGATTGTTTATGATCGAGGCTGTGTCTTTAGGCAAGTTCATGGTCACTAACAGAAAAAGTATAAAATTAGTGTATGGTCTTCAACTTCCTAATAGAAAAACAGTCATGGAGTTCATTCCTCATACAAAGATTACTTATGACCTGAAGGTGTGGCATGACCTTGATCCAAGGTTAATCTAGCAAGTTCTTGGTCACTGACAGAAAAAGTATAAAACTTGTGTCTTTATTGCTTTCTAACAGATAAGTTTTGTAAGTTGAAACTTCAAACAGAGATAGGAATCTTGACCCAAAGTTCATTGTGGCAAGTTAATGATCATTGGCAGAAAAAGTGTAAAATTCATTTTCTAATGGAGAAACATTGGATTTCAAAATTTTACTCAAAGATTACTTATGTCTAGATGAAAGTAAATTTTTTTAAGCCAAGGTCATTATGTTAATGGGCATCAAACTACAGATGTTAATTATGTTTAAAACAGGACATGATCAATGAGTTTGATTTTAGGTTACCTGAGTCATTTTAAAATTCTTTGAAAATCCTCTGCTCTGCTCCTGGGTATTTAGCAGAAATACTAAGTTCATGGTTATAATGAGCAAAGATGCCTCTTTTAGAATTTAGAAATTTATGGCCCCATGGTCAGGGATCTGGTGTTAGGGCTGGGCTCTATTGATCAAATTTAGTTAAAATGCATAAATTCTTGAAAAATTGTCTTCTCTTCTGGATAATTTGAAGACAAGTTAAGTGCATGGTTATGATGAACAAGAGTTTCTCTTCCAGAATTGAGAAATTCATGGCCCCAGGGTTAGGGGTTCTGGTGTACGGGCAAGGCTCTATAGATCATATAGTAAAAAATGCATTTAATCTTTGAAATTTTTTTTCTCTGCTCCTGGATATTTAGCAGACAAACAAAGTGCATGGTTATAATTAGCAAGAGAGCCTCATCCAAACTTGTAAAATTCATGGCCTCTAGGGTCAGGGGTTCCGGTGTTAGGGCTGGGCTCTTTTACAATCATGTATGGAAAGAAGAGAAGTAATTGCCCTTTATTATTCATATACGATAATTAATTACTTATACTACTTACTCCACACGGTTAGTAATATTTTCATATAAACCGGGAAATAAATCGAGAAACAGCGTTCTTTTTTGTGCGCAAAAAATACACACTTTTTTCAATGGGTGGCACTGTCGCTCCCAATTTTTTCAGACCAGTGAGCTACAGATCTGCAGCTAACTTATAGATAACATTCGTTGAGGTGAGCTCTGTTATCTTTTATTACCTATAGTTAATGTATAATACAAAAAGTACTTTTACAGATTTTAGACTTCTAAATAACAAGCATTAGACAAGAATACCCTATATTTGTACATTGAATTTAATTTAAAGACCAAGAGAGGCCAATGGTATGGGGATCCTTCTCGGCTTACTATGTGAATTCAGTGTTTTAAGTTGAAGCACTGTTGTTAAGTTTGGTATAGCAAGTACTGGCATATAGGCAAGTAAATAGATCAACTGATGAGTTGTTGCTGATAATCAGATCACCTATTTTGTTGATCCCTGATCATCCTATTTCTTGATTAGTCATATTTATGTGGAAGCATCTTCAGATAGTGTAGATTCAGGTTTGTTAAAATCATGACCCCCAATGATAGGGTGGGACTACAATGGGTGATCAAATTTGACATAGGAAAAAGAATCTACTGATGAAGAACAAGAAGGGTCATAGCTATTCAGGTGAGTGATGTGGCCCATGGGCCTCTTGTTAAATTGTCATCCCAGTGATCCTTTACAGGGTTGTATAATACTCCTTAAAAGGAAGAGCAAAGTGCCATATGGAAGTTTTTATGCCCCTGGATTGAAAGATTCCGGGGGTATATTGTTTTTGTCCTGTCTGTCTGTTTGTCTGTTGTCAACTTTAACCTAGCCCATAACTATTGCACTGTCAAGGGTAAGGCTTTAATATTTGACATGTGTGTTCATTATGACAAGACCTTTCCTAGGGTACCACCATATATGACCTTTTGACCTTAACCTTGGGGTTTGACCCAGTTTTGCGAAATTTTACCAAACTTTAACCTTGGCCATAACTTTTGAATGGTTGGTGCTAGGGCTTTCATACTTCACATGTGTAATCCTTGTGAAAAGACCTTCCTTTGGATACCAACAACTTTGACCTTTTCACCTTGGAGTTTGACCTACTTCTTAAAGACTTTCACTTTGGCCTTAACTTTTGAACAATTGGTGCCAGGGCTTTCATATTTCACATGTGTATTTCTTATTGGAAGGCCTTTCCTTGGGCACCATTAATTTTGTCCATTTGAACTTGACCTTGATGTTTGACTTAGTTTTGAAAAACTTTAACCTTTTCCATATCTATTCAATGGCTGCTGCTAGGGTTTTCATATTTCAAAGGTATAGTCCTCAAGACAAGACCTTACTTTGGGTATCAACGTATTTGATTTGCATTTGAGAAAGTTTAACCTTTGATATGAGTTGCCATACAGGGGCATCAGTGTTTCACAAACACATCTTGTTTACTTTGCAGACTGTTGTGCTTCAGAAATGGAGAAGAATTCTACAGTCCAGACATAGAAAATGCTACATCAGTAGCAGCCTTTGGGGACATTCTGATCGTTTTGATGGACAACAAGACACAGTTTGTTGCAGCTCATCAGCTTCGAATTCTCAACATTAATATCACAAAATCCTGTCAGAGGTAAACATAAGAATGCTTTTTATATATATCTGATGTACTGATCCTTTTGTAAATCTTAGCATATACACTATGAAAGATTAAAGTGTATGGATTTTCAAGATATTAAACTTGCACATTACACCCTATTTGACATGTTGATAGTTATTTCTTTCAATTTTTACTCAAGGTAAAAGAATAACATGGTTATAAGCTTGATTTTGAATACTCATATTTTACACAAATATTACTTATGTGTTGAAGGTGAATCATAACCTTGACTCAAGGTCATCCTAACAATTTCAAGGTCATTGGTAATAAAAATATCAAATTTTTCTTGGAAGTTGATAACTTCAAATAGAAATTATTTGTGAGCTAAAAGTATGTCATACTATTGACCTAAAGTCATTGTGGCAAGTTCAAGGTCACTGGCAGAAAAGTGTTAAATTCATGTCAGGTCTATAATTTCCTAATTGAGAAACATTGAATGTCAATATTTCACTCGAACATTACTTATGACCAGAGGATTTTTTTTTATAAACAAAGTCATTTTGGCAAGTTAAAGGTCACTTTTACAAATTGCAAATGAGCACTATTAAAAAAAATATGTGGGGGGGGGGGGGGGGGGGGGATTTTGTGAGCTCATTCGCGGTACCTCTAGATATATATTCTTGTAACTGTGTGTATATCTTGTATCATGTTGTAGTGATTTAAAGCTGAGGATAGGAGAAAGCAGACAAGAGATAGAACAGAGCTTTAAAACTGTACAGGTGTTATCTACACAGACAGTCACCAGGGACAGTGGGACTTATCTGTTGTGTATAGCAGCATTAGACAGAACCATAGTGTGTCTGGAAGTACCCATAGATACATCGAAGTAGGCAGTTAATGATATACATTTGTATCTAGTGAAATATTTATTTCTATCTTTCTGTTTCTGTTCCGATTAATATAAGAATCACCACTACCAGGTTGGGGGGAAACGTAAATTCCGCTATAATAGTGGTATATCACTATTATAGTGAGATTCCGCTATATTTTCAGCCGTAGTTACCCTCAATTTCATCAAATAACATATTTGCTGATTAAAGCCCAAGTTTTGATGGGTATAAAAATGGACAATAATTTGAATCCTTGCATGTTATGAATTTTATTTAATTTTCTGCCAATGCGTTTAATAATACGAACACACTTTTTAAAGCGGAAGTTACATTTTTAACATAGCAACCAGTGATTGCGGTAGTATTGAACAAAGACTGACTCTTAATATCTCTTACACGTGTGCACAAATTAGTGCTTGTAATAACTTTGAACCCACGTTGAAATACGTTTGTCGAATTTACAGAAAAAAAGATGATTTTTGCCTGCATGGTAATGGGTATGGAGGCCCATTGTGACAAACGAAAAAAGCTCATTCCATGTTCACTTTATTCTGATGAAACCGATTTGTATTGTTTAATTTCAATAAATCGTGAACAATGATGTAAGATGTCATTTCTGCAGGTAATTACAAACACATTGTTTGACATTCTTTTTGAGAATGTTAAACAAAATTAACAATATGAACTACAAAGGGTCTCGGTTTTAAGGGTGTCTTCCACCTATTCCCACTTTTTAAAAAAAAATCACAAGTCCACATATTTTCGCTAGCAAAAATGATACAGTTTATTCAGAATATAACTTTGGGCAGACAGCCCATCAGTTACAAAAATAACTTATAATCTACACATATTTTACAATAAGTAAGACTCTCACAGAGTCTAAAAGGGGGGTGAGACCCCTGATCAAGTGTTTCTCAGTCCCACAGTTCCATTCACTTGTATAGAAGACTATAATATATGCTATAATATAAAGCAGAAGAAAGAATACTTTAAAACAATTTAATTGTTTTACAATATATGTAGCAATGCTGTTGTATTATATATGAACATTTGAAAATTAACCTTGAACAAATAGACATTGGGTCAACCTGACAGATCATCGTAACGTAATATAAGAGCATGATGGATAAATTTCCCTAAGCCAACTAGGGTACGTATCTGATGTGAACCGAATAAATGAAGTAATTTAAATGTACTTGGAGATTTGTAATAATATTCATTTATGTATTTTTTCCTTAAATTTAGATATCTATGGCACTGAAGAATGAAATTAAATTCGTCTTCAATTTGATGAGTATCGTAAACATCGCATAATCTTGCCTTGTGTTGATAGTTCATTTGTGTTTATAACAATTATGTTAATTACATCTCAACTTAGGTGTTTTTTTTTACAATTCAATACACTTTAAGACAGAAAATACATTTAATAAATCGATGAAAATGCAATGATTTATTTCACTTAATTTTGTACAGAAAATAAATGAATAGATTTTAAGAAAAAATATGATGTAATTCACTCAATTTTTTACTCCTTGAATACGTACAATCTAAGACAGAAAATTAAGTAAATTGATTCAATTTCTTTTTCAATTTGCTTAAGCTTAAAATACTGTATGAAATATGAAGATAACAAACAGTAATCAATCTCAAAAGTCCATTGAAACAATAGAAAAATTAAACAGAGCAAACACGGACCCCTAAAAACATCAGAGGTGGGATCAGGTGCCATAGAGGAGTGAGCACCCCCTACCAACCGGTCAAATCCGCCGTGTGCTCCTTGTCATGATCGTGAAAAAAACGTAGACAATTCAATGTGTAAATAATGGCTTATGTGTACTTAAAAAAGCAGGCTTGATATTTTAGCGGCTGTGGCGCAGACAACGATGCACTAATTCATGACAACCATTAACAAATGAATTTCGCAAAATCCATGATCGACAGGGGATGCCTACTCCTCCATAGCACCTGATCCTACCTTTTCGCTCTGCGAAAAATTTTATTGTTCAAATGGCCCTTTTCATTATCTTCATATTTCTGTTTCTCCTTGTATTTCGTTCATTTATACCAGAATAATCTACTACTGGTAATTAGGATTTCATTGTGTCTTTTTTAGTGCATAGCGTAGTTAAATATAAAATTTTATGCAATTTACACAATCAATAAATTGTGCAGAATTTATAAGACGTGACATCTACAGGTAATTTTTACAACTTTTTCCCTTTTTTTGCTAAGACTAATTATTTTATTTCATGGTTTCATCATCAAGAAAGGAAACATTATACATGTACCCAAGATTACATGTAAAAGTGACATATATTGCTTACGATTTAGACGACACAAATCGATTCCATTAAAGTGAACTTGTGCTGAGCTTTTTTTTCATTTGTCATAACGGGCCTCCATACCAGTAACTATGAAGGCAAAAATCACCTTTTCTTCTGTAAATTCGACAAACCTATTCCAAAGTGGGTTCAAAGTAATTACAAGCACTAATTTGTGCACATGTGTGAGAGATATTAAGAGTCAGTCTTTGTTCAATACTACCGCAATCACTGGTTGCTATGTTAAAAATGTAACTTCCGCTTTAAAAAGTGTGTTCATATTATAAAACGCATCAGCAGAAAATTAAATAAAATTCATAACATGCAAGGATTCAAATTATTGTCCATTTTTATACCCATCATAACTTGCGCTTTAATCAGCAAATATGTTATTTGATGAAATTGAGGGTAACTACGGCTGAAAATATAGCGAAATCTCACTATAATAGTGATATACCACTATTATAGCGGAATTTACGTTTCCCCCCAACCTGACTTCTGTATCGATAAGAAAGACCCTTCAAAATTCAACAAAGTCAAATACAGTAAAATCCAGTTACAGCAAACACACTTTATAATGAATTCACACATATAGCAAAGTAATTTTCATTTCCTGTGGTTTTAAAACTTAATATAAACTTAATGGATATAATTAATAATGTAATAATAAAAGTTGTTGTCCTTCCAAAACAGGGTTGCAAATAACATTTTAAACCTTTTTAAACCATGTGGGCCCCCAACTTCACAAGTTTTACTTACCCACATTGATATTTTGGAGCCAACAATTTTCTGTTCACTAAGTAAAAAATTCTTTTCTTATTATAATCTCAAAGAAAAATACTTTATTGTCCAAAGTATTTCTTTTCAATTTTCCCTGTGGGTTTCGACACCACTTGTATGAAATTCCATGTTTTCATTCACTTCAAGGCATGTATTTTGAATTATATGTTTCTATCTTAAAATTACAGAAAGCGTACTTTACAGACTTTCAAAGTTCATAAAATAAAATATTTTAACCCACTGTAAGCAGCAAAAAAATCAGAAAATATCTTTAACATTCTTATTGCAGGAAGAAAATTAATGAATATAAAGCTGATAATTGTGAATAATACTCAGATGTGCATCTTATTAGAATATGGACGAAAATCTGCTACTGTTGATACATAGAAGGAAAATTAAAATAAATGTTGAAGGAATTTTCATACTTTTAAGGAAGCGTATCAACGACACGATTCTCGGTCTTGAAAATGTTTTATAGGAAGAAAACAGTGAAAATGAAGGTGCATTTAATAGTAGAACCAAACAATGATCTGGTTCCGGAAAATGTCCGATAAAATTCTTACTAGCCATGTGGGTGATAACATCCTGAAGAGTTGGTCGCCAACAGGCAAAATTACTCGCATTTGTGAGTGGTTATTTGCAACCCTGAAAAAGGACTACAATACTTGGACCATAGGCCTCTGTTTCTAACAGAAATCTAAAAGAAATTCTGGGTTGTAATGAAAATATGTGTTATAAAAAAGATTTCTTTTATTTTGAAACATGTAAATTTTTCTGTATAATTTAATGTTTTAGTCTAATTGCTAAAACTGTAATAATGAATGATAGAAGCATGTCCTGGATATCAATACTTCATCAAGGAATCTATTGTTTATTGTATGTAGCCTTGACCTTTAAATGGGGGTCATCCATTTATCACATATACCCCAAATGTTTTGCTCGAGCTCAGATTTTTAAAATAATGTCCCCTTCTGGGGAGGGGGTGGTTACCCCTCCTTCCCAATAATTTTGCCAGTATATAACTTAACTATAGAAAATGAGGGTAATTTACAGGTGTGCTATTCAATATTGTTTTTGCCAGTATATATATTAAAAATCTAAGCTCATTTATGGTCCTACCCCCGTAAGAAACGTCAGATGATCTTTTTCCCTTGTAAGAATTTGTTAGGTCCTCATCCCCTCCCTATGCAAACACACACACACAACTGAAATTGCGCCTTACGAATCTGGATGCACAAAACTGATGCCAGTGAAGACTGTTCTATCTTTTAAAGCCTCATCGTTGAATTAAGTTTTCAATTCAAGCTGTAAAGCCATCCAAATTGTTTCTCCTTTTTAAATGCTTGTACCATAGACACCTCCCCCCAATCTTATTAATTTTCTGTACACATAACTATATATAGTGAAATTTGTTTTGTTTACATATAAGAATATATTGTGTTTTAATAAAAAAGTAGATTCAGATCTTGGATACACTAATGAATTAATAAACATGATGTAAAGATTTTAAGCAAGGTTTGCCAATGATTCACGAATTCCAATTCCAATAGGGTGAATTGTCCTAGGGGTGAACTGTCTAGCATTCTCACGCATGCACAACCTGAAGTAAGCCCATGGCTTCCGGTTTAACCTCACTTATATATTTTCTGCATGGACATCAGGGTCCACACAATAATTGCTTTTATAATAAGTTGAAATTGGTCATCCGGGGCAATTTGCTATAAGTGTGTTTTCTATATTCCACTTCAGCATGTAAAATTACATGTACTTGTAAAGAAATTTTTTCAATGTACCTTGTGCATTGTGTTGACCTAATTTCACATTTTTGCTAGGTGCACAGAGGTCACTGTTTTCCTGACCTTGACCCTGGCAGGTTATCCAGTGGAGGCCTACTTTATCAGTAAGACAGGTCAGTACTGTTACCGTCTATTTCCTTTGCATCCTTTCATTAGTCCTGATCTTGATACTACCATATTTATCACAACACTATTGATATAAAATGTTGATTTAAGTGTATATATTTTTAATGTCAAAGAGCAAGTAAAAGTTTAAGCATAGCCATACTTCAAAGGGTGACGAAGCTTTGGAATCCCTGATATCTTTAGTCACAGCTAAACAGATGAGAGTCTTAAAATACTTTTGAATGAAATGTCAGTCCATAACAGATTAAATTTTTACCTCCAAATTAGTATATGAACCTAATTACATCTTGCTAGACAAACACAATACAATTGTTTCATAATATATGTTACATTTTGAATCTTCAATTTGACAAATACAAGAAAAGGATACAAACAAGTGTTTTTATCAATTTGATGCATGTATCCATAAGATTCATTATGTACAATTACCAATTAAAACAAGATGTGTTTGTGAAACACTGATGCCCCCATATGGAGGCTTATGGCGAAGGTTAAAGTTTCTCAAATGCAAGTCAAAATCCAGGCCAAAAGAAAAAAAATGTTAAATTTGAAAGCCCTAGCTGCAGCTGTTCAAAAGTTATGGCGAAGATTAAAGTTTTTTAAAAGTAAGTAAAACATCAAGGTCAAGGTCAAAGTTGTTGGTATCCAAAGGAAGGTCTTGTCACAAGGATTACATATGTAAAGTATGAAAGCCCTAGCACCAACCATTCAGTTATGGCCAAGGTTAAAGTTTTTTGAAAGTAGGTCAAACTCCTATGTCAAGGTCAAAGGGTCAAAGTGGTTGGTATCCAAAGGAAGGTGATGTCACAAGGATTACATATGTGAAGTATGAAAGCCCTAGCATCAACCATTCAAAAGTTATGGCCAAGGTTAAAGTTTTTTGAAAGTAGGTCAAGGTCAAAGTGGTTGGTATCCAAAGGAAGGTCTTGTCACAAGGATTACATATGTGAAGTATGAAAGCCCTAGCTCTAACCATTCAAAAGTTATGGCCAAGGGTAAAGTTTTTCAAAAGTAGGTCAAACTCCTAGGTCAAGGTCAAAGGGCCAAAGAGGTTGATATCCAGAGGAAGATCTTGTCACAAGGAATACACGTGTGACGTTTGAAACCCCAAGCAACAACTGTTCAAGAGTTATGGCCAAGGTTAAAGTTTTTGAAAAGTAGGTCAAACTCCAAGGTCAAGGTCAAAAGGTCAAAGTTGTTGGTATCCAAAGGAAGGCCTTGTCACAAAGAATACACATGTGAAGTTCGAAACCCCAAGCACCAACTGTTCAGAAGTTATGGCCAAGGTTAAAGTCTCATAAAATTTTGCGAAAGTGGGTCAAACTCCAAGGTCAAGGTCAAAAAGTCAAATATGATGGTACCCAAAGAAAGGTCTTGTCACAAGGAATACACATGTGAAATATGAAAGTCATAGCTCCAACCAATCAAAAGTTATGGGCAAGGTTAAAGTTGACAACAGACAGACAGACAAACAGATAAACAGACAGACAGGACAAAAACAATATACCCCCGGGATCTTTTGATCCAGGGGCATAATAATATTAAATACGAGACGAAATATCAAACATTAATGAAAATTAGCGAAATTTCTAAATTACCTCATTTTTGTTACCTTGAATTTCACAATGTCAAAAGCCCACATTACATATTCTAAATTATCTCCAATATTTCAACTACAAATGAAAGTTGCTTCTTGAAATTTGTAGAACCCTGTCACTTATTTTTGCTTATAGACACTCCTCATTTGAAGGTTTATGTTTTTTTTGAGCTCATTCAGTATCTGTGGTCTAGGATTGTAGACCATGTTCCCAAAGATCCCCTACAGAAAAAGGTCCAAAGATTGAGATTGGCAAATGCAGAGGTCAAACTCTTTCCATGGGGTATTGCATTATTAAAAATTTTGTACATTGATAACTTAATATCATATTTCAAAGTTCAATATATGCTGGAAATGCTGATATTGCCAGCATCAATTTCTGAAAACATCCATCTGACACTCTTCTCAGGAGTTTGCTAAATTATCTTAAGAGTCTCAAGTTCACCAATTAAAACTTCAGTTCTTGAAATCTTTAGTACAATGTCTTTATCGCATGTTGCTCGTCCCTGTCCTTTAACCTTGTTACTAGCCTTTTGATAAGCATCTTAAAAAGCTTCCATTCTTTTGGAATATTTCCTTCAACTTCTGAATGAATGTTGGTGACATGTATTGGAAAAAACAGCTTCATAATTCATCAGTATGATGATAAGTCAAGTCTATTTTGAAAAATATTCTAATTATGTCACAATTAATCATTGTTATACCATGATTTCCTTGACTTTTTCACATCGAACAAAAATGCAGGATTTGATGTTTAAAATGATAGATAGTTTGTAATAGAAATATGATAGGTAAGAAAAATAATTATATTTAAAAATGTAACATACATTATGAAACACCCTGTAAAGTGTTTTATCCAAGTGCTTAACACACAGCATCGAATTCTTAGCTTAGACTGACAAAGCAACCTACTGCACAAAATGGAACCATGTGCTTCTCAGAACAACTTAATCAGGATTTCATTTGATATGGAAGTTATGTATTAAAACCAGATTGAGATTTTAATCTAAGAGAGGCATTGTTCCTCTAATAAAATGTTCACATCACGTCCCATTATCTTACAGTTGGATTTCTCGTAACTTTCACCCAACACAATGCCCTGTCTGAGGCCTATATCGAACATCTCTGTCACTACAACTTTGACGGAAAACTGTTGGGAGTACTTCCCTGTCTGGGCCCTGGACCAAGATCCTTCTGCCACACCCACCTCCCAGGAGACCCTGAGGGAGGGAGTGGAGGACTGTACCTGTACATGAGGGATGGACACAATGGAATTGTGGGAATTAACTTGAATGACTATCATCATTGACAAGTGCTTTCTTAGGACTACAGTCTTGTAGATGGTACTCTAACAATGCTTCTGACATTTGTCATTAATGTTTTCACTTTATAAACATAGAAATCAGAGGCCTGCAATGAAGTTTAGCTGTTTTTGTACAGATTTTAGCATGTAATTTATGTGTTAAGGAGCTCTAGTGTATATACAATTATACATATATCATATTTCGTGTAGAAATCTCAAAATATTGTCCCAAAACTCACTACCTGTGATAATTTTTTTTTCTACCAGTTTACATTATTTTTATAACACAATTTTAGGCCAATAGCTCAAATGAGCTTTCCTGATCAAAGCTTGTCTGTTATCTGTCACACAGTTGGTCTGTTAACTTTTCACATTCTTGACTTCTCCAGAATAAGATACATCTTCCAGTAGAACTTGACCCAAAGCATCCTTTTGTATAGGGGGTTCAAATTTGTTCAATTTAAGGCCATGCTTCTTTTAAAGGGGAGGTAATTAAGAATAGTAAAAATCTGTTGTAATCTAATTGAAACTTCTCATTTTAGAATCGCTGGGCCATTAAAATGACTTGCAGGAATGTTTCCTTATCAAGTGTAGATTTATATTTTTCAAATCAGAGCACCAAGAATATTGCTGGGCTCCTGTAGAAATAAATGTCTTATACTTAATTCTTACGTACAATCTGATGATAAACAGGAGGACTACATATAGATAGATAGATAGATAGATAGATAGAGAATTTTGGTAACATGACCCAAAGAGCTGTATCACATTGAGTTGACAGGTGCAGATTATCAATACCAGATCAAATGAGATGCGAGGTAACTATTATAATGATAAATTTATTATATACCCCTCTACTATTAGCTAGTATGATAAAACTTTTGGGATCAATTATTCGTACAAAACATTTTTTCAAGGAACTTTTTGAGAAAACGTCATGTGTTCTACTCATCAGTTTCAGAGGGGGGTGATGATATGGAAAGTCAGATCACACCTCAGGACAGTAAAATTGAGTGATACACAGTTGGATCACACCTCAGGACAGTAAAATTGAGTGATACACAGTTGGATCACACCCCAGGACAGTAAAATTGAGTGATACACAGTTGGGTATATAATAAAATGAGTAGTATTTATTTTGTTTATTTCGTTGTCACCTTGGTTAGTTTGGAGCCATAAAAGGGGATCAAAAATTTACATGCGATTATTATGGATGATATAGGAAAATAATCATTGAAACTCCTCCACTCAAGAGGAGCAGGGCTACAATAAATCAAATTGATCTATTGCAGCATTCCCTTGTGGTGAATTCATGACATGGCCTCAGAGGCTACAGCAAGACAAAAATAGAGTATAAAAGTTTTACAAAGAAATATAATTTTAAAGACTTTTCAAAAACAGATTGGTTAAAGTTAACCATATTAATATGAATTAAAGCTTTCCCATGTTTATTCAAATTTTTTGACTTTGGTGAGCGTTATCGCCCACGAGGCTTTAAATAATTATCATGTCATTGTTATTTATTGAAGAACTAATAAATATTTTTTTTAAAAAGATGAAAAAGTTTTTACGTTTTATTTTCGTTGGCATTAACAGTTTTTACAGCACAAGATAAAATCCCCAATAAACAATGTTTACAAGAAGAAAAAGCACTGGAAACAGCAATCGTGAAAATCTATCAATGTTATTAACATCCTCAATGGAAAGAAAATTCAGTTTAAATTTGTTCTTTCTTGGATCATATGCTGTTTGTGTAGTTTGCAGACGATTTCTTTTCAAACTTGATGACCGTTTTCGTCTAACAAGGGATTCGGGGATATAACCACGTGACATACAGGCTCTTGGAATGGAGGGGATGTCTCCTGCTTCTAGCTCTATCTTTGTTTCTTTCATATTTCGGAGAGAAATAACTGGCGACATATCGGAATTGTCTACATTCCTCTTTTGCGCTTCATTGTCCTGTAGTGAAACACAATGATCATTATCAATTTTAACCATCTTTCACTTAAGTATTGAACCCCCCCCCCCCCCCCCACGAAAAAATGTTAAAAATTATCTTTTGAAAATTATATGCCATTATTTTTAACTAAAAAAATTCTAAACTTGTTAGAGGACATATAAACTGAAGAGTACATGTTTAAGAACACTATCAATTTTAACCATCGTTCACTTTAGAATCCCCCCCCCCCCCAAAAAAAATGATGTAGTAAATGTCTTTCTGTAATTTCTGATTTAAAGTTGAAAATTATTACATGACTTCTGAAATATATACAAAATTTTAACCGGATTCGGGAAAAAGTCTAAACTTGTAAGGGAACATAACCGAAGTACAAGTACGAGGGGTGATCAAAAAGTTCGCGAACTATTTCTATATTTACAAAACGACAATTCAGATCAGAATGAAATTTGGCACACATATAGTCATACACATGTTCTATAAATAACAGATGTTAAATAATGTTTTGCTCCGTGTTTGTGACGTCACAATGTGAAAATGACGTCAATATGTAGGTCACTTGTGACAAAAAATGGTTGACTCAGTCGTACTCGAGCAACGAACGCCTGTAAAGTTTAACGTATATCTTGGAAATTCCTTTGCAGTAGAATATGATAATTTGTACAAGGTTAATGAAGACAAAAGACTTACCAAAAATTCAGTCATCAATTGGATTGATTGTTTAAGTGAAGACAGGGAGATGGTTAAAAATGATGTTTATTCTGTTGCCTAGCGAAAGCAAGCCGGGGAAAAGATGTGTCCGTAGTTGAGCAATTTGTTATAAAATATCGTCAAGTTACAATTAGAACAATGGTTGAATATCTTAACAATAATATAATTATTATATTCCTAACATATCGTTAACTTTAGAATTTAAACATATGAGATATGATAAAAAGAAGGCGCCAATACTTTATCCACATTGGATAAACGACGATCCCGAGACAGAGGACTCGGGTTGTGATGGGTCACCATACTAATTGTGGGAAGGGATATCCTTATCCACCCATCCTATTGCCGAGATTTGGCCATTTCTGACAGATGGGCCGTTCTTGTTATAAAAAATAGTTTGCATGGTAAGAAATACAAGACTCGGAAAAATCTTTTAGCTTCTCTGAACAGACTGCTACGGGGCATGTCACGTGACTGCCTGGATCACGTGATTCGCGCATGGGCAGAACAATGGCAGATGTGCATTAAAATCGGAGAGGACTACTTTAAAAAATAATAAACACTGAAACCTCATTTTATTTCTTTTAAGGAAGTATTTCAATTAGTTCGCGAACTTTTTGATCACCCCTCGTATAGAATAAGTATAACAACACTTATTTGGGATTTACTTTCGCATCGTCTTTTCGTGATCTTGTCCGACGAGCGCTTTCTTCCTTGATTCGCCTTTTCTTTTTCGCCCTCTTTCCCCAGTATGTATAGTTGACAGCTGCATATTCCAATAGTGCCGCGAACACAAACACAAAACACATCACTAAGTAAATGTCAATGGCTTTCACATAGGAAATCCTTGGCAAAGACGACCGCACACCATTACTGATCGTTGTCATGGTAAGAACTGTGGTGATTCCTGTTAAAGACAAGAGGGCGATAGTTATACCTTCTCTCTGGTCGTCCACTGCATTTTTTTTTTCAGACCAAATCTGTAGCTATGTTTGTATCAGACACTTAGTATCGGTTTTGAAAGGGGGATAAAACAAAACAAAATGACAAAGTACCTGAAAAAAGAAAGAAATTGTCCGAACATGGACATTCTATTTCTGCGGGGAGGGAGGTGTAATAGTTCCAATTCCCTTTCACGACCACAATTTATTAATACATTAACAGATTACCATGACTTAACTATGCTACAACAAAAGGGGGAACCAGCCATTCAATGAACATTTTCAATAGCAGAAGACTGTTTGGAATAAAAGTGGGGAGAGGCGCAGCCCCCCCCCCCCCCATACTACGTGCCTGTAAAATACATGTAGTGAGTTTGAAGAGATAAACTGAAATTAAGTCGATGACAATCTGTAGCTAATTGGTCTTTGAAAAATTAGTATGGTCGTCCATCCAAAGTTTTCCCAGACCAATGAGCTACAGAGATACATGTACCTAGAGCTACTCTTGCTGAAGTGGCTTCATGGTTGATCCAGAACGAGACCCAAGACAACATAACGATGAGGATTGAGGGGAGATACGTCTGGAAGATGAAGTAACCCACGTTCCGATGAAGTTTAAAACTCAGGGATAGACGGGGATACTTTCCTAAAGATAAAAAAGTAAAAACTTTATATATTCCCAAATACATGTATTTTCCGTCTGACCGACATTCCTGGTGCACATATTTGAAGTCTGAAGTAATTGCCCGTACTAGTACTTTATATAGTCTCCATTTCTACTCCGTTTATCTCATTAATATGCCCATTTTTTGTAGGTACTTTGAATAATAAGTTTTCTGGCACCTGTCAGTAGACTTTCGATCTTCTCTACAGTTCTGAAGTCTACAATGGAGAACTGAGGAAGTTCAATTTCCTCAATGCCGTGTACAGAATGAAGTCCGCTTCTCCAGTGAAGATACAGGTCAGCCATATCGTAACCGTCTGTAAAAATCAAGGTTTAGACGAATTATCTTTTTATTCACCTGTGATTTTAAAATGTAAACATTTATTTATTTTACTTAGCATTTCATCGTGTTAAAATTCAATTACGCGTGTTAGCGCTATACATATACAGTACATGTGAAGTGGGACGCCTTGCCGTGATTATCGCTTAAAATGTACATTTTTAACCACTTGAATAAAATATTTTCTCTTTTTAGGTCACCTGAGTCACTCAGGTGACCTATTGCTATCTGTTTTCGTCCGTCGTCGTGCGTCGTGTGTTAACATTTGAACATTTTCAGCTTCTTCTCTGAAACCGCTGAACCAATTTCAGCCAATTTTTGCATATGGCATCTATGTGTGAAGGGGAACAAAATTTTTGAATTTCATGGTCCCTGCCCCCCTGGGGCCTGAGGGGTGGGGCTAAAACCATCAAATTAATGCAATCTTTAAAAATCTTCTTCTTTACTCCTGGACATCAAGCAGTCAAACTGTTGACATGATTGTTATAAGCATTGAGCCTTCTACCAAAATTGTGAAATTCATGGCCCCAGGGTCAGGGATTCTGGTGCTAGGGTGGGGCTATATAGATCATATAGTGAAAGTGCATTATTTCTTTGAAAATCTTCTTCTCTACTCCTGGGTATTATTGAAACAAATTGAATACATAGTTATGATAAGCAAGGGTGACTCTACCAAAATTGTGAAATTCATGGCCCCAGGGTCAGGGGTTCTGGTGCTAGGGTGGGGCTATATAGATCGTATAGTGAAAGTGTATTATTTCTTTGAAAATCTTCTTCTGTACTCCTGGGTATTTAAACAAATTAGATACAGAGTTATGATCAGCAAGGGTGACTCTACCAAAATTGTGAAATTCATGGCCCAAGGGTCAGGGGTTCTGGTGCCCGGGGGGGGATATAGATCATATAGTGAAAGTGCATTATTTCTTTGAAAATCTTCTTCTCTACTCCTGGGTATTATTGAAACAAATTGAATACATAGTTATGATAAGCAAGGGTGACTCTACCAAAATTGTGAAATTCATGGCCCCAGGGTCAGGGGTTCTGGTGCTAGGGTGGGGCTATATAGATCGTATAGTGAAAGTGTATTATTTCTTTGAAAATCTTCTTCTCTACTCCTGGGTATTATTTAAACAAATTAAATACATAGTTATGATAAGCAAGAGTAACTCTACCAAAATTATGAATTTCATGGCCCCTGGGTCAGGGGTTCTGATGTTAGGGCAGGGCTCTATTTAATATATAGTGAAAATGCATTAATGTTTTAAAAATCTTCTTCTCTGCTTCTGGGTATTATTTAAACAAACTAAGTACATTGTTATGATAAGCAAGGACACCTCTTCCAAAATTGTGAAATTCATGGCCCCAGGGACAGGGGTTCTTGTGCTAGGGTGGGGCTATATAGCTCCTACAGTGAAGGTGAATTATTTCTTTGAAAATCTTCTTCTCTGCCCCCGGGTACTATTTAAACAAACTAAGTACATTGTTATGATATGCAAGGATGCCTCTTCTAAAATTGATAATTTCATGGCCCCAGGGTCAAGGGTTATGGTCAAAAGGTGGGGGGGGGGGGGGGCTCTATTGATTTTATAGTGAAAAATCAAAATTTCTTTGAAAATATTCTTTTCTGCTTCTGGTTAAAAAGCAAAGAAGCTAAGTATATAGTTATGATGAGCAAGAGTGCTTCTTCCAGAGTAGTGAATTGCATGACCCCTGGGTCAGATGTGCTGGTATAAGGGTGGGGCTGTTGATAATGTAGTGAAAATGCATTAATTCTATTAAATAATCCTGTCTGTTCCTTAATGTTAAGCAGTTAAACAAAGTGATTACTTATGATGAGCAAACTTGAAACTTCTGGTCCCAGGGTGAGAGGCTCTGGTGTTTCTCGGTGGTGAAGGGGTGGGGGGGGCTCTATTGATAATATAGTGAATCTGTAGTGAAAATGCATTATTTCTTTAAAAATCTTCTCTGCACTTGGGCATATCAGAGGCAAAAAGTGTAAAAGTTGTAATAAGGAAGGGTATTTTTACCAGATTTTTGAACATCTGGACCATTTGGTCAAGTGTTCTGGTCCTAGCCAGGGCTCAATTAATTTGCATTCTACTGAGAGGAGTTATTCCCCTTTGCCGTTTACTTTTGATAATTAATCATTGTAAATAATGTACTTGAAAAATTAATAGAATAAGAGAATTATGCAAGAATTTTTATTGTATAATACAAAAAGTATTTTCATAGTTTTAATGATCATGTGGACTTGTAAGTAATAGATAAATAAAAATGAGACAAAAATAACTTGTCTTATTAAATGTTCATCAAAGAGCAAGAGAGGCCAATGTAAGAGATTACAACAAGGAATTAAAATAGTACAAAAGCACTGATAGATTGTTAATATACTGCATGGTGATAGTGATAAATGGGGAACAGATTAGAACCTAATTTATGAACTGTTAATGAATAGTAGACTAATTATTTTGTTGATCCTGATCACCCTATTTTTCTTGCTTTTGGGCAACAAAGCTTCACCTTTCATTTCATTTTAATACTCTATGGATCCTCTAAATTGTTGTATTGTACTCAGGTGACCGTTAAGGCCCTTGGGCCTCTTGTCTTTTTTAAAGTTAAATCTTATTTTCGAGTTTGTCATTATGATTTCATTTTATCAATGTGACCTTGCCACTTTTGCTTTGGTTTTGGCCCAAGCCTGGAGGACGAGGCCGATACTATCCCGATATTATGTATGGCATAATATTTAACTTGAAAGTAAGTGCTGAAATTAAACAAGAAACTATATTCTGCTGGTCGGATCCGTCAGAATGAAAACCACTCGAACACCCTCCTCCTGTTATCGCCAGAAACTTCACTTACCTACTTAACCTATGGATATTAACGTTCCAACAAAACAAGATAATTTCCGATACGATAAGTTTTAAAAAAAATAATCGTATTTCTTTCAGTTTGCATTGCTTTTCAAGCTGCATTATAACAATCCGTATTTACTTACAACTTTCAATTTCAACAGTGCAATTTTGCTCATCCAGTGGATAGTTACGCAAGTCCATCATACAGGCAAGGGTTGTGGTAAACCTAGGATAAGACGAACAATTATTCTCATTGATTACTTTTTTGTTTTATTCGTTCTGATGTTTTGCCCCCCTGTAAATGATTTTATGGTGAAAGTATCAGATTAATAAAACTATCATTTTAAAGAGGGGATGAACGTGAGGTCCAACAGGTTTAATCTCATTGTAAGATTCATCTACTTGCCACAAAATAATAGAGCAATATTGCAAGAGAGGTCGTTTGTCTGTCAAACACCGCCGTCCAAATGCAATCACATTTCAGCTAACAGCACTGTATTTACACTTGCCAGTCGGGATTAGAGCTTGATATGAGTGCCTTATTTGAACCATAAAGGAGATCAATCACTGAGAATGACCACTCTCCATCGACTCATCCTCTCACTGTTAGCTGATTAAAACTCTTACAATATCTTTTAGGGCTCTTTATATAATGAAAAGCGATAGTTGCATGATCAGGGTCAAGTACATTGATTTATTCGAGATCATATAGAAAGTTAGCAAAATCCTAAGTAACCTAAAAGGGCTGGGTGGTCATAGCCATTTTAGACTATTTAATCCTCCGGAAAAAAAGAGTTCTGTATAAGGAATTGTGTTAATATATTATAGCTTGAACATGTTTTTTAATTATTTTCTAAGTAATAGACTATAGTTAGAAAAATTATGTTTCATTTTTTAGGTGGATCTGTTGTGTAATTTGTTGACAACCTAACCTCCTTTAACATAAGCTGTAAAATGTTATATAACCTTGCGTGTCGAAAACGGACCGTCGGAAATGTACCCACCTCATCCCATAAATAACTGATCCATTACCGTACAGGCGGATCATTTTGTTTTTCTCTGTCACATCATGGAGAAAAGAGTTCTTGTCATTGGCGAAAAAGGTATCTGGAACCCATATTTTGTCGGCGAAGTCCCCAGTTAGAGTAATACAGGCAGACGACTGGTTATCGTGAGTCAATCTCTCGTCTGTCCAGTACTGGTTCAAGTAAATGGTTATCGTATAGTCCTAAAGGAAGTTACAAACATCAACGATTATACAGTATACTGTTTATCAAAACTTAACAGACTGACAAACACGCATGGAGGAATGGGAAGGGGCTTCCGTTTTTCGAATTTGGTCGTTCATCCCAATTTTGCAGCCAGTTGCGACAATTTGAAAAAAAAAAGACTTTTTGTTCCTAAAAACAAGTTACTAGATGGCATTTCTCTTGATCAGATTTAATAGAAGGGTGCTTTATAAATTCCTGAAAGAGGATGCATGGGTGAACAAGGCGTGCAGAATGCCTATAGCTTCAGATATTAAATAAATCATATTCAATTTGTGAATTCAGTATTTAAAGTAAAGTTCTCATTATTGAGATTTATGAAATTACTATCAACAAAACTTGTCTTAGGAAAAAAAGATCTCGGAAAAAATTATTCTCTTGTTAAAAAAATAAAATGGTATTCGTGGGAGATAAATGCATCATATCTCTAGCAATAATGGGAATTAGATTCCCAGACTTAAGGATGTTGGTGACAGTTATTTAAGAAATTTCAGGTGCAAAAATGAAAAAAAATCTGACAACTTCAAAGGTCCTTCAAGACCAAATCATTGCGTGTAAAATGAAGGGTACGAGTAAAAAAAATCTACATTGTACAGTATAAAACTCTATATCTATATCTTTGTATTTCTAATCTCAGCAGGAGTCATCAATTGATACAATTATATGTTATATATCGTTAATCAGCGCAAGATCTGAATCATATTACAGATATGATCGGATATATTCCTAGTGGCGATAAATCAGAGAAGACATTTTCGTTTTTGCAAACAAAAGAGTGGCCTGAACCTACAGATATAAATGTACAAGCAAATGGAGCCTAAAAATCTCATTTGATTAGAGAAGGATTTGCGCGGAGGAATACATCAATCTTGGCATAGGTGTCACATGGAATTATCTGCTACACTAAAATCTTGTATTGTGATCCATGATAATTGAATCAATTACCAGCGAGAAAAATCGACAGAAGCCTTGTTTTTTGTGACAATGAACCCATACTTTGTTGCTGGACAATTTTGAAGCTAACGGAGTGAAATTAATATGATGAGCGTTCGAGTAGAAATCGGGAATTTTTGCTTACTTCCTTTCATGATTCGCACTAACAGAAGAAACGGGTGTTGATCGTCAAATAAAACAATGCAATAAGTACGTATTATGGATTGATATGTGCGAGAAATGGTGCAAGAAATCGCATCAAGGGACGAACCCTACAAAAAGAGAGAAATACCGCGATTTCTTACATACATTTTGCCCAGTTTCTTCTTTCAGGTAAAAAAACAAACCAAATATAACATAGAGATAAAAAATCGAAAATAAGGGGGGGGGGGGAAGCAAAACATAGTAAATTAAAAAATGGTTATCCCCCACACCAATCGTTGCATACAGGATGGAATTCTGGTTGTTATCAATATTTGTATTAAGTAATGACTAAACAAAAGTGAAATTATATGCATATGGATCTCTTGTAATCAAAATTATATACAGGTCTTGAAAATGTGTATGCATAAGATTAGACGAATCGATGTACAGCTTATACTCTCGTACAAAATCTTTTGTACTAATATGTAATCGGTTTTACAATATTTTGATGTGCGTACTGCTTTAAAACTACTCACCATATTGACCTCTGATATGGTATCAAAGCTGGCCACCACAAGCTCAATTCCAACATCTACTGCATTATCTGAAAGTGGATTTGTTAGATGTATTTTGAAGGTATGGAATCATTTGAAAGTGTTAACGATCATAAATTTTATGTTAGTCACTGTATACTAATTAGTAAAATACATTGGAGAGAATGTGAATGAAATATAGTATAAATCTTTCTTAACTTATTGATAATATTGAAACTTGACACTTTTTACCGCCAAAGCTGGGCCTCAGTCTGATGTCATAGTTACTAAGGAGGCGGTCAATTATAGAGGATGCGTCAGCAGGTGAATGGGAGAAACTTTTTGCGCTAAAAGCAAAAGCAATTTACGAAAATATAAACAAATTCTATTTAAAAATTGTGATTTGAGGAATTAACAGATAAAAGTCGTTGAGTTAGCTCAAGATAGCCTTTTTAAAAAAATATTCCATTTCCATAGTTTTTATTTAAATAAAAAATCAGGGTTTTTTCATATTTCAAGAAATAAAGTATTTTGTAAGGTCTTACCTCGCAAAAAAGAGTGCCATGAGTGATAGAAATGAGTGCCAGTCCATTACAATATTCTTTATCAAGCTTTTCCTCCAGTTTTCGCCATGACTGACTTCAATAGGCACATAGGAATCAATTTCTATGCAAACACGGCATTGATTCTAATACAGGGTTCCCAGAGCTGCCCAGAGTTCTATGTTTTATTGTTATTTTCCCCAAGAATAAATGTTTTTTATGTTTTACAGGAAACTCAGAGATTTCACAACATACAAATTTATTTAAATTAAGGTAGTCCGATCTTCAGGTTCTGAAAATCAGCAGTTAAGTATAATTGAAAAGGCTCACAAAAATATCTCTGAATTCACAAAGTGATATATACACATATGTATTTACCCAAGATATTTCTTCAAAGTTCATCTTTGAAGTTAATCATATAATAAAGGGGAAAATGTCAAATCTCGTATATATATTTCAGGAAATGCAACATAAATGCACCAGCTATGCATCTTCTAATCGAAAATTGATCAACAAATATATTTTAGGATAAAATAGTAAAGATATCCAGGCAATTGGAGATAATTGTTTGTTTGTTTGTTTGTTTTTTTTACTTATACGGTATTTTGTTCTTATATTTACTTTTATTGAACAGTTTTTTATATCATTGCAAGACATCAGAGTTCACTTGTAATTCCTTCTCATGCCAATAAGCGTTCGTATCTAAGTCTAAATTTGCTCTTTTATGGGTTAAAAATGTCAACTTTTTACAATACTGTTTCTAAGACTTCAAGGAGCCTTAATTAAATCATATTGATGCGCATGAAGGGAAAATTGTTGCAAGGATTTCAATTTCAAACTTCCTTTTCAGACTTTTTTAATTAAACAATTTTTAAGAGTTATCCTTCCTGACTGAGGGGCGGATATTCTTAAACTCAAAACTTGTGGGCATTTCAAATTGATTTGCACAACAGACAGATATTGATATGTATTAATTTCTGTATATTATTTGACAAAAATAACAAACTAAACTAAAACTAAAACAACAAAAGTAAAAATTATGAAAATAATCTAAATAGTAAGCGAATTATCTAGATGAAAATGAAAGGAAAAGTTGGAAAGCAAGGTGACCAAATTGTCATCATACATGCGAGTGAATAATTACCAGTTACCAACTTGTAAAATGAAATAAGAAGGCTGTAGATACATGAAATGTACGTAGCAGATCTGTATACATACATATACGTTTGTTTGCACATGTGGCATTGTAGCAACCACTAATTACTTAAAATCACCAATGATGTAATAAGGCAACAGTGGATGAATTTGGTATATCTCTACAACTTTTATCATTGATGGGCGAATTTGTACTGCACGAGTGGTTAATATCGATATCAATCAATGACATAATCATAAGTGGTTAGCCAGATTGTTGACTAAATGACAATCATAAATGGTTAGCCAGGTTGTTGACAAATTGACAATCATAAATGGTTAGCCAGGTGGTTGACTACAGTTACATAAAATACAGATTACAAATTCACTCAATATCATTAGTGGATTTTTTAAAAGTGGTTACCACATGGCATGCATGATGAAAATGTCGAATGCAGAAACATTTACACATGTATCTGGAATTTCTGTATCAGACAACTATGCAAATATGTCAAGTATAGATTGTTACTTTGTTACTCATATCTAATTCATAAAGACTTTTTTTTTAAATACGACACAAACATTTTTACATAGAGTTGGCAACCGTTATTGCTGAGCTATGTAAAATTGGACAGATCTTTCTACGATCTTCAATGTTCGCAAAGCCATATCGTCATGATCTCCGTGTTGTCTCCTCAAAATGTTGACTAAACCTAAAACAGTCTCACGACGATCACAGAGAGATTGTCCATTGATCTCCTGGATTTCCCAATGATCTCTCAGAGGTCATTTAAAGAAGGAAAACGTTTATAACACATATAAGGATCTCCCATTGGTCGTTTTTGGTTTGTCAATGATCTTGAGAGACTTACTTTTCGGAACTTTCGAAGATCGCCAAGGGGTCGGACAAGTTGTACATCGCTCCAACGTTTCTCATTCTTCTCCGTGTGTGTAAAGGGGCCCTAATACCGAGCACTTAGATAAACCTTTACTTGATGCCGATGAGCTTTTTACGTTCGGAGAAAATGTCAATTTAGGACATATCTGACTGTTGCAAAAACATATAAATCCAAGTACATGTACTTTTATTTATACAAAATGAAATTTCAGTCACAAACTTTCGAATTTGAATTACATGTACATTAGACTCCTAAAATAATATGTTAAAGAATTTTAAAGGAAGATTGTAACAATAAATAGATGAAGACAACAAACCTAACTATGATGACAGTGTATATGAAATATGTTCCACGATATTGTACAATATTTCAAGGTTTATAAGTTTATTGTGACATGACCCGGCGAGTTTTTCTTTGAAGTCAGCCGTACAATAACTGCAATACAGAACACTTTTAGTAGGCGTTTCTTATGCAAATGAGCAGAAACTGTACTGTATCTGCAAAATATCAACGATACAGTATGATTTATTTTCAGCGATGACGGAAAACTGAATCCGTATCTTAAATGATATAGACATAAGAATCAATCAAATCGTAAGATAGCGCTGTTAGTATTTATTCAAAATTTGAGATTAAGAATAGAATTTTACAACGTAAAGTTACCAGTGGCGGATTCAAAGATTTTAGAAAGGAGAGAGTGTGGGCAGTACACAAATGGTTTTCTTCGGGAAAAAAAAATGTCATCACTGGAAAATCGGGGGTTTCGTGGGGGGGGGGGGGGGGGTGGGGGTGTTAGATTCATAATCAGGCCTGACACTATATGTGCGTGATCGTTTCGTGTTGATAAATTAAAAGTGTATACAAGTTTAGCAAACATAATTTACGAAAGCCAAAAAAAAATAAAAAGAAAAAACTCGAAAGGGGGGGGGGGATACCGACGCGCGTGAGTGAGTGCTGGATCTACCTTTCAGTTTGGTTCCTCTACATTCTTTTTTCAAACATGAAGGTTATATGCCCCCTTTCTTACATTTGTTTATTTCAATTTGGAGCATGTATGGACCGGTCGATGACATTGTCGGACATTTCTCCAAGAATACAACCTCCCCGACAGTGCTCCCCGAAACATTTTTGCTTCAAATACATTCCCATATATGTTTCTTATGTATCAAAATGTTTTGCACTAAATTCGTAGCTTACATTCAAAAAAAAGTCAGCAAGAGCTAAATTGAAAGGAATCAAATATAAATTAAATTTTGGGAAAAAATATTATATAATGCATCTCATAATTATAATTATTTAAATTGATAGATACCTGCACGTCCACCAGTTGCGATTGCTAAAAATTGGGTACTAAATCAACTTTCTGCAAAATCATCTGATTGGTTGAGAGATATATACCCAAAAACACATGTAAATTAGCGAGGTCATAAGAAAGGTCATGTCACAAGTCATTTAGAATACTCGTTTCCTACTGTATCGGAGATACAGGGCGGGGCCCGGCTCGAGCTATCGCTCTCGCCTTAAGCCCTGCCCTGTATCTCCGATACAGTAGGAAACTCGTACTCTAAATGTAACTTAGAGTATATCTTGTGAATTGATAATTGTACATGTATGTTCAGTCTTGACATGTCTAAGGAAAGGTGTATTTGTAAGGACCTTGAGGCATTAGCATATTACAGCATACTTCTGAAATCACAATTTTAATTGAATTTTTCTGAATAAATAGAAATGTTTTCTTTAGGTCTAAGCATCAAAATCTGGAATCACGAAAAAAATTCACATCCTGATACAGTCTTAGATTATAAGGAGCTGTGTACAAAGCCATTTCACAAGAGTGTACTTCTGAATAGCCCTTACCATACAAAGCTTTTAAAACATAACGCTTTGAAGTCCAATTTTTACATATAAATGATATTTACCTGACACTCTGTCTGGGGTGCAGAAAAATACTATTAAATACATAAACAAATACAGAGAGGAAGTAAAGCTAAGCACAATACTAAACCGTATACTAAGTGTAAACCACAGAGATCAAGGGACACGTTAAGATTATGGTAATACACACCATTTCAATTTGTTTTTAACAGGAAAGGATAGTGTAAATCAAATGTAGCATTTACAAATGAACAACTTTTTGTTATATCACACAGGAAACAGTACAACAAACTCATCCTTTTGGCATGACAAATTCTATATCAAAGAAATAATCACACTTAAAAACACAGCTAGAGAGGAAAATGTGTTGGTTAATGCAGAACTCTTGTTACAAATAGACAAATGTGTTGGTGGACACTGTGGACATGTCGGGGGTTTAGTGGTTCCGCCACTAATCGATGCTGTGGAATCTTCTGGAGTCATGCGCATTGGTGTTGTTCCCACAATTACGTCATTTCCCATTTCTTTCCCAAGTTGCAGGTCACACACAGAATAAAGCACTAATAATTTTTCAACGTCTATTCCTGAGTCGCCCCGTTTTTCCGCCATCAAGAAAAATTTAAGGTATTCCCAAATGTCTTCCTTTAAACATGGATGCTGTCTCAGTTTACGTATCGTATTCTTACATTCTTGTGTACAGATGTCAGGTCTGCACTTTGCTTGAATCTGTTCATAGAAAGAAAAAATGTACAGTAAAATAAATATGATTATGTCAAATTTTATTCCTTTTAATATGTTTTATGAATAGGCTTTATCATTTGTATGACCAGAAGAAGGAATGTCTATAAAGGCAAAGGATCTTGTGTTCTACCTTCTAAAGCCCGAAGTTCAAGGTCTCATGATAATGCAAGGGCAGATCATTGAGAGGGGGTATGTAATGAAAATAAAGCAAATTCAGAAGTTGGAAACATAATGATAAAAGACAGAAAGTAAGCGATTCTTTTCAATTTCAGACAATTCTGCAATTGGCAAAATCATCGAGTCCCAAAGAGAGAATAAATCGGAACTTACCACCTCCACAATTTTTTGAATGCCTTATACTGGTAGCGTCTTTGCAGACTTTAGCAATTACAAAGTTTTACACAGACTTACCTGAAATACCATGGCCAGTGTTGCAGGATTAGTCAGCGAAGTGAACTTCGGAATGTTACATCCTTTTACTCCGTCATCGAAGAGATTCGCCGTTTCCGGAAACATTGGGCACATAGACAGTGCTTTAAATGACAAGCACTTTTGGATCTTTGCTTTCTGCTTGGGATAATACTTTAAAAATGCAAAGCACATTTCATCATGTGTTCCTTTCCCAAAGAAAGTGGATTTTCGTACACCTTCTGAGCTAAATGTGCAAGTGGTTTTTAGTTCATCTCCGGGTTTTACGACGACAGGGACATCAAAACTGAAAAATAAAAATCAACTTATATATTCTGGCTACGTACTGTGTGCATTTGAAATAAGCATGTTAAGGTGCCTGTGTTTATATTGATAGTATGTGAATTCAAATAATCCAGAAAGAGATCGTAAGATTTTTTCCAAGTCAAGTCAAATACCAAATATTCAGCTGATTGTATGTTGACCATTAATAAACCGGTATATTCATTGGTTGAATTTTAGCCATGCAGGCAGATATATAGGATTTCCCATGGTTTGTGGTTGGATATGATTTTTTATCCATAGAGTTGTGTGTGTTTATCCCCGAGCCTTGGCGAGGGGATAAAAACACACAACGGGTTGGATAAAAGGAAATATTCAACTTTTAAGTTTATTGCGGTCAAATATCTATCAACTGTTTACTTCAGCTGAAGTGGTGGTAAGTTGACAATATAGTTTATCAGATTAGCCAATTTACTGTTAATTAACCGTTCACTAAAATTAAATTTTATATCACTGTCTACGCTAACTTGTTCAAAAATCAATTTCCGCCAAATATCGTACACGCTAAATATAATACATTTACAGTATTATAGAAGAACAAATAGATTGTTTTTATTTCTTTGTATTCAACTTTAAATAGAGCGTTTGTGTTATCCAGAGACCTATCCCGAAACTGTTTGAGGAACAAACGACAAAGTTCTGTGTATACTTCAGATGTGTATGACGTCATAATCACACAAAATTTTCAACGTAACAGTTAATGTGACGAAACACTTGAGTAAAGATGTCGGAGGTAAAGTTGTTTACATAACTACAATATTTCGAGATGCTTTTTTCCTTCATCGTAAGTTAAAAGTTAAAACTATAGGATATTTATAATTTTATAACAACTTTGTAGAAAATCATGGGAATGTTAGATTTTAGAGTCGAGAAAGTAAAGGGTGTGGTGAGTATTTTATGGCGATTTGTAAGTTCTATGCTGTTTGTTCCAACAATGAAATGGTAAAATATATTGTAACGATATTTGAGTATTGTCCTTCGCATCTAATTTTTTTTTTTTTTTGTAATTATTTTCAACTCATATTGATTACAATAGTATGAACTATCTTAATAAACTTTACAACTAATCGACATATTTATACTGAGTATTCCATATTTTGTCAACTCTTAGCTGAAAAATGAAATGCAGATATATTTGGAATTTGGTGTCCATCTTTCATATAGAATGTACATTGTATTGAACAATATTATTTGAATTGTAAAGTAGTCATCTCCTTACCTAGTAAACATTGCATATGTGTTATTATATTTATTTTAGGATGCAAAACTAGCCATTTTAAAGTTTCCATATAGTTGGGCGGATGAAGTGGAGAGGGAAGAGAAAATGATTGAGGTAAATGTGTTTGACACATCAGCTGTACTATGCTTGTAAGACACAATTAGAAATCTGAATTCCTATTTTTTTTTTTTATGAAAAACAGTATTTACCGTTAGATAATTCCTAGCAAACTATTAACAAAGAAAGAAAGAATAATAACTTTAATTTGTGTGAGGCGTATATTTATTTTCTAAAGTTTATTTATCTTGAATATTACATGTATCTTCTAGGAGTCAAAAGAACAATTGTTGAAACAAAACGAAGGCAAAGAAATGAATCACGGGGTGTTAGACGAGGACTTAAAGACCAGGTAGGCTTTGGACCCTATGATAGCAGCAAAAATTATTTGTACTTTGTACGCCAAAGATGCCAAAGCAAGCAGGTTGAAGTAAAATACAGACATACACTTTGATACTTTCCTCAATCTTTAATAATTTCTTTGCAGAGATACAATTTTGGATTTTGGAGAAGAGCCTGTCAAGGATATAGTAAGTAACCGTTTTGGCGATCTTTATGCTAAGGAATTTCAAGTTGTATTTAGAAATTACCAGATTGAAAAATATGATAAAATATAGAAGCCATCATAGAAGAGAATTCAATGCATATATGTTATATTTATTTTAGGATGCAAAACTAGCCATTTTAAAGTTTCCCTATAGTTGGGTGGATGAAGTGGAGAGGGAAGAGAAAATGATTGAGGTAAATGTATACGACACATCAGCTGTACGATGCTTGTAAGACACAATTAGAAAAATTTGGACCTTTCATTGTTATTAAAAATATTCTGAATTCCTATTGTTTGGTGAAATAAGTATTTACCGTTAGATAATTCCTAGCAAAATATAACAAAACAAACAAAGAATAGCAACTTTTATTTGTGTGAGGCGTATTTATTTTTTTAAATATGTAATTTAAAGTTTATTTATCTTGAATAATACCTTACAGGAGGCAAAAGAGCAAATGTTCGAACAAAAGGAAGGCAAAGAAATGAATCATGTGGTGTTAGACGAGGACTTTAAGACCAGGTAGGACTTGGACTTTGATAGAAGCAAAAATTATTTATACTTTGTATGCCGAAGATGCCGAAGCAAGCAGGTTGAAGTAAAATACAGACATACACTTTGATACTTTTCTCAATTTTTAATATTTTCTTTGCAGAGATACAATTTTGGATTTTGGAGAAGAGCCTGTCAAGGATATAGTAAGTAACTGTTTTGGTGACCTTTAAGTAATGGAATATCAAGTTGTATTTAGAAATTACCCAATGATACCCAGTGGAAAAATATGATAAAATACAGAAGCCATCGTACTGTTCACAAGAGAAAATTTATGAATGACGTTTTATATTGACATTTTCTAAGATTCTGAGAATGTTCAAGGATAAAACAGTCATTAAGTAGGATTTGGGTGGTCACTTGTATATCTTGAATTTCCATTTTCTTTTAAATTAATGCATTTTGAAATTATATTTTCAGGATGCTAAGCTAGATATTCTGAAGTTTTCGTATAATTGGGCGACAGAAGTTGAAGAACATGAAAGAAGAGTGAAGGTGTGTGTACTAAAATGTGTATTTTAATTCTTCATATGTCTCTGATATCTAGGGTTAAATTAAGATTGTCATATGACCTAAGTTTGTTTGCTGTTTGTAAAAAAAAAAAAAAAAACGAAGGAAATATACACCATATATCAGTGCCAAAAATATGTTTTGTTTTGCTTTTTTTTTTAAATACATGTATTACATTTATTAATTTTTGTTTAAGTTTGTTTTTTTAGTTGCAGAGGAACACTACAAATTTTGCTAAACATATGAATGGTCCAGCAAATATATAAATTTATATGCTTTTAAAGCCATTAAATTATTATAAAATTTTGTTCAGGGTATTCCTAAAATCTGTTTGACCTTATATTTTACAGGAGGCCCTGTCAAAAACTTTAAAGTCAGAGGACAACACAGAGAAAAACATTCAGGAAGCAAATGTAAAGAATGGGTCAAAAGAGAAGATGACTGAAAATCTGCAGAAAGTAATCTTGGAAGACCAGGCAAAGAGGACAGAACAGATTCAGAATCTTCTCGTAGAGGACAAGGCTCAAGAGAAGACAGAACAACATAAGACTCTTCTCCCAGAGGACAAGGCTCAGAGGACAGATTTTCTCCAAGGGAATGAGGCACAGAAGACAGAACAACTTCAGAATCATTTTCTCCCAGGGGACAAGACACAAAAGACAGAACAGCTTCAGAAACTTCTCCCAGGGGACATGGCACAAAAGACAGAACAGCTTCAGAAACTCCTCCCAGAGCACAAGATACTGAAGAAGAAAGAACTGCCTCAAAATCTCCCAATTGACAAGGCACAAGAAAAAACAGAACAGCTTCAGAATTTTCTCCCAAGAGACAAAGCACAAAAAACAACAGAACAGCTTCAGAATTTTCTCCCAAGGGACAAGGCACAAGAAACCACAGAACAGTTTCAGAATTTTCTCCCAAGAGACAAGGCACAAAAAACAACAGAACAGCTTCAGAATTTTCTCCCAAAGGACAAGGCACAGGGAAAGACAGAACAGCTACAGAATATTTTCCAAGGGGATGAGGCACAGACAAAGATGGATAGCAATTTTGGGTATTACATCTCTTACTTTCAAGTTTTGAATAACATTCTGGTGATTCAGGCAATGCATGTACCGGGTAGTAATGCAGTCTGATTAATTAATTATTAATAAATTTTATAGCTCTAATTCCTTTCTATCTTTATTTATATTTTCTTGAATCATTGCATAATTTTATGAGTTCTGAACAAAGCTTTATATATCATGCAGAACCTCCCAGACCCTCTCAATAATAAGAGACTGGCGACAGATAAAAATACAGAAGTGTATCAATATGGGAGACAACCAAGTGGCTTACAGGTACAACTCTATTGAAATACTGTAATTGGAGTGCAATGTCTTCAATATATTGAAAGTAAAAAAAAAAGATTTATGCTTAAATGAAAGTAATGAGCATGTTATTAATTTATTTTTACATGTATAAACATATCTATCACAAAATTAAATTCTTTTTCAGGCACTTATCGATGATGAGGTTGAAAATGAGGACCATTTCATTCCGAGAAGACTTTTTCTATTCAGGATAACCAAATTTAAGGTACATGTTTGTTAATATACTGGACAAGCCTTTCATGTGAATGTGATAAAGAACTTCAAACATTTTTAATCTTATTCAGATGTTTGATTATAGTATTTGATCATGAATTTGACACTGAAAGACTTCTTTTTCTCTTGATCTAGCATGAGGAGGAGAGAGTGATTGAAACATCTACAAAAACACTCAGTGCTCCTAACCCAACAAATGATCTTCATCAAACTTGTGTATCTCAAGAAACAATGGCAAGTTTATTATATATATACTTTTTTTAATTGGCATTTTATCATCATCAAAATAAAACTACTCAAGAAGCAAGATTTTATAAATAATTATTCTTACTTTTTTTTCATTTCAGGCAACTGTATCTATATGTTCAAAGAAAAATCTTCAAAGAAGAATTAAGAACTTCTTTGGTTTTAAATGAAATGACATACTCATGTAGTACATTCATAAGACTTATCTGTAATAATATTTCCTTAATTTGCCAATGTTATTGTTAAATATTATCATATATTAAATAATTTATTAATCATTTGTGACTTTTGTTATCATTTTAATTATTAATTATGAACTATGAAGACGTTTATTTCTTTATTCAGAGAAAAAAGAACCTCAGCAACTGGGACATTAAATATCTAACTTGGGCAATTAACGGGGCTATTTCTAAAGCGGATTTTTTTAAAATATGATTTTTTACCCCAAATTGTTCCTTTCAAGACAGACACAGTTTATATTTATATTCTCAATACTTTGATTCCCCATTCCTAATTATACATTGCGAGGACAAAATTGTCTGTTGGCGAAAAATAACGCTGTGGGTAATATCCACTCTATTATCATTGTCCAAGGGGACAGAAAAAAAACTTTCTCATCAAGCAAATTATTTGACGACTGACATACATTTGCAGAATACAAACGGTATAATTCCATGCCATGATGATTATTTAAAATTAGCTCGTTAACGCACGTTGCCTCATTCTAGATCTATCTCCGATCCTGTGACCCTGAGTTTTAGAAACAGTGTTGAAAATTCATCCTTTGTGTGTCTTATTCATATCGTTTGTGAAAAACTGATCTTCAAAAAACATCGTATCTTCTTGTTTCTACATGAATAGTATGTTGAAAATACTAAAGCACTAAAATTCATGTTTTTGCCGTGAAGGGTGGCACTGCGTTAAAATCATTGTCAATTGAAGGAAAATGTACATCAGCCAAAGATTGCCGTTTGTTTTTGAAAATGAGTAAGAAGAGAGATAAAAGTGAAAAAAAAATGCTGAATAGTATTCATTCAAATATTATTCTAAACCTAAACTATTATGGAGGTTGTGGGATTGGTGGTGGCGGGTGATGGAGGGGCATCCAACCTGTGCGTCTAAAAGTTAGGAAGTTTTAAAAATAATGCCATTAAATTCATGTTGACTATCCCAGATAGCAAGACTACATCGGGCCAACGTTGGTTGATGGTTGGTAGGTTGGTATAGTGTTGGCGTTGGGCGGTAAATGTTGGCCCAACATTGGCCCAACGGATGATATGTTGGCGTGAAAGCTGGTCCATCGCTGTTGGGTATGCGATGTTGGGCCAATGTTGGTCCATTGTAGTAAATGTTGGCATGAAACATGACCATTATATGTTGGGCATTTGATGTTGGCCCAACGTAGGTCCAACCAAGTAGATGTTGGCTTAAAACAAAGCCACTGTGTGTTGGGATGTAATGTTGGCCCAACATAGGGCCAACCAAGTAATTTTGACATGAAACACATGAAATGTGTGTTGGGTATGTAATGTTGGTCCAATGTTGGCCCAACGTAGTAAATTTTGATTATAATAAGGTATTGATATGACTTTCAAAGTTGGCCCAGCGTTGGTTCAACGGAGTGAATATTGGAATAAAAACAACTTTCATTAACATACATGTTGGTGATCTGTTTATTACACATATTAAATTTGTATCTTTTAGAACCACTTAAGATTCTTTCAATAGAGACATCTCATCTTTCGTTAAAATATGATGAACGAGGGATTATCTTAATAGCCCATTTATTAATAATTTACAGTGTATGTGTTAATAAAAACGAAAACTTATTCCAGAATCTTATTTGTGAAAATAAGATTTTTAATACTGATTTATGTTTGTAATTTGTGTCCGAGACCATTGCAAATACATGTAGAAGTTTTAATTATTCTGCACAGTATATAATTTTGTAGATTCTATATTTAGCATCATGTAACTTAAAGTGCTGAATTTTAGAGCTCCAAATAATTAGGTCAGTGGTGAAATCCACTGGCTCAGCAGGTGACTGGCCGGTTTCCTAGGAAACAGGCATCCTAATCAGCTCTGTTTCGTTAACTCGGAGTGGTCACATCTTATCACTTGCAACACTTGAACAAAGCATATACATGTGCGTGTCCGTTTTGTATTGCAAGAAAGAGAAAATGGATTGTTTTAGCCCTTGAAATGTAAGTATAGTCGTTTTAGGTGTGATTGATAGAATTTTATCTCTGTGAAAATTTTAACTTGAGCATAGTTTGTACAATTGAACAAAGTATTCAAGAATTGCAATTTTCAAAAATATGCATGTATATTTACTAGTAATCTGGTTAAGTTATAACTTATAAGTAGTAAGTGACATCATTTTTTTATATCATTTATAGCATCTGGAGGGGAGAAAACCCTTTGTGTTACAAGACCATTGATGTTTGGAATTTAATGGACAGTGAGTGATTTATCTCAATTATCAGTGTGAGAGCATGGATTTTACAGACAAAGAAACAAGAACAGCCCGAACAGGAAAAAAGGATTGAATGGTTCAGAAGTAATATGGACAGGAGAACATTCCAAAGTTTCACAAATTTGAACACTGGGACTCTTATTCTAGAGGAATATTATGCAGTGACTGAAGTGATATGGGATAGACTTGAGAAAACATTGAACTACCTTTTATTTCCCTCTGTTGATTTCATTCCATAGGAGTGACAAAAAAATAAAACATTTGTTTGAGGAATAAGCTAATTTTCCATGCAGGATTTATTCAATCGTGTTTTACTCGTAATTACGGAAATAAAAAGGTTACAGGAATTCATATTGTTGAACTAAAATAATTCAATCGCCGATCATTTGCCAACATGTTTATAGAACGTAGGGCCAACGTTGGTCCAACATTCATTCTTAGCTTTAAAAAAAATTGAACCAACATTGGGCCAACAGGAAGTTAAACGTTGGGCCATTGTTGGGCCAATGCCAGATAACCAACCATCGAATGTTGGCCCAACGTCGAGCCAACTTGTTGGTTGAACGTAGGGCCGATGAGCAAGATGATGTTGGGCCAACGCATAAAACTGACAGAGGGCCAACATAATTTTCACCGTTGGGCTTGCGTTGGCCCAACGTAAGCTTGCTATCTGGGATATTATAAGAGTACTAGTACAGTCAAAACTGTCTTAGCGGCCACTCGAAATCAACGGCCACTCGCGTAGCGACCACTTTCAGTTCCCCCGACGTTTTTTTTTCCTGTCAATTGAAGGAAAATGTACATACGTATGTTAAATACTAGTACATGTAGATACTGACCTATTCTGTGCAGGATTATTGTAGGAGTATTGTGTGTCGTTTGTTAAGACACCTATACGTTTTCCGTTTCTAAAATGTTCTACGTTCTGTTTTTTTCCTGTGGGAAAAAAATTCATGTGAATTAACTTTCAATTACTTTTATAAAAAACTGTCCATCAATTACAAGTTTAGAAAAAAAATCACAACTGTATCATACTTACCAAGTAGATGCATGTGATTGAAAGCTCCGATAACATTGAGATTGTCTTCGAAAATTTTGGATGTACACTCTGAGGTACAGACTCCACTCACGGCCACCTCCGGCATCTGTGGAGGAATTTCCAAGAACATCTGGCCTACCCATAAGGTTCCAGCGTCATGTTGACGGAGGGTTGTGGTGTAAAAAATCCTCATCCCTGAACCGTCGTGGTAATCAGATCTCTCCTGTTTGTTAGTCCAGTGCATCTAGAATATGATCGGAACACTCCTTTAATCTATTATTAAACACTTCTTTAATTTATTTGTACTAGAGAAGTCCAATGTCAGTCTATTGCACAAAGGTATAAATAACTATCATTTTATGAAAAAATTACCTGCAATGCAATATGTCGATACCCGTTCTTGCCAAACCGGAAACCTGCGTCACGGTGCATGCATTCTCCCTCTAACCCCACCTGCCATAATCCAAGTAACTCCCTACACTCAAGGGACGCCTCCATACCGCATTCATAAGGTGTGTTCAATTTTGGAACAGCATCACCTGTAAATATTCATGTCATTCACTGTTGAATGAACAGTCATCCACGAGTTTTTGGCCAAAATAGTTTGAAAGAGATTATGTTTCTCATGCATATTTGTTTGTCTGTCAACAATAGATACCTCAAAAAATTTAATATTATTAAAATATTAGAATTTTTTCCTTGGGGTAAGAAAAATAGATTAGATTTGGAATATGATTCAGTTGAAGATGTTGCATGGTTTTCCAAATCTTTGTACCACGTATATTCATCATAAATGACTGAAGGAAAACATTCAAATATGTATGCATAGCTTATCTTTAATATGGTTTTCGTTTATGAGTACACAATTTTTTAGGTTTTATGGAGGTTTACCTTGACAGCCATACAGTAGCATATGATGCATCACGTGATCATTGTCTATGAGGGGTGTGTTAGCGACCATGTGATGGTCTCCCACTTCCGGAACTTCCACCACCATACACGTGTAAGTCGTCTTCTTAGCAGGAACTTTCCGCCGAGGAAACTTTATGTCAAAATACTGTGTTTCTGAAATAGATGTCATAGGTGCAAGTTTTAAAATCGAACCAAAGTTCTGAACATATTACAATTTCAGTATCTTAAATTACGTATAATGAAGTACATGTAAAAGCCAAAATATATTAAAGTACAGTATTTTATCTTTTTCAAAAAATATATACATGTATAAACATGTAGAACTTTGTCTTAGAACAACAGGACCATGAGTTCAGATTGTAAGACGATTAAAGTGTTAAGGTCATAGGATACCCAAAATCCGGAGAAAGGTGGTTTTTATAATAACGTTGTATTTTATTGTTTTAGATTCAAATCAATTAGTTACATGGTAAAATTAAAGAAAAATTATTATTAATTTGGGGGATTTCAATTTAATCACATTTTTTAATTGAATTTCAATATAGATGCAAAAGAGTATTTTAGGGGAGAATACAAAAATAAGGTAGGCTTGATAGGAAAAAAATCGTGATAAATGTGTTCTGGATATTAGAATATATATGTACAAACTGTTTTACAAATTCCTGTAAGATATATTTTGAGTATCTTATATCCTTACCTGGATCATTTAAAGCATCGCATTCAAAATCATTCTTTTTGCAAATAAGCCATTCATTTTTGCCTTTACATTTTTCGTCATCCAATGGCTCACACACTCCTACGAAAATCATAACCAATCATAAAAGAACATTACCACAAACGTGTTTACGTCACATTAATTACGATTATGAATCACGAAGAGAGGGTGGTTGTTAATCGATTATCAGTTACCTGGATGACTAACTGGGGTGCTTGGTAATGGCTGACCCTGGCTCCAAGTGCAGTTTGGGTCCCCTAGTTCTTCACCATTACTCCTCCCGTCCCCATCAGAATCTGCCTGACAAAGTGCTTCAGTCCAAGTCTGCAACACAGAGAGCATACTTTGTTGATATCAATGTCCCTATTTTCGTCGACATAAAAATATTTATGCCTCTCTTTGGAAACAATTTTCTTTTTATTTATATCGTAGAGGTTTTGTTTATGTTTACCATTCCAAGCGCAGCAAAGTCGTTTCCGAAGGGGTTCCTCTCATGTCCCCCATTAGGATTAGCATGACCCACAGCAGACCATTCCTTGTCTTTACAAGGATGGGGCACATTCTCTCCGTTTGGAATCTGGCTCTGAAATTGGGGGAACGAAACAACAGCCCGAGCGATGTATACTACTAGTAGGAATACCCATCTGTCAAAAATATCATAATATCCATATGTAATAGGTGGAAAACACTTGTACAATTAATGTAACTTGGGTTTAATGTGATGTAACAACTGCGATTTATCATGTTTTCAACAATCTGCAGACACTTGGTCCGGTAAAACTGAACATTATTTGTTCTTATATCAAGACTAACTTTGAACGATTTTTTTAGCCTTAGTACATCGTCGCAAGCCACGGGTTGGACTCAAAACGGCTTGCGACGATGGTCTTGGTGAAGCGATTCATTTTACTTAGTCTTGTAACAAATTTTACATCAAATAAAAAAAGGGAAAAGAAAAACAGCGATTAAAAATAAGTTTAAAAAACAGAGAAAAGTAAGAAAACTATGTCGCAAATATTTGTTTGTGGCTTACAATACATTTATGACAAAACACTATCTTGATAAACTACGATATTGAATTAAATCGTAATACACAGTGTGTGTTGACATTGAGAATAATAAAGTAATATACTGATTCTGTTTGTTTTTATCTAATAAATAATGTCGAGTGAATTATGAAACAATAATTTATTTTAAGAAATTTACATGCAGAACTACATTGGGGGGGGGGGGGCTTTCTTTCTGAGTATAGTCTTACAGTCTTACGCTAATAAGGGAGTTTTCAATTAGATGCTGGTCCTCCACCCCACATACTTTTTGTTGCTGTTAGATGTAAGGTCAAACACTGGCAAAATCCAGCATTTGAAAAAAAAAAAATGTACCTAAAGGTTAGAGCTCCCCCCCCCCCTTTCCCACGAAATATGATATTCGAGATTGGCCAATTTATGTTGTTTTTTTTTCTTGTCAGATTCTTTCTGAAGGTTGCCCCCTCCCCTTACTTTAAAAATCGTTTGTTACGGGCCTGACATGTGATTTTAAAGATACACATATATCCCCCCCCCCCCTCGAAGACACAACTTATACAAAGGCAACTTAGCCATTTTGAACTTTTAATTCTTCTAATGAAAATAAAAAAGAAAGAAAGGCCATTTATTGCTTTGAATTTAAAGTATTTTTGTATACAAGACATCAGTTTATATTTTTGTTGAAAAAATGACAAAATTTACAAGAAATATGAAAATAAAGGAAATATACATGTAAAACTAGCCTTCTTATTTTTACAATAAAAGTTTACCCACCTTTTGCAAAAGAGAACCATGTTTGACAGTCGTACGGAAGTGACTGAGAAGCAGCTGTTCGTGTGTACCCCAGGGGCTGGCCATAACTGTGACCTAACAGGGTTACATGGAAGTCTGTAAAACCTTAGTCAATGAAAATAGCCATCAAAGGTATCTCTGTGTAATGTCCGTTTACTTGTGTATCTCGTGTTGACCATTTGATATACATACCTTGCATAATGAATACATGTATTTGGTAAAATAAGGATTTTTTAATGAAAAGAATGTAGAACTTTATTTATCATTAATTTCTTTTTAAGAGATCTTGATATTTACAAATTTTCAGAGAGGAACTAAAACATAATTACATGTATAGGCATTAAAGTACATTTACAGTCGTTGTTTGTCTTCATGAGTTTTTTTTTTTTTGGGGGGGGGGAGCTTATCCTTTTCAGTATGCGAAGTATAATGTTTTGTTTTGGATTTTCACAATAAAGTAAAAAAAAAAAGAATTGTGAAATGTCTCTTGATATCTCTGGCAGACACACGTTTATTTTGAATAAAAGCTCCATTAAAACATTCAATGGGGAAGAGGAGGGGGGGTTATAATATCTTGTTCAATGCTCTGTAATTAGCAACAATTCTAAAACTATGACTTTTATAAAATTAAAAGTATAATCTACAGATTTAAACTTTTAATGTAACACTTTCAGTACCGACCTGTAAGTTTCATTAAGTGACTTAATTTACTAGATTTTGTGAATACCAGTATCTGAGTTCCAAAGATTCAAATTAAGATATAATAAGACACAGTCGACAAATTCCCATACTAACAAACAAAGAAATACATTTTTTTTGTATTTATATCTCTACAAAAAATCATCTAAAGTAGGATTAAGTAGATTAAATATTTTATTGAAATGTACGTCATTCTACGTTTCATTGATGGAAGGGCCACTGCTCAAGAAATCTTTACAGGTGATATGCTTATTGTTGTTTACTGACTGATAAACAGTAATGGTTTTCTTAAGAAATAAAGGAGAAGATATTCAATTGATGTAAATATATCAATATAAATGTTTCCTTTGCAAATTTCGACTGGAAGGTTTGTTGTTTAACGTCCCTCTCGAGAAATTTTCACTCATATGGAGATGTCCACCACTTGCCGGTGGAGGGCTGCAAATTTTAACCTATGCTCGGTACTCAAGGCCATTGAGCAGTGAGGGATCTTTTTCGTGCCAACACCTACTGCGACACGGGACTTCGGTTTATGCAGTCTCATCCGAAGGACTGGTCTCCACGTCCTGCATTTGATTCGAACCCGCGACGTAAGGATCAATCCCTTACTCCGCGACACTAGAGCAGAAGTTCTAACCATTGCGCCACACGGGCGACCGTCTGGAAGGTTAAGTTTCCGGATTATTGACGTTCGGATAAATGAGGCTCTACTGTACAAGATTCAATGATACGACCTTATAACCTCAATCGTGTACATTTTGTCACTGCCCAAGATGATAAAGTAATAAAGACTTAGGGTTCTACAAGGTGAAAAGATGCATTTACTGAATAAATATGTTCTTCGGAAATCCATTCATGCGAATGCATTTATAATACATTTAATATGTATAACAATATATGAAGCAATTATATCATATTTGTTTGGAAATAACTTATTTTATCCTTTCAGTAAAGTCAAATAAGTAGTGAATGTTTAAACCTACGTAAGGAAAAAGGGGAAAATACGTACGTTCTCATTTATAAAAAAATTGTCCATCTTAAACTCATTAGAAGCAGTGATATATATACGCATAAATCGTGTATTTAAGAAATGTGAAGAATGTTACTAACCAGTATGAGAAAATAGCGGAACAAAGGAGTTCCACTCTTACGGTGTGAAATTGTGCATATGTAGTACTGTAAGTTATTTGTAATAATGATGCCTCAGGGGTTGTCTTGCTTCCTCTTTAACTTCACACTTTATAAAAGGGCAAAATGTCCTTCAGTATTAGTATACATTCAGTATTAGTACACTATACATGTACAGTATCTCAATGAAACTTCGAAACCAGATTTTCAAAGGTATTTCTAGCTGTTACATACACAAAATAATCTACAAAGTACAAGTAAAATTGATATGTAACTCACGTTTGAGTCTGTACAAAATGGTACTCGGAATACCGTATAAGGTTTTTATTTCTGCGTATCGCAATTTTTGAAAAAATATTCCAAAGACACTGTTATTTTAAAATCCGTACGTAGTCCTAAATTTGGGATTCTCCTTGTGGTATAAAAATGGGTAACCTATATTTGGAAGTTTGTTCTCTATCAGACACCAATATCGTTATCGGTGATACTCTTCTTAAAGAGTACCAGTGTCCCAAGTTTGATGTCTGTAAATCTAAAGGTTCTCAAGATACTGAGCGGTCAATATATCTTCCAGTATGACGTTTGGTTTTGAGTCCTCAAAATCAACAGGGGTCTTAAGCCTTAGGGGGAATCAGTGTACCAAGTTTGATTTCTGTCAAGCAACGGGTTCTCAAGATATTTCGAGGTCCTTACTTTTTATGTCCAGTTTGACTCTTGACCTTTGCTCTTTTGATTTCAAAATCAATAGGAGTTATCTAATTCTTAAGGGGTACCAGTGTACCAAGTTTGATGACTGTCAAGCAAATGGTTCTAAAGACATTTAGCCGACAATATCTTCTTATTTCCAGAGTAGGATTGATCTTGATCTCATAGCCTCAGAAGCAAAAGGGGTCATCTGCTCCTCAGGGGGTACCAGTATTTGATTTCTGCCTAGCAAAGGATTCACAGGCACTTGTTTCGGTAATAAATTTTTAACCCATAGTATAATAATAACACAAGGTATCTAACTCCGAATTACACGGAGTACCCCCCTCCCCCAGAATCGCACTCATTTACACTTTCAGAGGAAATACACTGACAAACTGTTTATACCTATGTTTTCTACGATAATTTATCTACACAAACATATATGGCATGCTTGTCTTTATTTTCTTTAGTCTCCGTAAACAGCGTCAAAACTGTGCTCGCCGTGTGGAAAAGTCGAATTCAACCATGAAATGGTATGTGCTAATCCCGCACAGAGAACAAAATTAAAAAATGAGTGGGTTTAAAAATTCAATTCCAGTGTTTAAATATTGCATGAGTAAATAGAACTTGTTTACGTCTGATTTTCCCTGAAAACATTACGATGTTTATCCGATGTAATTTTAGAAACAGATTTTTAGCCAGTCAAAATCTCTGTGCGGGATTAGCACATACCATTTCATGGTTGAATTCGACTTTTCCACTCGACGGGCAGAGTTTTGACGCTGTTTACGGAGACTAAAGAAAATAAAGACAAGCATGCCATATATGTTTGTGTAGATAAATTATCGTAGAAAACATAGGTATAAACAGTTTGTCAGTGCATTTCCTCTGAAAGTGTAAATGAGTGCGATTCTGGGGGAGGGGGGTACTCCGTGTAATTCGGAGTTAGATACCTTGTGTTATTATTATACTATGGGTTAAAAATTTATTACCGAAACAAGTGCCTGTGAAAGGATTGTCAAGATATTGATCAGACAACACTTGGTCTATCGACATACCGACAGACTGACAAGTGCAAATCATTACCTTTGCCTACTTTTACAAAGCGAGCAAAAATTATATATAAGATTATGTGATGCTAGGATCGACAAGAACAGAGGAAATAGTCAAAGAAACCTGTGAAAAATAATAAATAAAATATATATATTGAAGGATTGATGCAAAAAGCCACTTAATGCTGTAGGGAGTGAGAAAAACCCAGAGGTGTACGTAATCAAGACAATTCCCCATGAGACAATGTAAAATTTGGGAAATGTCTCAAACAGTCAGTTCTGCAAGAAAGAACGTACAGAAGCGGTAAAATGTTTGTATAAAATTGCTCATGTATTTCCATAATGCACATGCGCAACAAATATTATTATACAAACTACAAATACAGTACAAAATACAATAAATAGAATTTAATACAAATTATAAACATTTCTCAAAATATTTTCATTTTAAGGTAACTGGTCGGTCAACAAAGTACCAAAAAGATTCACCTAAAATATTAAATGTCAGTGAACGGGGTTCTTTTTGCATCTTCCACTATCCAATTTTGTTTAATTAATATAACTTTCTTTAAGTCTCAAATTTACAAAATGATGTCCGTTCAAAGACTTTATTGGTAAAAATATTTATATTGAAACTTTCCTCCTAGAAAAACTCGAACGGGACGTAAAACAACATACAATCAATCAATCCTACAAGAAAAAGAGAGCTTTATGTCACAATGTGTTGAAAAGAAATAAAGTCTCCTCACATTGCAGCGTATCTTTTATCAAAGGGTCTCAATATGGTTTCAGCCCAAGATACCAAGCCCAATAAAAGGCCTGAAACAGACAGAATGAAAACGGAAATATGTATCTAGATAGGATGTCTATATAACTGACACTATTTCCGGATGCGGTATCAGCGGATGCCACCATGTCATATCGGAACCGGAAGTTTCCTATGAGACATTTACAGAATAACAACGGACATCTGCTCCGTGTCTTTCTCGGTACTTTCGACAAATTAACCCCATTTTGGTTTTCTGCTGTGTCTTCTGTCTGAAAATAATGAAAATATCCAACAACATGTAATGTTTGGTCAACAAATTTATGTCTGTTTTCAAAAACTAGCAATATATGATCATTCAAAAATGACTTTCAGGGTATTGTACTAAGCGCATGTAAAATGATTGGAGAAACAAAGTTCCTTTCGAATATGGGTTGGAATTCTCGAAAAAAGGCTGAACATAACTGAACACCTACTTTTACACCTTCATCGTCTGAGGTGCTGCCTTCCTTAGGAATAATTTTGGTGAAGTAATTGACGGCGGCGTACTGTATAATGGCAGCCAGGTTGTAACAAATACAAACAATCAGGAAAACATCAAGAGCTGTAGCGTATGGAACCCTAGGAAGACCGTCTCTCTGAATCAGACCCACTGCTGCAGTGGACAAGATTGTCGTCACTCCTATTATTGGTAACAAAAGTGAATTAGGGTTGATCTTGCATGCAAATAGATGACATAGGTGAACATTGGTCTTTACTAACCTAGAAGAACCCTCGCAGGTGCAGCATCTCGATTTATCCAAAAAGAGACCCAAGACAAGCAGACGATCAGTGTGCAAGGGAGATAAGTCTGGAAAGACGGAGAGGATTTTTAATATGATACACAAAAATTAAATTTAAACTAGAAATATGTCCATAGGACATGAATGCCCCGCCAAGGGTATATTAGTAATGCAACATTTTAACACAAATTGAGAAAAGTGAGGTCAAGGTCAAAGGAAAGGTCAAGGTCAAAAAATATTGCTGCAGTTGAATAGCTTACATCAGTATGTATCAGCATATGACGTTTGATTCAGAAACTAATTTAAGAAAAGTGAGGTCAAGATCAAAGGAAAGGTCAAGATCAAAAAATGTTGATGTAGTTGAAAAGGTTACATCAGTATGTATTAGCATATGAAGTTTGATGAAAATATTATGAATGGTTTCTTTAAAACTGAGCTAAACACTAATTTAAGAAAAGTGAGGTCAAGGTCAAAGGAAAGGTCAAGGTCAAAAAATATTGATGCAGTTGAATAGCTCTCATCGGTATGTATCAGCATATGAAGTTTGACACTAATTTAAGAAAAGTGAGGTCAAGGTCAAAGGAAAGGTCAAGGTCAAAAAATGTTGATGCAGTTGAAAAGGTTACATCAGTATGTATTAGCATATGAAGTTTGATGAAAATATTATGAATGGTTTCTTTAAAACAGAGCTAAACACTAATTTAAGAAAAGTGAGGTCAAGGTCAAAGGAAAGGTCAAGGTCAAAAAATATTGATGCAGTTGAATAGCTCTCATCAGTATGTATCAGCATATGAAGTTTGACACTAATTTAAGAAAAGTGAGGTCAAGGTCAAAGGAAAGGTCAAGGTCAAAAAATGTTGATGCAGCTGAATAGCTCTCATCAGTATGTATCAGCATATGAAGTTTGATAACACTATCTTGAATGGTATCTTTAAAACTGAGCTAAAAACTTATTTAAGAAAAGTGAGGTCAAGGTCAAAGGAAAGGTCAAGGTAAAAAATATTGATGCAGTTGAATAGCTCTCATCAGTATGTATCAGCATATGAAGTTTGTTAAAAATATCTTGAATGGTTTCATTAAAACAGAGCTAAACATTAATTTAAGAAAAGTGAGGTCAAGGTCAAAAGAAAGGTCAAGGTCAAAAAAATGTTGATGCAATTGAATAGCTTACATCAGTATGTATCAACATATGAAGTTTGATTACACTATCTTGAATGGTATCTTTAAAACTGAGCTAAACACTAATTTAAGAAAAGTGAGGTCAAGGTCAAAGGAAAGGTCAAGGTCAAAAAATGTTGATGCAGTTGAATAGCCCTCATCAATATCTATCAGCATATGAAGTTTGATAAAAATATCTTGGATAGTTTCTTTGAAACTGAGCTTTGAACAGAGCTAAACGCAAAGTGTGACGGAAGGACAGACGGAAGGACAGAAGGACGGAAGACGGACATGACAAACACTATATGCCCCGGCCATATTCATGACGGGGCATAAAAAAGCTTCGCACAAAGAGCGGTTACTCCAACAAACCTGCAGCATGAAAAATCCAATATGCCTCTTCAGATGGAAATATACTTCAAGACAGGAGTACGTCCCTATCAAAACGAAACGGAAAAAATAAGATTCAAACCTGGTTTTCAGAAAAGGTTAATGCTAGTAGTTATTAGCAAATAGCTATTAACAAAATATCATAAATGAATGTATAAATTATGTATACTTCCATACCAATAGCACTGGAGTAGGTATTATTCTTTGTCCAGATAGAAGCAATGTCAAACTGTGACATAGTGACGTCATCATATATTTCTACTCCCGACTTGTTCGGAGCTTGCCATTTGTAAATAATTTCATCCGTCGTATATCCATCTACAAAGGGTAAGAAACGTTGAAATCAAACAGAATTATTCTAACTAGAATTGAAATTCAACGGAGAGGCGTTGCTTACATCCTCCGAATAGAAGTGGACAAACGGGAGCATCCATTGGGTAGTCTAGGAGATTCATTGGACATTTGGCATTAATAGTTAACCTAACGAAAGTAAACAATTATCTGTACTTGTCCAGCATTAATTTTGCATTTAACGTTTGCAAGTTTGTAAAATTTCGATATTGATTTAAATTAGCAATACAATACTTGACTGTCAAAATTATGTCATCTATAATGATGATATAGATTATTTCTAACTCTCTGGACATGATAAGGTATGAACTATATAGATTATTTCTAACCGTCTGGACATGTAAATACTGCCATCTTTTCGGATTCGAACGAATGCATTCGGAACTGTAATGTTTGGTTGGACGGACAAGCGACCATTAAGGAAATGCGTGTTGGGTTTCCAGATATCCTTGAGGAAGGAGTTACTCAAAGTGACCTCGGTGATGTTTGGAAGGTCAAATTTTAGACGTTCGTCATGCCAGCTCTGTCGCAGATAGCACTGAAGGGAATATGTCTGAAAATTATTGTTTATAAATTATGACGGTCTTCCGTATATGAAAACAGAACATAAATTTTAATGTGGTTTTTACGAATCGCGAAGTTTAAAGAAACAAACCATCTCCGATTCTGTGATTGGGCCAATACTCCTGATCAGCATGTTGGTTTTTATTACCAATGGTTGACCTATAATGGAACAATAAAACGGAAGCATCATGTTTTATTTTACAAGAAATCACATCACAGCATCATTTACAGAAATACTTGTACGAATAAGTCTCTACTGAAGGAATGCAACATTATTTGCAAACTTTATAATGAGGATTCTTGTCAAATGGGATGACTAACACTGGTTTTTAAGAAAATGAAAAAAAAATATTCTTAGACAAATCGAATTGAGGATGAAATTTGTCACTATCACAGTCAATGATAGAAATAGATCTTGCTAATGTTTGAAAAAAAATTATACTAAAATTTTCTGAAAATTAGGAGGGGGGGGGGGGGGGGGGTGGAAGCTTCACCGCAAATGAAGACTTTTGCTCAAGTCGAGAACATGAGGGCTATTTTCACAGATTAAAAGATTGTCGTATCAGAAAGGTCAGCGCCAAATTCAGTCGCCAGATGATGAATTCCTGATTGGATTTCACAGAACTTGTCGACAGTTGATAAGATTCAAACAAAAGGAGATTTTCTGAGCTCTCTAGTACACATCAGAATATTGACGACCGTAGAACTGTCTGATGTGTCACGTCAACTCTTCTACTCAACTCTGTTGAAATTTTACATTTTGTTGTAAATCCTTGGGAATATTTAATGGTGTGTTCACATATTGCACATTTTAATTGTGATTTTTGTTTGTTTGTCTGTTTGTTTGTCTTTTTTTTGTTTTGGGGAATCAATAACTGAACCGTCGATTAAAACATATTGCTAACCATTGGCTTTAGATATACATGCATAGTCAAATCTCGTTATGTCGAACTTGATAGGGACACAGAAAAAAAAATTCGAGGTATATCCAAGGAATCGAGATATATAGGTAAAAATATATAAGGGGAAAAGTGACTCACTTTGACATATCTATGGTATTCGACATATCAGTGTTCGAGATATTGAAGTTCAACTGTACTTTGTGATAAATTCAAGGAATGTCGTCAAGGTCATTTAGTGGTGGCTAAGATATAGCCGGAGAAGGGAGATGACTATTTTTGAGAAGGACAAAAAAAAAAAAAGATTTAAAATGGTACCTCACATTTACTTCAGTGTACCAAATTTTAGAACAACGTTGTATATTTTAATACACTTTTTGTTACGATGTAATCAAATGTAATGATATTCTCTTTGTTTGACAGTTGTAGTAAAATCTTCACCTCCGATGCCCGGGCGTACTGACTTTTCGTATTTCTGTAGTAGTTTGTCCAGTAACAATGTGACGTTTCTCATGATTGTGTGGTCATCTGAAAAGCTGATAAACGTAATCAATTGTTACATCGCTTTTAGGGAACCAATATACACAGCACATGTATTTTAAATACACTATAAAAAAATTTTCAAGTATTTTTATCATTTGAACTATTGTCATATTGTAAATTTTGAATTTACCAGGTGGCAGTAATATAAAATTTACAATTGTCAGAGTATAAATTTTGAAGCTTACTAGTTAACGTTACTGCCATGCATCCGGTAAATTCAAAATTTACAATATGACACTTTGTCATGATATTCGGGGAGAAAACCACAGGCACTTGGGGTATGGACCCTCCCCCCTTTTCCCATTTTTTTTCTTTTTAAATCTGGGGTCGAGTCACCTTTTTCCTATTTTTGTATTCTAATATGCACTGTATGTTATCAATAATGTAACTCTTTTGTCTCTATAAGCTGTTTTTAAATATATCGTTTTCGACTGATACATAAAAAGACAGGCACTTGGGGTATGGACCCTCCCCCCTTTTCTCATTTTTTTTCTTTTTAAATCTGGGGTCGAGTCACCTTTTTTCCTATTTTTGTATTCTAATATGCACTGTATGTTATCAATAATGTAACTCTTTTGTCTCTATAAGCTGTTTTTAAATATATCGTTTTCGACTGATACATAAAAAGACAGGCACTTGGGGTATGGACCCTCCCCCCTTTTCCCATTTTTTTTCTTTTTAAATCTGGGGTCGAGTCACCTTTTTCCTATTTTTGTATTCTAATATGCACTGTATGTTATCAATAATGTAACTCTTTTGTCTCTATAAGCTGTTTTTAAATATATCGTTTTCGACTGATACATAAAAAGAGAGAAGGCTTGCAACTCTTTTCTCATCGTCTGCCTCACCTCGCTTTAACTTCGCCTGATTATTTATCGAAAGAATAAGAAAACATGGAATATGCATACATCAATAAATTCGTTATACATTCTTCTTTCTTTTCATATTTCCATTTAATTTTTATGTGCCCCCGATTTGTAAATATTTCGATTAAATCATCCGCATCTAGGGTAAATTTTGTTGATGTGCACCAGCTGGGACGGAAGTGCAATAACGGTAACTCTAACTTTATAAATGTTCTGCATTAAAAAAAATTCCAGGCTTTGTAATAACAATATTGTGGAATTTGGTTGTCTAGGTCGTCTATTTAAAGTATAATCTTCATCCATTAAAATTTGCTAGTTAAAGTTGTCTTGTTATTCACAGAACTTACCGTTACATGTTATATGAAGAGAAAATTCGGGATTTATTCCTTCTCGCATTAATGTTCCGAATGACATTACATGTAATGATGATACCCGAAAATACCGGGCACTTCCGTCCCAGCTGGTGCACATCAACAAAATTTACCCTAGATGCGGATGATTTAATCGAAATATTTACAAATCGGGACCACATAAAAATTAAATGAAAATATGAAAAGAAAGAAGAATGTATAACGAATTTATTGATGTATGCATATTCCATGTTTTCTTATTCTTTCGATAAATAATCAGGCGAAGTTTAAGCGAGGTGAGGCAGACGATGAGAAAAGAGTTGCAAGCCTTCTCTATGTATCAGTCGAAAACGATATATTTAAAAACAGCTTATAGAGACAAAAGAGTTACATTATTGATAACATACAGTGCATATTAGAATACAAAAATAGGAAAAAGGTGACTCGACCCCAGATTTAAAAAGAAAAAAAAATGGAAAAAGGGGGGGGGTCCATACCCCAAGTGCCTGTCGAGAAAACTCATAAATTGTTACCTTTTCCGTTAACCTTTTTTCATCCATCCCTCGAACATATCATGAATCTCTTTCAATTCATTTTTTAGCAAAGGAGTTTTTGTTTTATTTTAAATACTAGTGCAACAAAATTACAAAACATTACATTTTTACAAATTGTTTTCATAAGTATAAAATCCCAAAATTTCCAACAACACACATGAAACAAAATCCCCAATGCCATGTAAGAAAAGATACTACATGTATTTGCACAAGCGGTAGTACAAATTAAACAAATACATCATAAAACTCGATTCCTAGTTTGCATGATGCATGAGTGATACAGCTTAGCATGCTGAATATACCGTGATACAGCTTAGCATGCTGAATATACCGGGAGGCCTTATATGTTGATCAATTTCCAATTATTTATATAATTCAAACATTTGCTAAACTTACATACGATATATTTTTATGCCAAGAAGATACATGATTATTCTTTGAATGTGATCTCAAACTCTGTTTTCCAGAAAATCTATACCGATTTATGATTTAATTAACCAAACATTAGTCATCTTACCACCTAAAGTTTAAAAGAGGGACCATAAAAAAGTTAGTACTTAGGTGGTAGAGACTGCTGGTAAAAATACCGAACATTCTCGAATAATCTTGTCCCAGTTTGCTAAATTAAAATTGCAGTTTAAAAAAAAATTAAAAATCATTTTTCAATCTCAATTCTAAAAACAATTAATTCATTAAAAAACCTTTTCTCTGATTTGTCATGATTTTTCATTTCTTATCATAAATAAAGAAGAGAAGACCCAGTGTGTGTGGGGGGGTGTGTGTGTGTTAAACTGATGACGTAAAATTCAATTATGTAGGTTAGGTAGAACCCAGTAAAGTCATTCAAAATTTGATTATTAATTACATCTAAAGAGTTTTAGTTTATGTATCATTTTAAATAACTTCAGAAAATTTAAGTGTGCATACAATTAACAAATTAACAAAGCATGAATTTTACAATATAAAATACATCGTTGAGACCTATCGCTTCTGTTGAATTAATATTCAAAGATAAGGAGGCAAAAATCATCATTTAACCATCATAATGCATTAAGTAATACTGAAATATGTGAGTACTGAAAAAAGTTATCTAATCTTCTAATGTAAAACAATGCAATACTTGCCAAATACGAACACATAAAAGCGTCCATATTTTCACCACGTCCATCCTTTTTTTCAATTTAAGACAACAGGAATTCTGGAAAAAGGCTATTGGTTTAGAGTGCTTGTCGCTGAATACGCTAATAGTGATCGCCTTATTAGCTCCAAACGGAAGCATCCTCGCACAATGAGGCGATACGGGACCAGTCAATGGACACAGAAATAATCTGGATGTCGCTTCAATAGATTGCTTTTTGCCAAATTGGCTATTTGTGGGAATATTGGTCTTATTTGCAGTTTAATGGGTTGTTCATTTTATCATAAGTCATTTTTTCCCTTTTCCTTTTTAGATTTTCAGTTTCTGTATCAATAACTGGTTTTCATTATTTCTAATAATCTCTGCCTTATCCTTGTATACAAATTAGAAATTTTATCTCGCAATATCCAATGAAAACTTCTCACTATGGATCAACGTCATAAACGATACATTGTGTTATGTCCAATGACTCAAAAAATATCATGAACACGTTTATTCTTGCTCCAATCGTAATTCACGGCACGACGTGAATCAATTTAGTGCATCCCTTATATTAGTCAGAAATATCTGACGTTTTCCATGCATTTTTAACGATTTTGATATTTTACGTGTCATGCAGGAAAATGTCAGAACCGGAGCCATTATGAAAAGTGGAAATTTGCCGCCTCCCAGGGTCAATTTTCGATATATGCGAATCGAATTAAATAATTTTTCATTTAATTCGATTTGCAAATATCGAAAATCAAGTTCAGTTGGGGGGGGGGGGGGGGGCGAAAATTCCACTTTTCATAATGGCGCCGGTTCTGACGTTTTTCCTGGCACGTAAAATATCAAAATCGTAAAAAAAAAAAAAAAAAAGGAAACGTCAGATATTTCTCACTACCCTGACATATCCAGTATGCATTCTAAGATACAAATTTGGTCTCGTTTTATAAAGACTTCAAATACAGTTCTAAATATCAATGGACATGAGATTTATTTACAAATGACTGTACAAATTACAAAGAATCTGCCCATGATTAATTCATCAAATCAAAATCGTCTCTCTGAAACAAAAAATGTATTATTTACAGAACCAATCATTTCTTTCAGTAAAACAATGTTCCTGAAAATCTATGGTTACTAACTTCAAAATATCCTTATCTTAATCTATGATTATCATGTTTAATATTTGATAAGCTGTTGAAATCTAAAGATTAACAATTATACATACCATTTCATTGTAGTCCAGTACATGTTTTCTAATGGCTGAAGTATCTGTCCAAGTAACAAAGTCCTCCATATTTCTGAAAATAAATAACAATTTCCAAGTAACAAGTATTTAAGTATAATTTTAACATTTTCTATAATTTCCATACCTTGGATCCGGAAATCCAAAATACCCATTATCTACTATGAATTTGGAATACAAAGCAAAAGTTTTCATGGGGATAAAATTTTGTTGATTTTTTATCTAAAAGGATTTTGTATGCATTTAATTTTCTTGCTTCAAAGATAACCATATTAAATATATAATGATATAAAAATTCTTTAATTAAGGATTTTATTTCATTGATAAATGTTCCAAAGGAAATAAATGAAATTACTCCCCAACACTATGAAACTTTTTTTTATACAGTATATACATTTTCCATTTTTTTTTTTTGGTCACTTATAAATGTAATGTAAAGATTATTATTTCTGTTTATTATATATTTTCAATATTTTATTCAGTTATCTGTTTCACAGACACAATGGGAAAAAAAAACACACACACACGAAAAACACACCATTATTTTTCAATGGTGTTCCTTTAAGATCAAATAAATGTCCCTTTTAATCATGTAGTTTCTAAGTGGTTGGGGCATTTATTGATGAAAGAAAATAGTACCCAATAAATATTTTTTCTCCAAAGAAATTCTTAGGCCACAACAATTTAATTTCTTGTTCATCGGACATCTGATGAAAAAAAAACATGAGTGGGTAAGCGATTAAATAGTAATATTATTATTTTTTTTTTGAAGGCAAACGTTTTAGGCAGAACATGAAAAAAAATGAGTGGACAATTATATTTTTTCTACTTTTTTCTGATTTCTAGAGTAAGCAGATTTAAAATACAAAAAATAAGAGTGGAAATAGAACAAAAATTCACACAGAATTTCCCGGGTGCAGGAAATTTAAATTAATATTATTTGTATATTTTTGTTTAAATATGAGCACAGGTCCGAAGAGCAAGAAATTAAATTGGTGTGGCCTTAATTTTTTTTTTTTTCAAATGTTGAATTGAATATTTCTTTATTGTTTTGGTTTATTTAATGCAGTTTCATTTTAGTGCAACATGTAAGATATAACCAATATATTTACCTGGTAACTAAAAAAGCTGGATCCTTCACAACTTCAGGGCCTACTCTTATATCTACAGGTCATTAAGGAATCAATTATAACTGAAGGTATAAATTAATGAATTAAAGGTAATAATGTAAACCAGCAATTATTTGCAACAACATTTAGTCACGATTTGACAGTTTGAAATCCATGCATCAATTTTTGCTACAGATAAAACATATTTCATAAACGTATAATTAACTGTAAGGTCAATGGCAAGAAATAATTGAAAAAAAAAGGTCACAGATCTCAAAAGATATTTTTTCAAATGCAAATTAAAGTTTGTTACAGTATAAAGATTCAAACTGTAAAAGTTGTATTGAGCAAACTAGATTTTATTCTTCTAAAATGTTAACAAATAATGGTTAAATCTTGATCCACTTGTCTTTTATACTATAAAGGAGGAGCATGTATACAATACATATACATTACTAAAGGATACGTCCCTGTTCAATAAAAGTAGTAGCTGCCTTCAGAGTTTGTGCCATGTTGGTCTTGACCATTAACACTGGTAACCTTCTCCTGATAAAATAAATAAAAAGACAGCATTGTCCAGAATTTATTTTGTTTACCAATAATTCTTCACTGAATTGTGAAAACTCAGTTTAAATGCAAAAGTTTAATGCTGACGAATTGCAAATAAAACCTTTTGCCTTTTCCAACATATGCAATGCATTCATTTGGAGTTGTCCTTCTTTGAATCTTACCTACAGAAGGATGTAGCATTCACTTTGTCAGCAAGTTCTAGACTTCTCTTTGTCTCTATCAGACCCATATTGTACCTGTAAAAAGATATTGCCTTTATACAATGAGACCCTTATTGATAGCTGAACAAATACAGTGAAACTCGGTTATAACAAAGTCATTGGGACCTATGAAATTACTTCCCTATATCTGTAATTCATTATATCCGTATAAGGAATTCGTTAAATTTATATAGCTGGGGATTTAAGAAAACTTCGCTATATCCGTGAATTCGCAATATCCGTGTTCGAACTAAATGACTTTTCGGTTACTGTAACTGCTTCTAATTAATCAGACCCATAGTGTAACTGTAAATGCTTTATACAACCAGATCTATATCCTATATGTACCTTTCTACCTTTATACAAATAGATTTATAATGCACTTATAAAACATTATACTTTTACACAATCACACCCACAATGCAAATATACTACAATTATTGCTGGTTTTTGAGGTCAATTCAATTTCTTTATTGCAGAAGACATACGTCTTATAGCAGTATTACAAGATTATAACAAAAGAGATGAAAATATTCACCGAGCCTGAAGGGCAGGGTGAATATTGTACTTCGAAGGTGGCTAAATCACCGTATTGACTGAAAAAACAGCAATAATTGTTTTATCATATGATTCAATGATTAAATGACACACACTCATTAAGCAATCTGTGCCATCTTACTTGTTCACATCTACTGAAGTATTAGCCGAACATAATGAGAGAAATGGGGTTAAAAAAAAACAGTTGTATTATTTTGAAATTTTTAATTCTAGTTTAGGTGCAATGTAGAAAAAATAAATGTCAGGCACATATATAGGATTGATTTTGATTTTGAAAAAGGGGGCATTAAAAGGAAAAAAAATTGACAACTTACCCGAAAACAAATCCCCCCTCCCCCCCTCCCCCCCCCCCCCCCCAATAAACAATAAAAAAGGAAAAGAATTCTCCCAAATCAAAATTTTATTTTATTTGTTGGGATGTAATGGTCCATAAACTTTTCGAGGGGAGGGGGGCTTTCATTGAAATTTTTTATCCTTAAAATTTAAATAAAACTAACATTCTCAAAAGGTGGGGAGAGAGGCAGGCCTGGAAGATCATGTGCAGGTCAATATAACGCAGTATTTTTCAAACATTGTTGGATCTCAGCCAATCAGAGAGATGGGAATTATTCAATCATATTATAAAAAACATTACACCTTAACACAGTCACACTAATAATCCACTTAAAAAACATTATACATTTACACAACCACACCCATACTGCACCTATAAAACATTATACCTTTACACAATCACACCCATAATGCACCTACAAAACATTATACCTTTACACAATCACACCCATAATGCACCTATAAATTAAACATTATACCAATTAGACCCATAATGCACCTATCATACCTTATACCTTTACATGCAATTAGAAATAATGCATCTATAAATCAATTTATATATTTACACAATCAGACCCATAATGCATCTATAAATCATCAGGTCTTTATAAAATCAAACCTATATTGTACCTTTTTCATTGGAAACGATGGATGGCTTGCATTTGGTGAAATTCATTTGTTTTGTATTAAATAGTTCATAATGAACAATGAAAGTCAGGAAACATTCACAGATCTCAGATAGATTTTCCAGATGTCCACTTCGTACTGCTTATATTTGTTTTACTGAGAGTGGTCATTGATCAGTGGGTGGTGCAAGACAAAAGAATTCTAAACAATGTCAGGTGGTGCTGACCTCATACAATACAAGGACCACATGATAAGGTGATAAAAGTTGGCTCCTTCCTCATCACTCCCTATCTACCAAATGGGAGTGACACCAATATACAAAAACACTTATCGCAAAAATCAGCATCCGAACAGCATCAACAAAAAACAGTAGCTGAAAGTGATCACCATGGGAAAACGTCACAACACCCTGGACCCCTCTCACAAACCAAGGTATTCCTTCTGTCGTCATGGCATCTGGCTTCTGTCAGCCAATAGGCGGGCTTCTTCCAGACTCGGTGACTTTTTAAACATTTGCAATGTTTTAAACATGTGTGCAGTACGATTTATGTTTTCTGCTCCGTCAAAAACAGTAACATGTCAAGCACTTTCTAACAACTTTCAAGGCTATCATAAACAGTGAGGGGCCACTCAAGGACAGACATCTTACACGCTTCCATGGGATCTGCCCCTGCTGGAGCCAAAAAAAAGGCTACCATTACTCTCTAGTTTAGTCATTTGTCTTTGTCTCCGTGTTCAGATTTCCAGAACTAAAACAATAATCTTGACTTATGTACTTTTAATAAGCTTTTCCTGCTCATTAAAAAAAAATTGAGAAAAATAATCTTGCTTAATATTTAACAGAATCCTATATCCGTATTTTTTTTGGCTTCAAAAATGAAATATTTCTGGCTTAACAAAGAGACCAGAATCAATATGTTATTCTGATAAATGGATTTTTGTGTTAACAAGATGGAGAGTGATATAGTTTGGCTCATGCTGATGATATATAATACGTTATGATGAATGACTATGATGACAAACAGCTCGCAGACTGATGACAGAGTTATCTTTCTTTACATCTACTAGCTTCCTTATCATATTAATTTAACCTGTTACATGGACTTTTCTGGAGAATTGAACTATTCCATGTTATGAATTTAATGCACAAGTAAAAAAAAACCAAAAAAACGCCTCATGCATAATTGTGTTGCTACCTGTGACTCTTTAAGCCACTCAGTAAAGTTTCTCTACATCCATTACCCCAATAAACATAACCAATACAGTCTGTATTTGAGAAATAGGTAAAACAAGTATATTCTCCTCTGTTGTACATTTGTTTACTAGCTTCTTCATCAAGGTGCCAAAACAATTGTAGTTAAATGATCTTTATGCATACATGGGATTCTTCAGGAATCGTGATTCTGTAGGACGTTTATTGTTGAGCTATTATCAGCATAACTTACACATCACAACAAAAATGAACCCTGCAGATGAGTCAATCCCACAATATCACGCGTCTCCTGCCTACTGCTGTGTACCAATGCACATCTGCAGTTCTTACAATCCAAACTCAATGCCAGAAAATACCCACTGATAATAACCAGTAATAGTCAATTAAAGAGTAAAAAATATTGTATGGTGTTCTCTAATGGTATATCTTAAAGTAAAAACATGTCTGATTCAAGGTTTGTCCAAGAAAAATTGGCTCTTCAAAGAAAAAAACATGGCAAATGATGGAACACATTTCCGAAAAATCCATAGAACACAGCTAGAGTACAAAATATTATCAAAGGATGAAACCAGAATTTTTAAAGTGGGCATAAAATTAACAACACATGCATCTTTGTATGTTACTACAACTACTACTAATCTAGTCTCCTAAACTGAAGAGCTCCCAGTGTCAGCAACCCTTGGCCTCTGAAGCATGGCAGATCCCCTGCATGCTGAGATATCAACTGTTGTAACACAGCTGCTAGACACATCACAAACAAATTACATTTGACTGAAGCATGCAGAGACTGAAGGGGTTATATTTTCATAAACACCACATAACAGCCTATTACTGAACTGTACAAGGAAAGAAAGTTTGTATTATCTTAACTTGTCTGATTATTTTTCTGCATACACTTTGTAAGAGTACAGCTATCAGTGTGTTCCCAACAAATATTTCAGTTATCATCAAAATTATAAAGTCCATTGCTATTATAATTCAGTTTAATAATAGATGTTTGAAATGTACACCATCAAATTAAGCCAATAGATTTATTGCACTAGTTTAAAGCTGTATGTTCACCAATTTCAATCATTTTCATCTTTAAGAAAACAAAAATATCAAAATACATCTAAGTATCCAATGTTTTCAGAGGAAAAACAATAATTCAAACAAGAGAGAAACATTTATAATTGAAACTGACAAGTCTTTGAACTGACTTCTCAACTGAGCTATATAAAACTTTGAATAACACTGAAACCTTAAAATAATATAACACATACCACATGTACCAAAATACTTCTCGGTGTAAGATGTTAGAAATAATCTCATGATTTGGTCTATAAATTATGATTCAAGAGGTTTAATCAGAAATAAAAGAATAAATACAAGTTGAATAAAGGCTCTTTTGCTCATATAATATGCAAACTTTTAATTGTCTATTTTAACATGCATCCACGTAAATGATGATTTTGAACCCCTACCACGATGTACATCATTGACCCTCTGTTAATAGAACATTTCTGTTTTGTGGGTATTTTTTGTTCACTTGTATTCATTAACCTATAGGATTCCACAGATCAACATCATACTCATGAAATCAAATCATATAACCCATATCAATCTCTTCCAAAAAATTTACAATATCATTTTACATAATTCTTGCCTGCATAACGTGAAGACGGTCATATGATGCCAAAAGATGACGCATCTTCTGCTATTGGCAGGCTCTGAGCATTTAAAAATTGCATTTATAAGATTTCTCTGCGAGAATATTCTGAGGATTTACTTAGCATCTTAACACCATGTTATATTTATTTTTGTGAGGTTTTCGCTGTTGTAATATAGAGCTGATGTAATCAGGCAAAATTACTTTGTATCTCTTGGCATGAGGACCTTTTAGTTATTATCAGTATCATATGCACCCTTTAAATCGGAGATTGATGACCATAAACATAAATTAAACATGATTTGTAATATTATACACCTCTGGATTACAAACACTGCTAAACCTTTCCAAAATTTGAAAAGAAATCCATTGAAAATTCTCCATTGTTAATAATACAGCTATATAATAACACAAAATTTTCATTCATGTGAAGAAGAATAAAGAAAATTTTTGGAGCAAAACACTTTTATGTTCATATTCTTTAAATTTTGGCCCATCAAAAATTTTCAATGAAATCTAGAAAAAAAAAAACTTTAGTAAAATAGTACTGAAATCTTAATTAAAGTAGTTATTGAACTTCATCAAAACCCTTCAGTCTATGGCAACAATACCCCGCCTTGAATCAAAATACCTTAACAGGGCCTGATTTGACGATAG